AGACAGCTTTTGTTCCAAGGGCAGCAGCAAACAGTGACCCGCCATACTGGACCTTTATTAGGACCGCAATGCACGCCCTTCATATCTTGAGTTGGACCACCTCTGTGAAGCGCTGGTTAACTGGTGCTTGCACTGCTATTACCTCCTAGCCTGCCTCTAAGAGAGGCTATTGGGCCTGGTAGACGAAGCAAAGCCATGCTGTGCGTACCGCAGCACTCTGCGAGGAAAGCAACTAGCCTAGAGATTCAGATTTTACAGCAGATGAAGCCACAAATGTGTTTTCAATATAGTGTTGGATGCAGAATTTCTGATGTCAAAGCTTTGAATATTCACTGTTGATTACTGCCCAAGTTCCGGAGCCCACAAAATGGTATTCGGGACAGCTCTAGTAAGATATGAGTGAGGGACCAATGTGTGTTCCCACCAAGGAACCCTTAGTATTTAAGGGGTTAAGTCAATCATTACCTGTGGTTACCATTTTAAGGAATACCTAAGAATGATTCCCACAAAACAATAAGTAGCAAAGGTATGAACACCGACTATAAAAAAATCAGTCAGTTGGCAGAGGGTTTTCTTTATAACCAATATCTCCAGGGCAGAGGAATGCCCTAGAGATGAGATTACTGAAGACTAAAAAAAACACCACTTTCCAACACATCCAACAGAAGAGTGTGCTACACTCTGGGAAAATTTGTCCAGATACCTGTTATCTGAGCTAATTCATCAGCAGTGTTTGTGGTCAACTGTCTTCTAGAGAAAAGTGTGTGATGTTTACACAAGTGTACCTATATAATGTTCATGTAATGTTCATTAAGAGTGTAACGATAAACTCAGCTCAAGACACAATTTGTTTCACAATAGTGGGTTCACAAATTCTGAATTCTCACCACATTTTGAACAAAATATGAATGAAAAAAAGGATGATTATCATTTTGTTTCACAGCTTATTAATGACACTATAGTGAGGGAATAGGAGGTCTGCTGGAGTGAGCTATTTATTGGTGCTGTTTGTTTCCAAACTCTGATGTTCAAACAATGCCAAGCACTGGATTGCATAATTTTTTTTTTGGGGGATTTTTCCCCAATTTTCTCTAGTCATCTCCTCTTCCACCCACTAGTTAGGACTCCCCCAATCACACGATACTACCAAAACTAGGAGGGTGAAGGCTAGCACAGGTTTCCTCCAAGACCTGTGAAGCACCGCCGCATCTTTTCGAACTGCCGCTCACACAACGCCATTGTACAGCCGAACGCACTCGGAGGAAAGCGCAAACCGCCAGTTCTGTTATGTCAGCTAACAGACGCCTGCGCTGACTAGCATCGCGTTGAGTGATGGGGAGGGGCAGCATCCTACCCACCCAGAGAGAAAGACCAATTGTGCTCTCTTAGACTTCCGGCCACGGTTGCGCCACTCAGGAGCCCATTGGATTGCATAATTAAGAGAATGAATTGAAAGTATGTCTGTTGTGTAAAATCTGCTTTAGTACAAAATTATTTATAACTCTATGGTGTTAATCACATGTAATATCTCATCTATTTCTGTATGTTAAAACAGAACAAATCAGTTATTACACTGTACAGAAAGTGACTCGCTCAATGTCACTTTGATCACCTTGTCCAGCTCCAATACCAATTTAAAAATCTTGCAGTCCTGTTATTCAGGTAGCAAAACATTTCAGTAGACCCCAGAGGATGATGCTGTTCATTTGCAACGGTAATTTATCAAGTTCTTTCTGCATAGCTTTCTGAAATTTTTAATTCATTCATGTCCATATTTGAATTTTTTCATTTCTTTTTGTCCATATGTTCTTTGAGATTGCCTGAGTATAAATCTGAAGGCACTTTTCAAATTGATCAAACTATATGGCTTAAAACCTTATCACTTTATTTTAGTCTTGACTTAAATTTAGTCTTTGTTCTTTTGTTTTTTGAAGTGAAAAGAAGTGAACACAACTTCTGCAGTAAACTACTGTACAGTTACTTTACATTTACATGAACTTAAAAAACAGAAAAAATAAAACTAAAATACAGGTCAAGCTTTGTCATCAGGAATTGTCAACTGATGACAATTACAGAGCATAATAAGTTCTTTAAATCTTCAAACCATGTGGTAACACTCAAAACACGTGGGCCCCTCTAAGAAACTTGCTGAGAATCAAAAAATTAATCTAGCTTTTATGAAACGCTCATAAAGCTCATAAAAAGCTCACAATTTCCATTGTTGTAATTAAGAAATGACAGTTAAAAGGAACTGTGGAAGCCAAGGCAAGATCTGGAAGATAGAACTCTCAGATAGAACTGCTCATATGCTGGCCAAAGAGGTAAAGCAAAACCCCCATATGACAACAAGGAAGGTTTAGCTGACATGAGTGGTGGTGCGTCAATGTATTGTGCAAAATGATCTGCACAGAAGAGTCATCAGTAGGAAACCTTACCTGTGACCTTATCACAAAAACCAATGTCTGATGCTGTAAAACAACTAGATAAACCAGAGGTGTTTTGGAAACAAGTACTGTGGACTGCTGAAGTAAAAATGAAATGCTCTCACCATAAACACAGAAAACATTGCCCAGGTAGACGGAATAATGAATTCCACTAAATATCAGCAAATTCTCAGGGCAAATGTGACAAAGTCAGTAAAAAACTGAGGCTGTAAAGAGGCAGGCCTCTACAACACTACAATGATCCAAAACATACCTTAAAATCCACCATGAACAGCTTTAAGAAACACAAGCTTAAGTTTTTGGTGTGACCCTGACCTTAAAAATAATTTGCATGCAAGACACTCAAGAGTATCACAGAAGGGTGCAGCAAGGAAAAGTGGGTGAAAATAATTCCAAAAAATTTCATTACAGTGTTCTGTGGCATTTCCATTACTATAATACATTTTGTTGGTGGATGTGAATGGATTAAAGGTACAGATATACTCAATGACTGTGTTTACATGCAAAGATTTTTGCCGATCCGATTGAATACACTCCGATTACAGATTTAGACTGAGGTAATTATATGCTCACTCTACTCAACAATCTGATGGAAAATCTCCATTTACATGCTCACTACAAGTAATCAAATCCAAAATTACATAGAGTACCACTTAGAGTAAACGTTACCATGGCAGCAAGCATCACGTGAGGTCCCAGTCAGAGTGAGATGAGTTTCCAGTTGGCGCGCTTTTGTTTTTCACTGCTTTAAAATGTACTTCACATGTATTAAGAAGCGGCGAGAGGAAGACGTCGTGTTCTGAGACACATAAGCTGGACGCCCGTCCCACCGCCGTTTTTTAAAGCTCAAAGGGTAAATTCGTCTCCTCTACAGACCAGTCTCGCCTCCCGCCAAGTGGAACGTTATAAACTTTCACTATGACGCGAACGAACATGCACAGAACGTACTTACAGAGTCTACATGGCTGTTATTCTTCTATTTAACGGATTATTTACAGGATCACCCACCTCGTTCAATCGGAAAGAAATTGTATTCCGAATGGCCCTAATCGGACTAGACTATTCTGACTGAGGTGTATATATGGACGTGTTCTATTCCGATTGAGCTATTAGTCGGATTATTAACGGATTATTAGGCTGCATGTAAACGTGGCTGATGACTTGCCATTCCTGAAAAGCCTCAAAAACTAGTTCCGATCAAGAAGTACACTAATGTTTTAAAACTATTTTACACTATATGAACCCACTTATGCCATGTGATGAACTGGTGACCTGTCCAGGGTGTTTCCTGCCTTTCACACAATGAGCACTGGTATAGGCTGCAGCTCCCCCCCCGTCACTCAGGAGGATAAGCTTAGAACATGTATTTGGGTGTGTGTATGTGTGCGTGCGTGTGTGTGTGAATCCACTTACTTACAGACTTCCAGCATTTCTTTAAATGTGTAACATTACTGCAAATGTATGGAAATTCCAAAATGCTATAAATAATAAAATCTATTTTGCAATATTTCTTAGTAAATATAATTTTCATGGTAATACACAATCATTAAAGCGACAGACTGAAATTTCAAAATGATAAACAGTGATCAACACAGCAAACTGACACTACTGGATTGTTCTCTGTTAATCCTCATTATGTCTTTTGAATCTTCTATATTATGATACATCTTTGTCGACATTATAAATATAGTTGATATCTTTCCACTGTGCAATAGTTCATTCATCTATTTTTTACTACAGTTGCACTGGAATGTGCTATAGGCATTACACACTTCTTTCTGCATAAATTGAAAAAGAGCAAAATGACTTAAAATCACATTCAGGATTTATGTAATGCAGAAATAAATAAGGTAGGCTCTAGTTTCTATGTGACCCAAGTGCATGACATAAAGAAATTCAGCATTTAAAAATTTTGCAGTCCTGTCACTGTTTGCTGCTTAATTAATTACTGATGTTTTGTAGTTACACTGTAACAATGTAAAGACTACATTGTACAGTTTGTGTGACTTTCACACTGTCTGTAAACTCAGCTCATCCTGGAGTGGTTCTGACACCCTTCAGCAATTTAGGACTGTGACTGCAAATTAAGTATTCTTTTTACAGATTAACAGATTCAGCATTGCATACATGATAAAACTACAGGCTACAGAGGGAAGAAAATAGCTTTTACACGCCTCTCTGAATATAAACGAGCACAGGGCAGTCTGGGAAATATGAAGTCAAGAAAACACTGTTTCATGCATTTAATGATGAAACTACCTGTTTATAATTAATTACTTACACAATAATTACTCATGCAATAACACTCATAGGCCTTTCTTACAGTGCATAGTTTATACAGTAAGAAGCCACCAGGCTTAATGGAAGCTTTTCATATAGCGCTTCATTATTCACCTGTTTGGTCCTCTTTAGGAAGTGTTGTCTTTTGGTGAACTGTAAGTCCTCTACTCCATAACTACATGACAAGAAATCAATAGGCCGGTACAGAAATGCCACAGATACGTGCAGAAATGTATGTGCACAGTGTGTATAAAGCAAAATATAATAGTAACTTACCAAAATGCTGTCCACTTTTGATTGTACAGATTTGCTGAAAGACACAGCGAGAGAACATGAATTCATCAACTTGAGCAAGTACAAGGTGTGATCAAAAAGGGAAATGTGCACATTTGTCTGTGGTGGTTTGGAGCACGGAAAGAGCATTTCTTCGAGATCATGTTGTCTGTTGTAGGAGACTGGAGAATTATTAGAAGAGTCAGATAACATTAGTGTCAGTTCACAATGAAATGTCCTCATCATGTGCCCTTATTTACGACTTAATTACATGGCAGCAAGCAGTGCGGAGGCAGGTGTGTTTCTGGTAGACCTTGTTTGACTGATCAGCTGCATACAACGAGACATTTCGTGCCCTGAGCTCCTCCAAATGATGCCCAAATTTGAATGCTATGACATTATATTTCCCCCCTCCAGTGAAACATGGCTTGTTAGGCAGCTGTGGGCTGTTATCGAAATGCATTTCACAGCTGTAAACTGACAACATAAGCTACAGCAATGTGAAGCATAACCAAAGCAGGCCAAACCGACTAGCTCTGGCTAGAACCGCTGGTTAGCTAACCTTGCTGTCTAAACCCCACTGCACTGACGGTTGGCGTTCAAGCAGTGACCCCTAAATCGGCTGTAGCCGTTTATTTGATGAAATACAGGGCGACTCCGACAACAAAAACAACAGATTTGAGGTTCTGGTTTGCAAGCTGCTCTTCCTTACTGCAACTCCTCCACTGTAAGACATCGCTAGCGAGGCACGGCGCTGATTCGGCTCGGAGAGACGGTTGTTTTCGGAGCTAGCCCGCTAATCTGTCAACATGTTTTCGCTCGGCAGGCGGCTAGCGAGCTAAGCAGCTAAAGCGGCTAGCCGGTCTTACCAGATTGAATTCTTTATCTTGTTGTACTGCAGCGCGGTCGCCTCGGGGCCTTGCAGAGCAGGCACCGCGGTGGGGAGAGAGCCCAGGCCGGACACGGGACTCTGCTGCAGCTGCCCAGGTTGTTGTTGTTGATCATCAGCCATCACGGTGAGCTTTCTCGCAGGGAGGAGGAGGAGGAGGAGGAAAAGGAGGGGGAGCGAGCTTTAACATGTAGGCCTCATCTCAGAGAGGAGCAGCGGCTCTCCGGGTGGTGCGCATAGCGGCGGACCGCGACGACTTCACACTCTCATGCGAGCGAGCAGCCGAGAAGAGCATCAGCCGAGATGGTGTCAGTTAATGCATAAAACACAGAGGAGACGAGCGAGCACCGTCGCGGAGGGGGCAGATAAGCAACCGTCGTGCTGCAGCGGCAGCCGCCACGGACGCTGCTGCTGCTGCTGCTGCGGCCAGAGCAGTAGAGATGTCCGACTCGTGAACGACTCGTTTCGAATCGGTTCTTTTCCACAAATCGGTCGAACCGATTCACAAGTGCAACTGAATCGAACTTTTCTGTAGCGCCTATAATGTTAGTGACAACATAAAATAGTAATATAAAATTTCAGGTTACGGCAGGGGCATCATTACGGCATTCTGCATAATCAAATGGTTAACATGTCTACAGATCATTCAGGGAGGTTTGTTGCGTTCTAGAGAAACTTACCGAGTCAGAATTGTTCACACTGGTGGTGATGGGAACCAGACGTCCGAAGTGTTTAAAGCTCCTAAAGTCTCTCTCACGGAAGTGCAACGGTTATTAATACTCAGACTTATGTCCGAGGCATTGTTTTACAGTATTTTTGCGATAAAGGTTTTGGTCTAAAACGTTTTTAATCAGTTTATTTTGATCCATGCATGGTGAAGGGTTACAAGAAGAGTGGTCTCATACAAAATAGTCCCCAAAGAAAACATTTTTTTTCAAATTTGCCAGTATTTTACCATAATCAACATTACATATATAAACTCAGAAGACACGTGGGGGTTCACTGGTGGATTTGGACAGTAAATAAAATGGCTATATTTGTGTTGTAGACACTGAGACCCCTGGTTCCTATCATCACCACTGTAAAGAAATCTGAGTTAAGCTTCTGTAAAAATTAACCATTTCACAAAACACTCTGTTTATATCTCAACCACTGAATTATGCACATATTTTGAAAAATCGGTGGAGTTCCCCTTCAAGAAAAAACTTTGAATTCGCTTACTTTCTCTCTAGTGAATCGTTGAACTGGGCGTTCGATTCATTCAAACGAACAGGTCTAATGAATCGGTTCTGTGAACTGAATCGAACGTCCTATCACTACTGAGCGGAGGCAGTCTGCGCGTGCGCAGTGCGAACGGAGGGCGCTGCGAGCAGAAAGCGTGTTGAGGACGAGGGCAGAAATGCACGTTGTGCAGGTTTGGGAGAACAACGATCTTACATCAGGATCATGTTTTTAACACAAGCAGATCACTTTCATTACGCCTAAAACATCTCAATATACCATGTGGGCCTAATTACAACCTACAAGTGAGCAAATGATAGGGTTCCATGACAGTGTCCCGAAAATAGGTCACTTTAGAAATATGACTATCATCAGTTTAGACGTTCTGTTGTATGCTAAACGATTACTTCTACCTGTGCATCGTCTTTTAAACCTGAAGGAAAGATGTCTGCTGTCAGCTAACAGCCAATAGATTATTAAAGGAGCTCAAATGCGTTTATGAATAAGCCTGAGGTTCAGTCATTTCATTATGTAGTAGTATCAGTGTGTTCACAGATAGCACCCAACATGAATGTTTAGTAGCTTAGCGGATGGTTTTGCCGAACGTGTCTTAAAATGATGAAGCGTGTAACCCTGAAGCGACATGGTCAGTGTGTTGTTCAGGGGCTGAATGGCAGTAGCCACCAACTAGTAAATTTAATGTCTGGATTTCAGGAAAATATTGTGTCTGTGCCACATCATTTCATACATACAGTACAGGTTTCAAGAAAGTGAGAACATGAACACCTCCAGACTGGTGGTCCCTTAATGAGTAATGAAGGTGTTGTTGTTGTGATGCTCTTTGTCGCCACTAGAGGGAGACAGCCGAAGTTTTCTGCTCATGAGACTCATTCAGTCTCACAGTCACGCCCCCCATGGACTGAAGCCCGCTGAGAGCACCACGCCCACACATCACTGGAAATGTTTTGAAATACATAAAAAACAAATAAATAGTTATTCTTATTCTTATGAAATGTATGCATCATTAACTTTAAATGTGCAAATATAATAATGTTTAATTTTTGTCTGAGAAACCTTCAAGTGCGATCTTTAACCCATGAAACGCTTATTACTCAGTAACTAATATGTAAGGAATGTAGTTATGAGCGTGAGGAAGTCAGTACTGATGGGTCCTTAGAGTTTAAAGGAGAATTTCAGTGATTTTTCAAAATTGCATAATTCAATTGTTGAAATGTAAAACAAAGTCATTCAGAGCGGTTTAATGTGAAATGGTTCATTGTAGACAAAACATATTGACTCAGATTTCTTTACAGTGGCAGTGATACGAACTAGGAGTTGTGATTGAATGATTGATTGATTGATTGAGTGATTTACTGATTCATTCATTCATTCATTTATTGACAAAGGACATGTCATTGGTAATTATATCTGGTGCCTCAAGATGTAATTCAACTCTGTTGTAGCACAGTACATATAAACATATGATGAAACACATAAACAATAAACAATATACAACGTTTAGTATAGTTGAATCATGAAAAAATTACACAGTACTTGAATTGGATTTTATACAACGGTTAGTTCCGGCCACGAAAGCTGATTAGTTGAGAAGCGTTCTAACCGCGCTGTTATTTCGCCATAACGTCACAGTTTTTTCACAAACACTGTATTACTCCGCTGAGACGCCGTTGCTAAGCAACGACTTTGACAGCTGTAGGAGACGCTCAAGACATTTGAACATTTTTACTTCTTACTTTGCCACAAACAGAAAATGGATACTTTAAGATTACATTTGACTGACAGCTGATTTAGTCACATTTAGACTCTGAAGATGAGACTACACTAAACTCCTAAACTGTCAGCTGGTCTGTGTGGAGCTGGAGAACGAACTGCCGACTGTGCAGCGAGTGAGCGCAGTTCGTTACTCTGATGTAGCAACAAACTAGTTGTTAAGGAACTATAATTTGGTGGAAGGAACTGCGAACATTAAAACATATTAAATGCTGTGTTCACGGCCCACCACACCAAACTGTAATAGATGATGTAAGAACACTCTCTATAATGGACACATACAATTTAACCAGTAGATCTCTTTTTACTTTGTATTTTTTTAAATTGTCCTAATAAGAAGAACATTTGTTGAGATTTGTTGATGAGAATTAACCCTTTAAAGGCTCACCGGCAGGCCCAATGTTTTGTTACTCGCTTCTATAACCTAAGAGTAGCTCAGCCACTTTGCATTATAGTCCCTGTAGTTACAGAATAATAAGCCTTAGTACGTAATAATCCTGGGATTTTAAGGGGTTAATGCTCCACTTCATCATTAAGTCCCAAAAAATGTGAAAGATTTTACAAGAGATTTCAACTGTCCCAAAACCCACACTGGAGGTTTTACATTCTGTTTTTTTCTATAATCCACTATGATCTCCACTGTTTTTGATGTATTAAGCTGGAGGTCATTGTTAGCACACCATGTTACTGATTGATTCACCTCCTGGTTTCATTATTGTCTGTAACAAGGCCTATTATGGTGATGTTGTCTGCATATTATACCATTTTGACAGATTCTTCATGAGATACCAGACCATTAGTATAGAGAGAAAAAAGCCACAGACACAGTACACAGCCCTGAGGCACACCTGTACTAAATGGCAAGCACTGTGATGTTAAATTTTTGTTTTTAACTGACTGTTTCCTTCCACTTAAAAAAGGTCAAAAACCAATGACATGAAGCTTAGCTGATTTTTAAATCTTTTAACATTATTAAAAGCTGAGCTGAAATCTGTGTATAGAACACTTACATAAGTGTTAGCAAAGTATAAATGTCTCAAAATGTGCTTAAGAACAAGACTAATGGCATCATCAACAGATCGACTGGCTTGACAAGCAAACTGATAAGAATCCAATACTGAGGCTGTATGTGACTTAATATGGGTCAGGGTAATACGCTCAAATGCCTTCATAGCAACCAAAGTAAGTGCTGTGGGTCTAAAATCATTCAGTGAGGTGGCTTTAGCAACTTCAAGCACAGGGAAAATAATTGGTTCTTTAAAACATTGTGGCACAATATACCAGCTCAGAGAGATGCTAAATATATCTGTAAACACTTAGGGCAGTTGACAAGCATAGTGTTTAAACTCAGCAGAGCAAAGCTTATCTGGTCCAGATGATTTCTTTGGACTTTGCATAGTAAGAACAGATCTGACTTCATTCTCAGTTATGACAAATAGACATGAAAGGGGCACAAGCAAAGGTGGAATCTTTTCGTATCGTGCATGAAACAGATTTAACTTGCTTGGTAAGTCCACATCTGATATAGACAGAGACTGTGCTTTATAAATGGTCATTGACTTCAGACTTTACCAAACAGATCTAGCATCATTAGTTTTCACCTTCTCCTCCAATTACTTTGCATAGTTCGTCTATGTCTTTGGCTTTCCTTGTTGTAGATCGCAATTCGTACTTGGCTGCGGTATGTGCATCTAAGTTACCACTTACATATGCAAAATTCTTTTTTTAACAAAGTATTCTGGACTGTTTGGAAAAGCATGGTTTGTTGGGTTTGATGGTTTTGAGTCTTTGTTTATATGCTGGAATAAGTGACACCATGGCATGATCAGATTTGCCACTCTTAATGCATAGCATGCACCATCTTTATTACCGTAGCAATGGTCCAATATATATATATATATATATATCAGACAACGACGTGGACTACGTGGATTGTAGAGTCAGGATAACTGTTTTCCAAAGAAGAGACTTGCCTTGCCAGTTCATTGATTGCTTCTCTACCACTTGCATCTCGGGGTTTCCACAAAAAAGATGGCAGAACAGCACAAATATAGCCATTTTATTTACTATCTGAAGTGACCAGTGAACCTACACGTCTTCTGAATTTTTATATGTAATGTTGATAATGATATAGTAGTGGTACATCTGAGAAAAACACGTTTTCTTTGGGTACTATTTTGCCTCACAAAAAATAAAATACGTTTTTGACCAACATCTCATCTCAGGCATCAGGCAGCATATTTGTAGCAATTTCATGTAATAACTTTCGGGAAAGAACATCGAAAAAACAGCAGAGAGTCCTGTCATAAATCGTTTTCTACGTCTTCTCTTTTGCCATCTATCTATCTGTCTGTCTGTCTATGTATCTATCTATCTATCTATATATCTATATATCTATCTATCTATCTATCTGTCTATCTGTATGTCTGTCTGTCTGTCTGTCTGTATATCTCAAGCATCTAGTCGCAACCTCTCTGTCCGGATTCATTTCCCTGTCAGTCTCTTGTCACATCCCATCTAAATTCAGCATTGTGTCACGTCTGAGCAGTCATTGCAGCCTTGTTTGTTTTCCAACGGCCTTTCAGTGTGAACATCTACAGGCTATATATATTGCCATGGACAGATTTATCTTCGCTTACAAGATTCAGGTACAGGGCGTTGCTTCACAGAATAGCTTGAAAGGTCACACTTTTACACTTGTGTATTTTATGCCTGACGCAGGTTGATAATCCATAAATGAAAAAGTATTTCCAGGAATAACACTCACACATGCCCCTTGTGTGTATTATTATCTCATGACTGAGAAGACACAGGTGGATGTAACTGGTGTTTCTGACCCATTTTTATTTTGGTTATCTCATCATGCTCAGAACCATGGCATTTTAAGACCTTTTAAAGTAATCTAATCTAAAGGGGATTACCTTAATCTAAATCCTGGTGGTCTCTGTAAGGAGAGACCATAAAGCTTGTCGAGGAAGCCAAAGGCCTGAGTGTCCTTACAGACTTAAATGGGACATAAATTGCACAGCCTTTCTTATCCCACAAAGCTATGCATGTCAGCATATTATTTATTCATTTTAGCATTTTCAGGGCCAGTTGTTATCATATTATCTTATGTTAAGCAGCACAAGTTGGAGAATGTTTGTATGAACAATTTTAGCATTTTAATACATTTAGATTTTCAGTGCTTTTCAAGCCATGAGATTGTGAGAGCCATTAAAAAAGTCTTCAGCTTCTGTTTCTTTAAGTATTTTATTTGGTGTGTTATGGATCTTTGAGCTGTTGTAGAAGCTAGTCTCTTTTAAACTTCAGTTTCTTGACTGACTGTGTTGTCAGAATTTGGCTTTCAGAATTTTTATATTTAAAGGAATAAATTCTTCCAACTACCTGTGCAATGTTTTCTGTGCCACTAGCTGCCATACAAACCTAAAGCAAAAGTGTTCCTTTCATCAAATGCTTTTTTCTCTCCTAACATACCTTGGGTGACTGTGGTCATAGGGTTTTTTTTATTTCATCAGTCCACAGCACTTGTTTCCAAAATGCCTCTGGCTTATCTAGATAATATTTTGCATACTTTAGATGTGACTTTTCTGATGAAGTCTCAGCTAAGGTTTTCTTCTGATGACTCTTCTATGCAGATGCTCTGCATAGAACACAGTGCACTACCGTTCCTGTGTTAGCTAAACCTTCCTGCAGGTCCTTTGCTGTCTAAGGGTTGGTTTTGCTTTACCTTTCTGGCCAGCATATGAGCAGTTCTATCTGAATGTTTTTTGGTCTTGCAGATCTTGCCTTGACTTCCACAGTTCCCCTTAACTGCCATTTCTTAATGATATTTCAGTCATCAAGAAATGACATTTCAGACTGGAAGCAATTTTAGATAGGTGCTTAAAGGAGCCCACAGATGTTGAATGTTAGCACATGGTGTGATGAGTCAGAGAACTTATTAGGCTCTGGAATTGTCATCAGCTGACATTTCCTTTGGACAATTCTTGACCTGCATACCCAATCATAACCAGTTTTTGCACATGCTGCAATTACTACTTTATTTTTGTCTATTTGATAAGGTAATTAAATTATTGCTTTAATATTTAAAGAAAATGTTATTTTTTAAAATAGTTTGCTGCAGAGGTTGTTTACCTCTTTTCACTTCAAAAATTATGTAATATGGCTGGGGGTGCCCCAACGTTTGCATACAACTGTGCCTACAAATAATTCATACCAGGCTACTAAGTTGTCACACACGCAATGTTTACGCTGATGATGACGAGGAGGAAGATTACAGGAGCACCTTTGGCCCTTGCGTGAATCTCACTCAGAGATTCTGGGCCAGTGTGGCTGGGGTCAGAGGTCAGTCAGTCTGGTGCTCACGTGCTCCAATCCTCTTACTCTTTGTCATCCTCACACACACACACTGTTGGAATGACCTGGCACCTCAGCACCAAAACAAAAAGCAATCTGTACCAGGCCACTAGCTCACGTCTGTCTGTTTTTGTGGCAGGAAATTGTTGCTTTTATAGAATGACCATGTGGAACAGTGGTCACTTGCAGAAAACATCTTAAGTGAATTTTGGCCTTAGGCCAAATTTTTCCCCTTTACCTTGAGTAAGCTGTGTAAAATCTTTTTTTAGGGAGCTGTTGAAATGGAGCATGATAAAAAAATCATAAATTTCATTTTGAATTTTCAGCAGTTGCAAAACTCAACTTTAAATTCATTCTTAAGCATTTAACAAGAGATTAATACTTAAGATGTTTTATGTAAGCGGCCACTGGACCTTTTTGGTTAATCTTCATATTGTCCATTACAGTGTGTGGTTGTAAATGTCACATGCATTTTTAAATGTAAAACTGTATTTGTTTGAGTACATTACAAATTCAGACAAATTCATACTAGGCCTGTCGTTATTGACTACATTAGTAATAGAGTACAATACCAATTATTTTGAAATTCAAGTTTTTAATAATAGGCCAAACAGTAAAGTGGACTTAACAAACCTTTCACGCATCCCAGAATACTTTATTGGTAAAAGACAAACTAGGAAGCTTTTAAAAACACTTCATTAAAAAAATGGGTGTGTCCAGTAGGCTCTGTTTCTTATTGTTAGAACGACTGGTAAGACCCATGAATTTAAAGTAAGCATCATCAAGGACATTGTCTACTTGCCAATTCATAGAAGGTGAATTCACTTATTTTTTAATCGCAAGAGCACTAGTATATACTCAACACAGGTAGCACAGACTGGGGACATTCTGATACAACATATTCATATGGAGACCCTCTCATGGATGTCACCTCACATCATGTCGTGTTGTCCAGGCCTTGGTGGCTGTGGAGAGGCAGTAGGGGGTTGTCTGGCTGATTTGAGTGAGAAGTCACAGTTTTGGCTCTGTTGGAGGTCCCTTATTGGATTGACTGGAGGCTCATTGTTGACTCTGTGCTGCACGATATTGTGTCACACCAGGACGCAGCACTCAGACCTGCACCAAAAAAAAGACTCTGTTGCTGAAATATAAACGCTTAGGGAGATTTTAACATGGGAACTTGTTATAAGGCTTGTGAAAGGTTGTACATCCATCCTTATTAGTTCATCTGTACCTGAATACAGATACATTTGTATAAATGCCCAGATCTCTCTGTAAAATTTTGTCTTAAAGCCTGCATTATAGACGTACACCTGCATATATACATTATGCCTACTTTCTTTCTTTTTTATTCTATTTTATTTAGTTTATGCCTTCTCATTTTATCATATTCTGTGCTGACTGTCATGTATGCATGCACAAAGACGAATTCCTCATATCTCATATCTAACTTGCATAGTAGTTTCATTACTTATTCATCACTGAATAAATGAACCAGATATCCTTACAAAATAGAATCAGTGTCAGTTTTAGTTTTTTTCTTTTACCAGGTACAATGAAAAAAGGTCCTGATTTAGTTGCAAATGGATAAATGTGTTATAATTACAGAATTATAATTATAATAATTATATTCTATATTATATATATATATATATATATATATATATATATATATATATGTATTATCATTATCATTGTAAGTAACTGTGTCAATGTCATGTATTTTATTCATCTGGAAACACTTTTTGGTGGAACTGGTGAAATAAAGCTAAAATTGCAATGATTTGGACAAGCACTAGACAAGCACTGCACCAGCCAGTATAAACCAACATAAACCAGCATGGAATTCATGGAATTCATGCTGGTCTGGACTGTTTTTTTTTCAGCAGGGTGGAACCTTCATTGTTTCAAATGTAGCCCAAGATTTTATTTAAGTAAATTGTTGTTGCCTTTAATATTTGCCGCCGACTTGTACCGTGTTTTCTCCAGGACGGTGACGCCTGCTTTCTTAGGTCACCCATTCAGCAACAGACAGGTCGGCAGACAGTAAATCAGGGATTAAGTCGTAGTGGATGACCACAAGAGGTAATGAGGAAAAAGCACCACAGGAGAGACCCAGACAGAGCAGTGGAATAAAAATAACTTCACTCCTGCTCCCACCCCCCCCAGACTCAGACTCACCACACAAACACGTGCCAGTTTACCTGAAGCCGTCTGAGTTGGAGTCTACGAATTAAGTAGGTCAGAAGACAAAACAGGACACCACTTAATGACTGGGTGAAAACGTACCAGTGTTGTTTTCTGTAGTCTACACCTATATGATGTGTGTTTCAACAATATGTACTTCTAGCAGCCTTCAATGAAGTGGGAGACTCTTTCCCTGCAAGTTTTTTTGGTATCCCCAGAACTAATGCATGATATAATGAATTTTACAGGGTGTGTAATATGTCAATTGGTCCAGTAAAGGACAACCCATACTTAACAGTCAGTCCTGTGAAATGAACAAGGACCACTACCATCACTTCACTTACTTCTAGACTGCTGAGTTTAAAGCAAAAGATGATCAAAGGAGCTTGTATTTGCTCCTCCCCCTCCATCCTGCCTCACATGGTTTGTCCCAGCCTAAGTAGCCTCCCCCACCAACGCCTCTCTCAGTGGTTCAGTCTTGGTTTGCATTAGCAGTGTAGGAGTAAGTGTGAACTCAGATGAGACAGGCTGTGAGGAGAGGTCAGATCTGAGCTTCTGTGGCCGAGTCTGAGACAGAGAGAGAGAGAGAGAGAGACAGAAAGAGAGAGACAGAGCGAGAGGGGACAGTTTTGGGAAGTTTGCGGATCTAAGGACACTTAACAGCACACAGCACTGAGGAGACACTGCAGCAGCGGTCATGTTTTGTGCATTTCCTGGCCCAGGGTCAGCCAGCAACTCACTCATGTATCACTATGGCAATGGGAAAGCGGTGAGTTGTGGGAATGTCTGTATGTATCTGCTGTAAACTTAACAATGGGTCTAGATATATCACAAATGTGGATAAGACAGTTAGATACATAGAAGTGTCCTGCATACACAGTACTGATGTCTTTGTAGTCTTATTAGAGTCATCTATCAGAATAGTTCATTTGATGATGTATAATAGTCTATATTGCACTTGATGCCCAGCAAATCACTCATGGCAAAGTAATGGATTGTGTGAATTTCTGTATGTCAGATGTAAACTTGGGATTCTTGGTAATGTTTTAGATTTAGAAACATCACATGTACTTTTATAACACAAATGTGGATAGTTAGTGTAGTAAACGTAGCATTATGTTTGTAGCCTTCTTTGAACAATTGATCAGAATCAGTTCATTAAAGTCTGTATAGCATTTAAAGCTGGCCCAGCAAGTCATGTATCACTATGAGGATAGGAAAGCAGTGGGGTTTCTGTGTCTGCTATAAACTCAAGATCTTTAGGAAAGTTTTGGATCTAGAAACATATATGCTTTTATAAGATAAATGTGGATAAAAATGTGGATAAAAAAAAGATAAATAGAAGTGTGTAGGATACAACATATTGGCCTGTCACAACACGTCGACCTTTCATAGTCTCGTAGTTTTGGAATCAGTTCATTTGACGATGTATAACAGTCTGTATGGCTGCATAGCACTCGATGCATATATATATATATATATATATATATATATATATGTATATGCAATTTTGTCTTTCACTTGCCTTATTTTTGGCAGTGTTGATGCAATATGGAAATTATGTCACTTGCCATTGCAACATTGTTGTGAAATATATCTTTGCACTCGTGTTACTGTTCACATCAATGACTGCATCCATCCATGTTGGTAATGCGCTCCATCCTCTTTGTATAACACGTAACAATGCTTAGAAGAGTGGTCCTCATCCCAGAAGTAGTTCAAAGCTTGTTTGGAGCCGCAGGCATACTTTGCCAACTACTTTCATGGTTCTTCTTGCCTGGTTTTGGCTTTTGGGGCTCAACTTTAGAAGTCAGAGACCATCCTATCCTGTGTATCTTAGAAGTCCAAAGCCCAGCTGTAGTGGAGAGTGGGATATTTTTTTGCCGTGAGGTGAAATGCCCTGGTTGGTATGTGGCTGAACTCTGGCAGATGTGTTTTCCCCTGCGCTCTCCACCCCATTACAACAGTGCACAGCCCCCTCTTTGATCTGCACACATGGTAAGTGCCTCCAGACGGGCATGGATGACACAGAGCGAGGGGGGAAAAATGAGTAGCACATGTGTGGGGCTGATTTGGGTTTGACTGAAAATTTCGGAGCAGCTAGTCAGTGAGCTTTGATGAAACGTGTTCCATTGAATCCTGCCTTTGTATGCCATAAGACATGGCATGTGTTTCCAGATACATTCCTACACAGAGCATTGCCGGTTTTTCTCTAAAATGGGTTCTGTGGTAGTGTTTTCACTGGCTCGGACACATACTTGTTTAACGTCATGGCTGCAAGCAGCCCCGCTGTGTGAATTAAGTAACTTCTTTGATCTTCATCCTAGCAAGTGCTTTGATATCTGATGAAGTCTGGGTCATAGAGGCAGGCAGTGAGAGAGCTCCTCTACGTCTTGGCCGCTGAGAGAGGGCTGCGGTGCTTCCGTGATGACCCCTGAGGGTGAGAGAGGTCATGCTGCAGGGTGTTAAGATTATTAACGGGTCGCCTGGCCAGCCATCACTGACTGGGGGCAATTGGCTTGATCCTGCGCCATATGCTGCTCACCGTGGGTTAGAATGAGGCTCCGGCTGACTCGGCCCAATCCTTTCGGGAAAGGAGCCAATCAAGGTCAGCGCTGCGCTTTCTGGGTCATGCGTCTATGAATGGGGCAAACGGAATCATCAGCGGTTTCAGCGGGATCCTGGTCCCAGAAGGCTGTTGCCCAGGCAATGCACATGCCATTGATGTGGTCCAAGGAAGCCTGTGGTCATTTCCTGGAGTGGGAGGGGAGAAGGAAAGCAAGAGAGAGGGAGAAAGAGAAGGGAAGTCAGATCAAAGCACAAAGCAGGTGCAAAGCAGGCTGAGAGGAGGATCCATGTGTCTGTGTGTGCTTGTTTGTGAAACTAATTAGAAGATAACCACATCAAGTCTATGGATATATTTACACTATAATATATAGATAACATATGTTTTACTCCTAATACACATGTGCGCAATGTGCAAAACTTTAGGTCGCTTCTTTAAAGTGTGATCAATTCCAAGCATGATGGTTTTGTAATGATCTTGTAATAATCTTCAGAAACTTTTAACTTAATTAATAAATAAACATGTTAATCCAAAACATCAAATATTTTCATTACGTACTTAAAAAGGGTTCTTTGAGCGTTCTTTAGTAGAGGTAATGGTTACATATAGAACTGTGACAACTCAAAGAACCATTTGAATGTTTCAATGGTTCTTATATAGACTTATTGTTCAGTAACTACACTGACTGGAGTGTTTGAGTTATTCTATGAGTATAGAGTGTGTCTGAAGTATGAGAAGTTTGTAGTAAAAGTACCTTATAAGCATCTACAATATAATTATTTTGTAATTACAGGGACTTCAGTGCAAACTGTTTAAGCTATTCTTAGGTTATAGAAGTGTGTAATAAAACTTTTGGCCATTTAAAGGGTTAGATTTACTTGATTTAAATGTGTACATCAATTCCACGTAATATAAATATATTACATCAACATATTATTGCCAAAAGCAAGTAAACTAAAAGACAAAATGATGTTGATGTAATATATGTCATTCATGTGAAAATTAGGTTCATATTTGAATCAAGTAAATTTAATGCATTACTTTTTTTCAGTGTATCAAGAATGAAATAATGAAATGTAGAATTGTTTCAGTGTGCTTCCTGTGATGCTGCTTCAGTCTCTGTCGTTCTTTAAATGACCTTTCTGTTCTGTAAATGGCCTTTTTTATTCTTTAAATGGCAGGTGTATTCTCCGTCTCCAAATGCAGAGGATCTGAAGAGGGATTCGGCTTCCTACTCATCATTCAGACTGCCCAGCCAGAACTTCACAAATGCATTTTTTGGTAAATTTAGTTTTATACATCAACAATGTGTTCTATCAGTTTTCAGTTTGTTGTCTCTTTAGACCCGAGACTACTATTGTATGTGAACTTTGTGTGTGTATGTACAATGTGTTTTTATGTGTTTATGTGTGTATGTGTGTGTGTATGTGTGTGTGTGTGTGTGTGTGTGTGCGTGTGTATTGGAAGACAGAGGTCTGTTGTTGGAAAGTGTTTTACTCTCAAGGACGCCACAGTCCCTCAGGAGAGAGAACGAAATAAGATCCTCCACAGCCTTTACTCCACTGCTGTTCCAAGGACTTCTTTGGGGCAGGGATGGGGTGGAGGGGGTTGGTGGGGTGCAGAAAAGTGCACACACACAAACACACACACAGACTTTGTTTTCTCAGCTGTTTGGGAAGCATGGTTGGTTCGTATTTTGAGAAGAAAGTCAGGCATTTACAGCCAAACCAAAACCATTTTGAAACTCACGAAGGACTGCACTGTGAATTGAATTCCTCTTATTAACTGTGCTTTGGAAGTTCTCTATTGGGCTTTTGAGTTCTTTGCCAGACTTTTGACATGAGCCAAAAACAATATACAGTAGTTGGCTACTTTTGGCCTTAGCCAAAGACTATATACACTACGGATGTGATGGTGATGCAGCTTGACATTTGTTTGAATTCTAAATTAGATTGTATAAATGTTGAAAAAAATTACATAAGCAAGTTACACCTTCCATTATTGAAACAATCTACTTTCCTTTGACTGAATTGTGCTTTTTATTCTTGTTTATTCTGTCTTCTTTCTCAGTTCACAGTCTTAGTTTTAAGTAGACGGTCTGAGAAAACAAAGATTAAAGAAAAAAGGGTAAGGAATCCTGTCCTGTCTTTTCCTACATTTCTAATTTTCCTCGGTATATTTTGTTATTTAATTTCAGATGGGACAAACAGCTCCACAGACCCCTGGAGCTCATCCAGTGGGATCAGCCCATCGGGTCATGGAGGCATGCTGGGTTCCCCACCATCCAGCCAATCACCGCCCGGGAACTATGGCAACCTGCCAACACATGACCGTCTGGTAAGATCTTACTTTACAGTGTTAATGTGTAGGTTATGAGAATAGCATAGACATAGCCAGAAACTCTAAATCCATTTAATTAAAAGGACGAATCATGTCACAGTCATTCTGAAGCTAATGACACAGAAGGCTTGTAGGCCTTAAAACCAGTTAACATCAGCACTATTGTTTGGCTTCAATGATTGACTTTACTCCATTTATCAGAATCAGTATGATTTATTAATCTGATTTGTTAATATAAAATGTAGCCAATCTAAGGAAAGTTAAGGAATCTATTCCTCATAAATCCTGTTGCAAACATCAATAACTTTAATTCTTTGAATAAATGGAATTAGAATTTAATGAAAGGATTTAAAGGATTCAAAAATACCTTCATAGTATTCTGTTCTGAAAAAATGGCACTTTGAATATCGTCGCTGTCCAAAGAAAACCATGTATCTCCATATTTTCTACATAGTTTCAACACACCAGCTGTCCTTTACGTCGTGTAAAAATTTCATCATGCATGGACCAATAGAAATGCTCTAAAATCACTTGGAATAAAATCTATTTACATTGACTTATATGGAAAGGTAAGAGTGTTTTTGCCTTCTCCTGTAAAGTTACTATTTTGGAGATACTTGTTTTTTATTGGACAGCGACAATATACGTGATTAAATCATGGCAAGTAGTTGCACATACAAATTTAAATAAAACAAATTTGTTGATGTGATATATTTTATTTATGTGTAACCACAGAACACATTTTAATCACTAACCATTTTTGTGTATTATGTTTATATTCAAGACTAAATGCCATTATTACATTTTTTTAGAATGTACTACCAAATTCAGCACTACCTGAAGCCAGCAAGCGTCTTCCGCCAATGTCCACTTTTCACAGAGGCAGTGGCAACGCCACACTTTTTGTGTCTGCACCCCATACTGCACCAGCCAATACCACAGACAGGTCCATGGGTAAGTATTTATTCATAATACTTAATACATAATAATAATTCAACTGAAATTCTGTTGGTATATTAATATTTGGTCATGTAGTAATGACTGCAGTGTATGAAAGGTACAATATAAATAAACTTGTCTTGTTGTGCCTTCCCTAATACTGTATCATCTGTGTGTGTGCTTTCAGGTGGGCAGGGGGGACATGTTGGAAGCTCACACACTGGAGATGCTCTTGGAAAAGCCCTGGCTTCTGTAAGACCTCACTTATTATAACAGCCAGTTAGAGCAGAACTTCAGAATCAGTGGCATGGCATGGTTTTGTTCACAGGGAGGGCAGTGTTGTTATTCATCGCTCTAACATAGTGGCCCAGTCTCATACCAGACTCTGCTGCCTTACCCTATTCGTATAATGTCACTGACAATAAGTGCCACTGTTCCTCAGCACCCCTAGCTGTTGTAAATGTTATTAACTGGCATTCATTTTTTAAACCCTTCAGCCAGTTTCACAGAGGGTTTTATAAACAAAAATGATGTATTTAGTACAAAAATAATAGATTTTTTTAAATAAGGTCCTGTTTTTCAAAATGTCAACATAATTTAATTGGTTCACTGTAGAGAGATGTAGAAACTCAGAGTGGTGGTGATAGGAACCAGGGGCTGCCATGTCTGCAACACAAATACAGCCATTGAAAATTTTATGCAAAATGACCAGTAAAGCTACATGTGTCTTCTGAGCTTTTATGTAATGCTGATGATGGTAAATCTGAACAAATAAATTTTCTTTGGGGAATATCTCACCTTTCAACACACTATATCACATCACCTTGAATTGATTTTAAAAAATACATTTTGGCCTTAAATGTTGTCTCAAAACTATTGTAAAACAGTATCTCAGGCATCAGTAAGTGTATTCATAATCATTTCATGTAATAACTGTCTGTGAAGGAGCTTTTAGAGGCATTAAACTCTTCAGACATCTGGTTCCTATCACCACCATTGTGAACAATTCTGACTCTATAAGTTTACAAACCAGTCAAACCACTGTGACTCTAACCGCTCAATTATATTTACATCTTAGCATAATTATGTAGACATTTTTAAAAACTGGTGGAATTCCCCTTCAGTGGGTGCGATGCCACTACTTTAGCATACAGTATGCTTAAATCACCCAAAAAATGTGATGTATTATTCAGCAATGTTCAATGTTAAATTCAGCAAATAAATTCAGCAAATATACAATAATTGTATTTTAAATGTTCAGCAGTGTGTTCTCTGTAGAGGATGAGTTAACTTATTTTCACTGTGAAAATTAACAAAACGTGATCTGACTTTTGCTTTCAACTTTATGTACTTTAGAAAATTAGGTATTTATGATTATAGCTTCAAAAGCTTGCATGCATGTAAACCTTTTTTTGGCACATAAGTTAAAAGAGACTGTAAATTCCAGGTGGTAAAAAGATCTGGATTGATGATGTAATTTACTTTATGACATTTTCACCTAAGACCCTGAGGCGTAGAGAAAAAGCTTCCAAGAGATGACGAGTTGTGCTTTCAAAGTGATGCATGTGCTGTCACTGAAATCCCTGCTTAACCGCACCCCACCCCCTCACCTCTCCTCAAATGCTCTTCTCTCTGTCTCTCTCTCTCTAGATTTATTCCCCTGATCACACCAGTAGCAGTTTTCCATCCACTTCTTCCACTCCGGGGAGATCCCCATCACCTCTGGCTGCCTCTACAGTTTCAGCAGGTAAAACGCTTTGAGGGTGAACTTTTTTCTTTTCCTTTATCAAAGCTGGAACTGGCCAGGTAATGCTATTGAAACAGTTAGAAACTTAAAATCCACAGTGTTTCTGTAGGTAGCATAAATCATATATGCATCTTTAATACAGCATCTTTAGTAACTATAACCATTTGTATTAGTATTTATTAAACGAAAGAACTTGGAATGACTCATTTCTTGAGATGGACACAGACATTCCATCTTATTTATCAATATATTTCTTTCAGGAGCCAACCAATGGCCTCGATCAGCTGGACAGCCATCACTGCCGTCCAATTACGATAACTCTCTGCAGTCGCTGGTAAAGTCCTCTCAGACTTTTGTTATCGTTGGGTTTTAAAAAAAGCAATGTTTGCAATAAATATGATTATGTGTGTTTCATTTCTTTCCTAACTTAGAGTTTCTGTGTTTCTGAATTTCAGATCGAGGACAGACTGGACAGACTAGATGATGCCATTCATGTCTTAAGAAACCACGCAGTGGGTGGGACGAATATCCCCCTGAACAATGACTTACGGAGCCTTATTGGACAGACACAACACGGACCAATCACAATGAGGTCTAACTACCCCATCTCAGGACAAGTGACAAACGGATTACCAACAGATGTAAGCCCTCCTTATCTCTTTAACTAGCCTATGTGTGCAGGCGTTGTAATATTGCATGTAGAAAAAGCCCCCATTGTGTCCAATATGTAAAGTTGCAATGTAATGAAGTGCTTTATAGCCATGACCTTAAAACTGCCACTCAGATTCACACAGACACACCCACACACTGCAGATTTAACCAGCAGGTTGTAATATTTACTGCATCCTGTCACTGAATTGTGGAATAGTAAATGTTGAGGTTGTGGTGTAAGGATGATGTATGAAGGTTTGTTTATTTAGGTTATAGATGTAAAGAATTCTTCAGCTCCAGATAGAATCACTCTTCACAGCAACACCAAAAAGTGTCCTGCATTATGTCCCTGCAAGGAAAACATGCTAAAGTCTTAATAGTGGCCAAAACCAATCACCCACTGTAACCAGAGGTGACTAGACTAGCCTGGACAAATACTAAAGTAAAAGTCGTGTTACTTTAGGAAAATAATCACTCAAGTAGCAGGTCAAAAAGCGCTTAAGTAATTTATAAAAGAGCAGTAAAACTACTTAGTACACCCAGCATCTATCACTGTAGGAGTGAAACATTGGTAGGTGCTATTTTTCTCTTTGTGTGTCCTTTTGGACCAAAAATAAAATTGTAAATGTGAGATCACACCAACATAAGAGCTGCAAGCCACAGGAAAACATGACAGATGCTGGTTGTAATGTAACATAATCTAATTATTATTAACTAAATGTTTACTAAATGTTTTTCCTCATAAATATACTTGAGAGAAAAGTAAAAGCATTATGATTTGAATGAGCTCATAAAAGTACATATCCACCAAAATGTTGCTTGAGTACATGTGACTAAGTAAATGTAAGTAAATACTACCCACCTCTGAGTATAAGTTGGTCCAGTCGGGCTCTGAAATAAAGAGAAGCAATGGTATAGAAGGGTCGCAAGGGGAGAGCCCACTTTTAGATGCAAATAAATGAGGTGAGAAGATGAGAGGCAACCTGTCATAAACAAGCCTGCTCTGTACCCTGTAGAAAGAAGTTTGGGAAACTTTTTGGTAAATTTTTGGAAAATTTTTGGATTTAGCTAGTTCAGTGAGTAAAATGATATAGGCAGTGACGTGTAACATTAGAGAGCAGCTCTGTCAAAGAGACATTATACACAAATACAATAAGGAATTATATCTTAATAATGTATGAGTGTGGCAGGTTAGTATGCAAAATATTAATATATTGTTACATTCTGAGGGTTAACTGCAAGTATTGAAGTGAGGCTGCCATGCATGTCATGTCAAACTGTTGTCAAACCAACTTGTTAGGTTTTAATTAACTGTTCTTTTATTGTACTTCTTCGTGACAGCAAAGACGCAAAGGAGTTAGCTAGCTGTTGTTCAGCTCTGTAGCCACCATATTTTAATTTAATTTTTTTCTTACCTCCCTACTATGTATTATATTGTGGAACAATAGTGTCCATCATCAGCATAATCAAAAACTGAGCAATTCTATGCATGTATGATGAATTTTTAAAAGTATTTTCATATTTGTGAATATACTACATACTACAGTATATGCTGAAAAAACAGGTAGACTTTAATATAGAGTTGCACAGTCATTATTTGCTTAGACTGAGTAGCTTAAATCTAACATTGATTTTGCAGATCTGCTTTATAGTTTGCTTTGTTTCTGACAAAACTCTGGGGAAACTGACTGAATATGTTCCTGAGAGTGATATACTGTATTTTCTGTTTGTGTGTCTTGACAGATGTCCGTTGACCCAGGTGAGGCTGCTCATTTGGCCGTACACTCTTCAGCTGCTCCTTCTTCTTCTGATCTCACTAATCAGGAAGACAGCTTCAGAGGTCTGCCCAAGTCATCTTCACTCCCACTCCCTCTCTTCTGCTCATTTCTTCAGTTCCATTTTTCTTCTGCTCATTTGGTTCAGCTGCTGTTACCAGTGCGTTAATGCAGTGTTGTTTGCTTTTACTGTTAATAAAAAACTTACCATTGATGAAACTCTCTGCTTGTGTCCTTTAGCTCTGGCTGCAGGGCTGCTCTCTAATGTGTCTCCAGGCTGTCTTGAAGTGAAAGTGGAGCCAGCTGATGGGGAGGAATTTAGATTGCACCAGGCGCACCCTGCCCACCCGCTTCACCCCCCTCATTCCAGCTGCCTGTCTCACCTCTCCTCGGACGGCTTGCACTCCGATGCAGAGAGTGACACCCGAGAGCTAGAAACAGCCAGTGCTGGTGCAGCCACCAGGAACAGGTGATGTCCTCCCGTAACAGCAGAAAATCTGCACAACCAGCTCCATTACAGCTTCATAACTATATTGTAATAGAATTAGTTAAAATACAATAATGTAGTAATATACACTGTACACACATGTACACTGTGGGTTAAGTTCTAAAGTGTGCTTGTGTACTAATTAACTCAAAATTTTAAGTTAACCAGGTTACTTACTTTTTTTTAAGTTTAAAAGCTGCATTATTATTACATTGTAATAGTGTAATTATATTGTGACAAAGTACATACTTACAAAGTACATGCTTACATTCCCAATAATTGCAATACAGCTCTCAAATTACCCAGATTGGCCACTAGAGGGCAACAGGAAACTATCATAGAAATACATCTGTGTGCATTGTACAATTGTCTAGAAAGATTTAAGATGGGATGACTATGAAAGTCTTACAAGTGTTTAGCACTTAACACTTTCTGCTGCCTTGCCATATTTACCTCCTCACACATTTTGAACCATTTATTTTCAGTGTATGTGATCCATGTTATTTTATTTTAATGAATCTGAAATTTGACGTCACATCTACAACTAAATAGAGTGTTGATAAATAAAATCTGAAAACAGAAAGAATGCTAACAGATTAGGGAATTATTTGACTACTCATGCTTTTTGCCAAAGCTAATTCTCTTTGAATATGTGAATTCTCATGTAGTTCTAAATGACTGTACAGGACTTTTAAGCATGCATATAAAGATGAACATGATTCAGATATGTGTTCAATTTTGAGCTTCTACTTACAGCATTTCTGTGTGTGTATGTTTGTGTTGGATATATGTGTGCGTGCTCACAGCAGCATCCATGAGGATGAGGATTTGTCTCCGGAGCAGAAGGCCGAGCGGGAGAAGGAGAGGAGGATGGCGAACAACGCCCGCGAGCGTCTGCGTGTGAGGGACATCAATGAGGCCTTCAAGGAGCTGGGCCGCATGTGCCAGCTGCACCTGAAGAGCGATAAACCCCAGACCAAACTGCTCATCCTTCACCAAGCCGTCGCAGTAATCCTAAGCCTAGAGCAACAGGTCCGGGGTAAGCACTCCCTGCACTCAGGATAAGTTGTTTAATTGGGATCAGTTTTAGTTCATCTGTGTAGCACTGATATGGTGATATTTACAGCAGTACAAATCAAGAAAATTAATGGAATATCTTTAAAAAGGATAACAATCACTGTGCTGTGTTGGTTTATTTTTCTTGGACAACATTTCAAGTTTAGTTAGAGAGTGTTCACTGTAGGCCAAACCTAGAACCACCTGAATAAACAGAAAAAGTCTTCACCCCCTTACTAAAATTGCAGGTTTTTGTGATGTTAAGCCAGAAATTAATGTTAGACATTCCTCCCTCTTTAATATGGGCTTGAAAACAACAAAATACAAGAAGAAAACAAATAGATAATTATTAGAAAACATAACTGAAAAAACACTTACAATACCCTGGTTTCATAAGTGTACACACCCTTGTAGATGTGTTTAGTGTTAACAAATCTAATTCTAGTTAACCCTAAATATAACATTGCATCCTTCTGTTTCATGAGGAGCAAAACATCTGTAGAGTCTTACTGTTAAGCAGTACAGATTAGCAGAATAGTACAATAGAATATCAAAAACATTGGCTGTACCATACAGCATTGTGTAGACTCTTGTCAGTAGGTGATGAAAATGTGGTACCACAAGGACAAAAAGATCCTCAAAAGCTGATGATGAGACATAAGAAAACTTATCATGTAGACTGTCAAGAGGCCTACAGCAACATTAAAAATCTGTCTAAAGTTTACCAAAAACCCAAAACCTTTTTCTAGTTTATGAGACAATGATTGAAGTTTTTGTACTGAATTCTAAAAGATATGTTTGGCACAATGACAAGCTGATGACAAGGATGACACAGCTCATCCATTAAAGAACACCATATCTGCTGTGAAGCATGGTGGTGGCAGCATGATGATTTGGGGCTGCTTCTCTTCTGTTAAGACAGGGGCTCTAGTCAATAGATGGAATGATGACTGGCTCTGAATATCAAGATATTTTGGCACAAAGCATACTGGCTCGAACGTTTATCAGGAGAAAAAGTGAGATAAAATTGCAAAGTCTAAAGCAGTAAACAATGCAATGCAAAAGGGGCTTCAACACCTTTGGTAGTAACTGTGGGGTTGTGCACACTTATTCAGCAAGGAAACATTCAGGCTTAAAGTGACAAAAACAAGACTCTTGTAGACTTTTTTACATCTGTATTAGTAGTCCTGGGTTGGCCTACACTCTAAAAAAGATAGTTCTTCAAGGGTTCTTTAGTAAATAAAATGGTTATATATAGAACCATGAACACTCAAAGAACCCTTTGCATAATTAAAGGGTTCTTTGCATTGTGAAAGCGTTCTTCAGATTGATGGAGAATGTGTTGTCGATTGTTCTATATAGAACCTTTTTGAAAAAGGTTCTATATATCACCAAAAAGTGTTCTTCTATGGCTATGATATTATGCCTATAACAATAGCAGAATACAATGAAGTCTGACATCGTAACAACAGAAGAACCCTTTTTGGTGCTTAATAGAACCCTTTCCAAAAAGATTCTACATAGAACCATCTACAGCACTTATCCATCAATCTGAAAAACACTTTCATGATGCAAAGAACCTTTAATCATGCAAAGGGTTCTTTGAGTGTTCATGGTTCTATATAGAACCTTTTTTTTACTGTATTAGACTGTCTGTCTATTTTGATATCTGATGTATGGTCTAATGCATCAATAACCCATATGCTGTGTACTCTCCAGAACGTAATCTCAACCCTAAGGCAGCATGTCTGAGAAGGAGAGAGGAGGAGAAGGTGTCGGCCCTGACGCTTGACCCCCACGCCATGCACACAGTCATCCACACAGCACTATCTGACCAAATCAACAGCCTGTCTGGACATCTCTGACTGAATGTGTGAGGCTTGTGTATGTGAGTGTGTCTGTGTGTGTGTGTGTGTGTGTGTGTGTGTGTGTGTGTGTGTTTGGGTTAATTCCATAAACTGCAGTATTTTATGATAACCAGATATGTTTGACAAGCATACACTCAATTTTATAGCACTTTCCTAGCCATTAGCATTATAATTGACTTTAAAGAGAGATGTAAATTTTACACTGTTTATATGTACACAGTTACCTGACAAACCAGTTTGTTTTCCCACATTCATACTGTTTTCTGGGAAACAACACGCAGTTCTGAGAATCATTTAGCATTCTCCAGTGGCAATCCAGATTTTTACAAGATAATGAAAGAGGAATATACAAAAAACACTCAAAAATTGTACAAATCATGCCCTTTTATACCATTACTGATACCATGGACTTCAATGCAATAGTTGTGATAGTAAAGCTGGTTCCTCAGTACTTTACAAACTTCAGGCTAGGCCTTTGACAACGATCCATTTCTGATAGAAAAGTGAATTTTCATATATTATAGTGTTGACATGGCTAGTTACATGATAAGTGACAATGTTATGGAATATGGAACCAAAATGCTAATATTTTGTTGTAATTTTCTACTTATACATTTTTTACATGTAAAACAGAAAGACCAATGTCTCTGTGTACAACATATTTCATAGAGTTTTGAAATAAAGTGTATGAAAAAGAGATTTTTGACATTATGCATTATGTTTGGTTGGTGTACCATATCTGTGTTTGATTGTTGAGAGAATCTAAAGCATTCATTCCCTGTTCACTTTAGTTAATTTGGCTTGTCTAGACATTCATTTCAAAACTGCAAGCATTACAATGAAGTCTGACATCGTAACAACAGAAGAACCCTTTTTGGTGCTACATAGAGCCCTTTTCAAAAAGGTTCTATAAAGAACCATCCACAGCACATTCTCCATCAATCTGAAGAACCATTTCACGATGCAAAGATAATCATGCAAAGAGTTCTTTGAATGTTCATGGTTCGATATAAAACCATTTTCTTTACTAAAGAACCCTTGGAAAAATCAGAATTTTGAAGTATATATTTTCAAAAAGTTTCTATATAGAACGCTGTACAACGCATTCTTCATCAATCTGAAGAACCATTTCACAAAGAACCCTTTAATCAAAGGCTTTTTTGAATATTCATGGTTCTATATAGAACCATTTTTTACTAAAGAACCCTTGAAGAACCATCATTTTTAAATGTGTATTTTCAAAAAGGTTCTGTTTAGAACTAAATACAGCACATTCTTTATTCTTTAGAACCATTCCCTTTACTACAGAACTCTTAAAGAACGTTCTTTGGAAACACTTCTGGAAGGTTCTAGGGCGGCAGACCGTTATTTTTCTCTCAGGGTGTGGAAATCCTGTTACATTCCAATATGGAATCTGAGGCCGCGAGAGTCAGAGCTGAGCACGCGCCTCCTGCCGACCAATCGATGCTGTGTGGGAACTTGTAGGAGTGTCATCAGTCCAGGAGGACTCGCTTCCACACACTGGAGTTCAGCCTTTCTCACAGGACTAAACCTGCTAAGCCCGCGGTGTGTGAGGGTGAGCGAACTCCTTCAGAGGAGAAACCTTCTTTGAACGTGTTCTGAGAGAAATGCCGTCTCGACTTTAAAGCTGAAGTGAACACTGGTAAGTTAACTTTCAGGCTCTTTTCTCTGCCGTTATTTCCACTTAGCTGAGCAGCAGGAAGAGACGGAGGTTATTGATAGTAGCGCGAAATGAGGCTTCAGAAGTCATTAAGGAATCATCTGTTCTGAAGACTTAATGCTCAGATACAAGGGCACATCAGTTCACCACAGAGCTACACTGACCTGACCGCTGACACATGTGTGTGAAATACTGAGTCATCGAAACTTGTCATTTTGTCGTGTCATACGTCCTGCAAGCTCTGTGAAATGTAACCCACCTGAGACCGGCAGCGTAAAACAGGTTATATAACCTGACTGTAGGACAAGTCAGTGGTGTAGGTCACTTCCCAACAGGTGTATCTGAAGGAGGACGTAAAAAGGTATGTCTAGCTCTTATATAGGATAGGATTTTATCATCACTAGTGTTCAGTGTGCCACTCTGAAATGTTCACATTATATACATTATCTATTATCTATTAATAACACCTGAATACTGGTTATCAGCAGACTGCATTCTGTTTTATTTCTTACTCAAATCCAATTCAGTGCTGACAAGGACTGAAGTTGTCATGTAGGAGGCTGATACAATAGCACACTGTTAACCTACAAAAACATTGTTGTCATTGTAGACCTCAGAGTTGGAGCACTGCTTGACTGCTTCTCCTCTCATTTTGTCGTAAGTGCAGCTGGATGACCTACTAATGCTGTACTATTGTTCTACAAGATGATGTAAAACTTTAGTTGCTATTGTTCAATGTCAGCCTAAGGTGACATAAATGGTGTTGAGACTGAGTGCCTATTGATTGTTTTTCAGCATCTCTTGTATCATGGAAGACATCACGCACAAACACAGAATGGAACTGCATGGAGGGCTTCAAGATGGCCACATGCATCTGGGTGGTAATCGATATGACCAAATACAGGCATCTCATGCTGTTGGACCAGAATCCTTTGGAGTGAGGGTACAGGTACAGGGTATAGAGGGCCGTCCATATGTGGTTCTAAATGGACAAGGTAGGCCTTCACAACCTCCTGCCTACCCAGATGTCTTCTACATGGATCAGCCCTACCAGGAGTATGTTTCAACTATGAATGGTCGAGGATCCAGCGTCCCAAGCCCTCTAATGGATCAGAGATCAGTGAGACACATGCACACAGCATCTCCAGAGGTTCCAGTGTCCACTAAAAACCCAGGCTCTCCCTTGCTAAACTACCAGAGACACCCTGAGCTCCTCAGACCCTATGATCCCAGGAACAATAGTCTGGACCTACAGGGCCTTCACCACCATCCTAATAATAATGCTAATAAAATGGTTGACTCTGATTTAAACCAGTGCAGCACAAACTCTTCACCTGTTTCTGCATCTCATGTGATGGTAAAGCGAGCCAGGATCCCCGTGCCTGGGACAGGGAGGGAAAGGGCCCAGGAGCACACTGATTCTGGAGGAGGAGCATCTTCAGAAAGTGTACCCTGCCGTCCATCACACATCATCTGTAGGCTGTCTGTACCAGACTGTAGCAGTGACCACCGAAGGTCCTCACAAAGGATGGGTAGAGCAAGACACAGAAACCAATTGGGTCCTGAGGACAAGAGACGATCACGAAGTGTCGGAGCATCCAGCTCTGGTGACTCTTCCAGGACAAGCCCTGCACCTGGAGGAGGACGAGGGATGGGAGAGGGAGTAGGAGCTGGACTCGATTATGCTCAGCATGACACCCTGCCAAGGATGAAAACAGAAGAGAGCATGTATGAGGACGATATAAGATCTCTAACTGCAGCCCAGTTAGAAGAACAGCAGAAGGAAATGATGAAGCCGTCAAGATTGGGAAGAGTTATTTACAGAATGGAGAGGAGAAATTTCTCTAAATCTGTTCAACAGAATGGTGACCACTCAAGCCCAGATAGAGAGGCCCAGGTATTGTTTGCCTGTACCAAATGATATTAATATTTCTGTCTATCTCAGTGCCATGACAATTAAGCTATGTGGAAAACCCAGTACTTGTGTGTGTGTCCTAGAATACTGCACAGCAGTAAATGTATTAATCATAAATGGAGACAAACATGCGCTGGTGAAATTTGTGCAGAACACTAATAAAGACACTTTGTAAATACATAATAGGCCTGTTTAAACCTAATGACTAGCTGTAGATGAACAATATTTTTATATATAAATTCTTACTTCAGAACAATGCCCTTATGTGCATTCTTATATGTTCCTGGGAAAGGTTACCCCTGATATTTTGAAAGGACAGCGAGAGCTTCTAGAGCAGCCAAATGAAGATGCAACTAAACTAGTGCTGTTCAACTACCTCAAAGAAGGGTAAGAACATACACATCAAAATCACATTAGTCAATGCAGTCAGATTTATGAGATGTGCAATGAACTGGTGGTGTTATCTTGTGAAAATCCCCTTCCATTAAGCTTTAAAGCCTTGTCTGAATCTTTTGATGATTAAAGTTGTGGAGAGCTGTGCTCTTCTGTAATCCTCAGATAACGTGATGTTATTTCAGCTGGCTGGACTCAAAAGTCCCAGGCTTTGGAATGTAGCAATTTTAAGCCCACGTATAAAAGTCTCATATTTACAGTTAAACTCCTCAAGGTTATTAAGATTTGACAAGAAAGAATTCTCTAAATACTTCTCTAATTAAAAGGGAAGCTTTATTAATTCATTGAGTTCCCCAACCAGACATTCATGTACAGTTACAGACATTGGACCACATTTCCCTCATGGAGTGTTCTAACAAGCTAAATATGACGTAGTAATAGCAAACAACGTCTTCATACTAATGTTTACTCTTGTACTTGCACACTGGTCTGCAGGAGTGGTGAGGGTGATGAGATCATCAAGCAGAAGGTGAATCTGTTGTTTGAGAAGATCCAGATGTTGAGGTCGTGTGCTGTCCAGAAGGTGGAGGAGGTGAGGGCTGTCACTGGTAAACCAGCGCTTATGGTTTTTCAACCCATAAAAAACAAGTGTAATACAGAAGTATTAGAAATAAGCATCATAATCATGTGATTGGGTGGGTGATCTGTCCTGTGTCCAATTAGAAACAACCCCTCTTTGATTTCAGTGAAAAAAATCTCTTATTGAAATAAATGATTGTCTATTTGTGTGTATTGAGTTTAGCTCTCTGACTCAGTGACTGAAGTAAAACAGCTCCAGGACAAAAGGGCAGCACTAGAGAGCGAGGTCACCCAGCTCAAACAGCAACTAGAGGAGGAAATTAAGGTAATATGGCACATAACATAACCTATAACGATAGTAAACAATAGCATGAATCAGTTTAACCTGTGGTCAGTTCTGCTCGCTTAGAGTTTTGAGCAAAATGTTTGAAGTAGCCATTTTGGAGTTTTGATATATCTCTGTTTGTAGTTCAAAACTTAGCTTGAAATACCAAAATAAAAATGTTATGTTTGTCTTCACAGAACAGAGAGAGCCTGTCAGAGGCAAGTGAGAAGAGCACAGAGGAACTGAAGAAGCTTCAGGACAAGCTAAGTAGGAGTGAACAGGAGCAAGTGTCACTTCGGCAGCGGCTGACTGACATGGAGAAAGAGTTGCAAGTTTCACTGGAAAAGTATGCCATTTTCATCCAGACACCACAGGGTTCAATTCTAAATCCAAGGTTAAGGCCTAGTAGAAGGTTTTGCCTATTTCAGTATTTAAAGAAGGAGAACTATTTAATGCAAATGCTATGTTTCCCTCTGTTTATAATCATAAAGTAAACTCATGAATATTGCTCAATTGTGCTGTTTTGTATGTATCAGACTCCTGCAGATGAAGAGGGAGCGAGAGCAGAGCCGGGCAGAGGCGAAGGGTCTACAGCAGCAGCTCTCAGACATGCACGATGAACTAGACAACACCAAGAGCACAGAGCAGGGGGAGAGAGACACCATCCTACAGGTGAGGGACTCTCAGATGCAAATAATTGCATCTACGTCTTTTGACATTAGTTTTGACCTTGTGCTTTGCTAAACACAATATGTTTGACACACCACTATTTATAAAGTTATTTTATGTAAGTCAGTTTATTTTTTCACTTTTTTTCTCTCTATCTCTCTCAGGAGCTAGCTAATTTGCGTATGGAGTTCCAAGAGTTGCAGCAGCTGGAGGAGGAGCAGGAGGAGCTGTTGCGATGGAAGGAGAGGGAGCTCACTGCTCTAAAGGGGGTGCTAGAAGAGGAGATTTCATCTCATGCTAAGGAGGTGGAAACAATGAAGGAGCAACACCAGGAGGAGGTGCAAAAGCTACTCAAGGCCATAGAAGAAGCTAAAGAGGCAAGTGAGAAGGGTTTGATTTATACTGAGGTGGTAGCTATGTGTACAAACAGTGTATGTTCATTGTCATAACAAAACTTTTTATCTCCAAAGTGGTAACTTTACAGTAGAATGAAAAAGCATTCTTAACTTGCAACAAGATTTTTTTCACAGCAATGGAGACAAAAGATCACAGCGATGATATAAAGGGTATTTTGTGTCACATTTACGTGATACATTTACATTTTGTCAGGCTTATTACAACAACTCTATTTAAAGTTCCCATATTCAATGTCACTGTGGTCCCAAATTTAATTTTTTGTGTTCACCACTGCCTTTTTGCAACCTGTTTCTTAGCACCCTTCTATTGACTCAAAATGTCAGAAAGAGAGAAGCTCATGCACCCCATGAGTGACTCAGCTTTCTTTTGCTCTCAGGGCATGGAAGCTCTGGGTCAGGAGAAATCACAGGTAGAAGCCGAGCGGGGAGAGAGCAGGGCCCAGGTGAAGGAACTCACTCTAGCTAAAGAGCTGCTGCTCAGTCAGGTCCACAGCCTGGAGACTCAAATCACCACTCTCAACAACATCATACAGCAGGAAAAGAACCAAGAGAGTCAACTCAGAGAACGCCTGGACAAACTGATGGTGAGAGGATTCATTATGTTCATTGGTTCATTATTTTTGTTTTAATAAACAAAGTGCGATAACATTTATGTGGTAACTAGGAGGAGAAAGAGAGGCTTGAGGAGGAGTTTTCAGAGGTGAGACAACAAGAAGAGGACATGTGTGGTGCTAACAGAGCTCTGACCAGACACCTGGAGGACACACAGGTCAGACATACCTGCAGAGGTCAAATGCGCATGACATACTCATGTACCTATAGACACACCTAAATATATCATAAAGACAAATCCCATTTAATCATCGGAGAGTATATTCAGCTCACAGCAGGGTACGCAGTCTTGAATTATGTTTGAGCGTGCTTTAAATGAATATTAATTTTAAACTGATGAATATACTCTGTAGATAGCCTTGCATTGTCTTCTGTGCTTCTCCTCTGTATTAAAAATTGCTTCTTAAGCCTAACTGAACTATCTCTTCTCCTCTGCTTGTAGAGTGAGCTGACCAAGCTGAACTCTGAACACCGGCAGCTGAAGGAGAGACTGAAGGAGGAGAAAAGGCAGGTGGAGGAGCTAAGAAAGAGCAAGAGGGGGCTTGAAGAGGAGAGGAGGAAGCAAGACAGAGTATTTGAGAAACTACAGGAAGAGGTGAAAGGAGTTGTCATGTGCAAATTAGGGAGATACAGATGTTTCCGTCTGGTTGAGTGTTTTTTACAGTTTTCTCCCAATCTCAGTCATGTCCAGTTCGACCTGCTAAGCCAAGTCTGTCCATCACACAGTGCTACCAAGCTGGGAGGGTGAAGGCTAGCATGTGCCTTCACTGAGTCATGTGCCACTTAGGAGCCTCTGATTCTACAGACTTTTGTTCTGTTCGGAGTCAGACTACCACCATAATGCAACGTAATTGGACAGTTCAACACGCTTGAGGGAGAACACTCTTTCTGTTAATTCTGTTAATTCAGCTAACAGTTAGCCATGTTGGCTAGCAGCATACTGAGTGATGAGGAAGAGGGAGGGCTATCCTGCCCACCCAGAAAGAGTGAGGACAGTTATGCTCTATTAGACTCCCGGCCATGGATGGCTGGAGATCAAACTCATGTTCTTCCAACAATAGAGTCCATGCTTATATGATTGCACCACTCAGGAGCCCCTGATTCTGCTGATTTTTGTTCTTTTGAAAAAAATCTGTTTAATATAGTGTAAATTGTTGCTCTTACAACCCCATCCATTCTCTCTCTCTCTCTCTTTCTCTCTCTGTCTATAGATGAATGCATTGTTAATGGGTTCAGAGAGGGAGACCCAGAGATTGCAGGATCAAGTGGATGAAGCCAGGGAGCAGAGCCTGAAGGAGCTCAGTGTTCTGCGCACACAGCTACACAACACCCAGACTGAGCTGGAGAAACACACACACGCTTCACAAGAGTGCCAAAAAGAGGTGTTGGATAAACTCACACACACACATACACACATACAGTCGGGTGTGGTCAGACAATAGCCATATGGTTCCAATTATTGGCCCTGGGAGTGAAATCACTGAATCAATGCCAAAAAAGGCAGTAGAGTGAAGAGAGGCATAGTAAACAATCAGTGGGTGAGAATTCTGTTTAGTTTTAAAGACACTTTGCAGGATTGAAAGCTTGATAATCCAGTGTTTTCCCAGGCATCATTATCTAGTCTTATCTAGTAAGCTAATATTTTGTGAGTTTACATTACTTATGTTTCTTTGTCTGTTGTATTGTGTGTATTACTTATGTGTGTTACTCAGTGTATTATTTTGTCTTTGTGTGTGTGCAGGTGTGTCGGCTGGAGACTGAGTTGGCTCAGCGTGAGGGGGAGTTGGAGCAGGCTGAGTTAAAGTGTAAGCAGCTGGAGAAAAGAGTGGAGGAGCTGCAGGAGATCAGCAAAACCACACAGGACGACCGAGACAGACAAGTCAAACTCATGGAGGTAAAGCCACACGAAAACGCCATTTCGTGCGACTGTTCCCTTCTGTTAAAGCACATGTTCAGCCAGTTCTCAGGTGGATCTGATCAACTCATCAGAGGTTGGTTGCAGCCATTGTTCAACTTGTAAACTGTTATTCCACCTGTCAGTACTAATAAATTCTGAGAATGTTTCAAAGATTTTACTTTTCACTCAAATTGTTATGCTGATAATAAAAAAAAATAAAAGAGAAAGAAGAAGAAAAGAAAACAATGTAACATAGTGGTCATACATATATATATATATATATATATATATATATATATATATGTGTGTGTGTGTGTGTGTGTGTGTGTGTGTGTGTGTTGCTATCTGAACAAAAAAAAACTTATCTACAAAATGAAAACTTTAAAGAAAAAAATATTCTTAACTCATAATGGAAGTTTTTTCTAAGGAATTTTAGGACATTTCTGTGTTTTGGTTCATCATAAACATTTAACACAACGCAAAGAGTACCTTGAATTTTTAGATTCCAACAAAGTGAAAAATGGCAAAAAAGTTTTTTGTGCAATAACACAAGTGGCTGTTCCTCTGTGTGAATGGGAGTGACTTGTCTAATGACACAGCACTGTTACATTCAGCCACACAGAGGAACCTACACACAGAGCCACACACACATGCACCCACACATAGTGTCATCTGATGGCAAAATAAAGCAAGGAACAAGAGGACAATGACCTCATACAAGCAATGTCAACTTACACCTATTGCTGGGAGCACAAAAGGTCAAAGTAAAACAACAATCACTTAATGTACATTTTAAGTACATTTTCCCTTTTATTGGAACATGGGTATCTTACTAATTGTCAGGGGTCAGATTTCATTTTTTTATATGCGTGTGTAGGAACGGGTGGCTCAGCTGCAGGAGGCTCTGGCTGAGGAGCGCAGCAGTGGAGACTCACTGATGCAGAGAATGGAGAGAGTCAGAGAGCAGGTGTGTACTCAGATAGTGTGTTCCTGACCACAACTAAATCACTTATCAAGACATCAGATCCATCACAAATCACCATATCAGCTATTATAGCATGTTTCTCATTAATGAACAGAGTTTTGTAGAGCTTAAAATATTCTTCCAAACACACTTAGGACCTGGCCATTCACACTGGGGTTTGTTCAGGTTCTTTATTGGATTTTAGTCAAACTTACTTCTGCTTAGATTTTTTTCTCCTGAATTTATTCCGCTTTTGGTAGCTTAAAGGGGAATTCCACAGATTTTCCAAAAAAAAATTGCATATTTGTATCATTGAAATCAAAATAAAAACAGGGTGATATGATGTGAAATGGTTCATTGCAGATTTTTGTAAAAATCATATAAACATGGTATGGTATTGTTTGATACCCTCTATTTAAAATCAAGGGGTCTCTAAAACATAAATAAAATATAGTTTTAGTTTTTTAAGTAAAAGATTGCAAAAATAAAATAGAAAACAAAATAACTGATAATCCAAACAAGGTGGTTTATGGTTCGAGGGGCTCAGTAAATGTTTTGCGCTTTAATAAAAATAATATCATTTTATTTGTGTACAGCCATTCTAAGCTGTGTTTGCTAGTCATATACTGGCTAGGATTTTTGAGTTACGCTCAAAATTAGCTAAAATTGACAAAATGAAATGTTTAATCGTTTGTTTTAATAAAATAAACTAAATAATAAAGTATAGAGTCACTCAGAGCTACAAAATTTTAGTCTGAAGTCCAAGTCAGTAGCCTGAAATGGGTCTTGTTCACCTTGAAACAATTCCGTAAAATTTATATAATGTTAATAATGGTAAAATAGTGGTGAATTTGAAAACAAAAAATCATTTAGAGACTATTTTAGCTTACAGTGACCTGCAACATATTCGTAACCATCTCATGTAATAGCTTTCTGTGAGCCATCTTTGAAAGACATTAAATGCTTCAGATGCCGGGTTCTTGTCACTCCCCGTTGAACAAAACTGTAAGTTTCTCTAGAACACTAGTTTCACATCAAACCACTCTAAATGACTGTTTACAGAATTTTGGAATATCAATGGAATTCCCCTTTAAACAGACAAACAGGAGTCATTCCTGTTCTTGTTATGGTAACTTAACAGGTATTATCGTTAAGAACGTGGTGTTTTATTCTTACTCTTGTTAGTGCGGGTTCAGACAGAATTTTGTTTGGCTGCACTCTAAACTGGGTCCTGCGGGTCAGGCTGGATCAGACAGACGTTAGTTTCCACGTTAGTTTCAAAATTTCTAAAGCTCTAGTTTGTCTTCTAGACGTAAGTATGTCCACCTTATCAAGCTCAAGGTAGAACACAATTCATAGAGTGCTGTTCATGAGTATCCATGAACAGAGACAGCGGAACAAAAGACTGATTGAGCCGCCACCATCTTCAACAGTCCTAGCTGCTGATATTGTGCCGGTAAGGCAGAGAAGGTGAGCAGGAACTGAACCTTGCAAAGGCATCTCTGAAAATGAGTGTTTGTTTTAAAAAAAGGCCTACAGTCAGCAAATAAACTCGGAAATACTGGTTTCTAAACAAACATGCACTCGCTCACTCAGCAGCTCACATATCACTGGATATGTTGATTCAACAACAGATTAAATCTTAGAGGTGGAGGTCTCTCATATCCTATACTCTTATTACTGTTCCTCATTTTCTCTCTTGCTCTCACTTTCTCTCTGTCTTGTCTGATTCTGCCAGACAGGAAGGACAGGGGTAAGTGTGTTAATTGCTAACTGATCCGAGTTCAGCTGCTAATGGTCTCTGACCCCATTTAGGCCCCATTTAACAAAGAGTAGCAGCCATAGCTGTTATTGGTAACCATTGAATGTTGGCCTCTAACTGAAGCTCCTCAGTTTAAATCTTGATGAAGTTGGATAAATAGAGCACTGCCTGTAATGATTAGTAAGTTCAGTAATGATAAGTAAGTTCATGATCCTTGTGCAAACAGGGCTGAATAACATTGTGTGAGAGCTTGATGGATGTATTCATGTGTTCTGTGGTAGATCAAACTTTTCCTCAGCAGTCTATTCTTATCATAAGTGTAAAAACTGTCCTTCTCTAATAACACGAGTTGCTGTACAGATGAAATTACACTAGCACTGGGTACATCCATGCTGAACTGCTTACACAAGTGTGAGGATGTGTGCATGTGTTTACATCTGACAGGTTGAGCAGGTAAGAGGAGAGTTGCTGCAGGAGCGAGCTCAAAGGCAGGACCTGGAGTGTGACAAGATCAGTTTGGAGAGACAGGTAATTAAGTCCATGCATGGAAACAGCTACATACTGACAATAAATAGACCAAACCCGGTCATTTGTCCAAGATGTTTTTGTTCAGCTCCAGCCAGTCAAAAATGTCTTAACAGCTTCTTGCATTGGAGTTTGAGACTATGTATGTTTATTCAAATAAATAAGGTCTCAAATGCCTATTCTTTCATTCATTATACTTTTTTCCCCAAAAAATGTTTAAAAAAGTGTTTACATTTTATTGTGTAACACATTATCATTTTCATCCTTGTCTAGAACAAGGACCTGAAGAGTCGAGTATCCCATCTAGAGGGCTCGCAGAGGTCAGGTCAAGAGGGTCTCGTGTCCAAACTGGAGCTTCGTATTCAGGAGCTGGAGGAGAGACTTCTAGAAGAGGAGAGGTGAGGGAATACAGACAAAAGGCTATAGCGATAGAGAAGCTTACAATGCTTAAACTAAATGTTTTTGGTCAGACACACTGAATTTAGATGGTTTGACAGGATATTGGTTTGTGATAATTGATGTATAATTTTTTCACTCAGAAAATCACTCTGTTGACTCTGTTGTCTAAATATGACCTTCTTTGTCAGACCCAGAGTAAGGCAAAATCAGGATGGAACAACATTTTTACTGTGAGATATTTGATGCATTTGAGGTGTTCTAATGTATTTGTGTGCTCTATTTTACGGTAGAGACAATAACACTCTGCAGCAGGCGAACCGTAAGTTTGAGAGAAAGATGAAGGAGATGACTATGCAGGTGAATGATGAGCAGCTCTCTCTTCAAAACCAGAGGGACCAGGTGAGAGCTAGTTATCTTTCTACCTGGATCATGGGTCACACCTCATTAAGCTTAAATAAAAGCATACAGAGAAAAGCATACAGAGCTTACAAACTTACACCATACGTACATTTCTAGTTGAGCTTCACTGTTATAGGTATATGCCACATCCCTTTAAAAGTGTCTTGCCCCTTTCTAAACTCTTTCAGTTGACTCTGCGCCTGAAGACACTGAAGAGGCAGCTTGATGAGGCAGAAGAGGAGATAGAGAGACTTGAGCACAGCAAGAAGAAACTCCAGAGAGAATTGGACGAACAGCAGGAGATCAACGAGCAACTTCAGAGCCAGCTCACAGCCCTGCACACTGAGCTAAGGTCAGACATCAACAAAAATATACTTCATAAGAGGCTTGGAGATATTTTGTTCTATTTTGGAGATATTTTCAAGAACTTTTTATTAATTAATTGGTATTAAATCATGTTGCAGATGAACCTTGATTCCTTGGGGCTGTAATAATTGCATGTACTCAGGCTAGCTCTCCTTGGATGTTCCTTCATTAACACATACATGATCTGGGTGTGACCTTCTCCTAGGCGTAAGAAGAAACCTGTACTGAAGAGTCTGGACGACGACGACGATGAGGAGGATGATGAAGGGAACGTGAGCTCAGGCTGAGAGACTGTCAAACACATTAGGAATTAGTTATTACTACAAAGTAACATTAATGTCAGTTATTGTTTTATGTTCAGCATAATTGAAAAGGTCGAACAAACACCATGTTTGTACTGAATTATGTATTCCTGAAGTGCCATTACACTTGTGAATTGTGAATCTGCCTATGACTAACCAGCATGTCATTAGTGTGATCTTCTGCCCCCTTCTGGTGACATAATGGAAGAGCATTGCTTCAGGCATAATGCTTACTGTGAGTTTTGATACTATGTAAAATTATATTACTAAACTCAGGGAAGGATTTTGTTACAGTTCAGTATCTTTAGTGTTTAAATATCTCATATCTGCCTTTGTCAGGCCATGCAGGCCCTGTGACAACTGAAAATTAATAATGCATATAAATAAAAGAAATCATGCATATTTGTCCAAAATCTATTTCAGTCTCGATCAGTTTAGGAAAATTACCTCCTGTACCACATCCACAAATTTGTATATTACAATTTACTCTAGATCTTTTTTGTTTATGCACTATATTAATGAGCTACTGAGGCTGTTGTTGCCAACCAAATGCATAAATTAGCCACGCTTGCATAAACCTAATTAAAACATAATGGTTGTGTTTGAATACCATGGTATTAGTCTGAATATATACCAGTATTTTACAGTGTTTAGATCCAGTCCGATTGGCCTACCATTCAATAGGATGAGATGAGGCAGCTCTAACAGATCAATGGCCCATGCTAGGACTGCTCAGCCGTGCTGGGTTTTGGCGGGTGGGTGGAGGGGATCGTGTTAATGTAGCTGAGCTTAGACCTGGTCGGACAGTTTGTGTTTGACTGGACCCGAGAAGAGTGTGTGTGTGCATGTTCCTGTGAAGGAAAGTAAGCAAGAGAGAACCATGAAGCAACACTGCGCTCTTAAACATGGCATTTTTAAAGAGTTCTTGGCGGAGTTCCTTGGAACATTTGTGTTGGTGGTAAGTATTTGAACTTCTCAACAAGTTATATTTGATAGAGAAACAAATCTGCTGAATCTAATCAGGCATAATAATCAGGTTATTATAGAGTAGCCTCAAGCTTGTAGCGAGAATGGTCAGCTAGATTCTTCAGAGTAAATGACTGGATGAAATATCCGGAGTCAGAGATGCTCTTTTGTACCGTGTAGTCTCAGTTTTGATAATATGTTTGTTTGACTGTGGTACCTTATAATTTACTTGAAGATCTTTGAACTATCATCTTTTCTGTGGTGTAACTGTTCTATCCTTTGTCTCTGGTGTCAGTTGTTTGGCTGTGGATCTGTGGCTCAGACAGTCTTGAGCAGGAATACGCTGGGTGAATCTCTCACTATTCACATTGGCTTCACTACCGGACTTATGATGGGTGTCTATGTGGCTGGTGGAGTTTCAGGTAAACACAACAAACAACTTCTTACTTACCTAGAAATTACTGTAGACTTGTGTCTATGAATCTGAGTTGAGAAACACATCTCCAGATACTTGCTTTTGCTTTTTAGCTTGAACACTTTGGGGTCCAGAATAACAAAGTGGTCCTTAAAGTGGACCAGTCCACATCGAAATGGACTGAAATGTACCTGTCAAATGGGAATGATGCAACGAAATAGATTCACACCGCTAATTTACATTACAAAGTTAAAGTATCACTTGAATGTTATAAAAAGTATAAGTGTACACTTCAGTGTTGGTGTAAATATGTTTAGTGCTTTATCGATATGTAGTGGGTGTGTGGTGGACTGCCTGCATGTGGCATTAGCTGAAAAGCATGGTCCATGTTCACACTCCTGAAATTGCTTCTTGGAATCATCGATAAATCAATGAATGTCATTGCAAAATTATGTAAGTGACATGAGCTATACATTATATGTATCACCAAACTAACAACTACATCATAGACAGTCAAGTATGCTCATATTATAGCCTTATGCTCTTTTAGATTTGATGACATTAACAAATATAGTATTTGTTTATATGGTATATTGGCTATTATAAGATAAGATGAACAACTGCTCTTCAAATGTTTCTATTTTATGGGTTTAAGTTATTCCTGTCATTCACCATTTAAATGTGTAAATTCAGTTATAGGCTTCCTAAATCCAGTTCCAATTGGTTCTCCTGAATGGATAATTGATTTATAAGGCCTAGTCAACCCTTCTCTGCTTTTCTTTGAGAGGTCACATATAGCCTGGAGCGAACAACACCCAGTATTCTGACAGCCACATTGATCTACACACACTCACTGCATGTGCACTAGCTCTGGTGGGCTAAATCCTGAACCACCAATCCCAGCAGATATATCAGTTGCTGTCAGAAATGTTGTAATCATCTGTCATGTCCATTATTAATGACATAACATTAAGCCTTATTTTTCAACCATAGCTCTATTGAGAATATAATCACTGTCAAGGAGCTGGCATCTGTGATACATTATTTATTTAATCATTCAATCATTTATTTATTTCATTTTCAGTCAAAATGGCCATTAAGTATAGGTTATTTATTTTTCACCATCAGGAAAAAAGCAGGCAGTTTATATTTTTGAAAGAAAATACCACAGAGGCCTCAACAACTAAGTATAATATGTTTTTCAGTTCAGTGATGTGGAGGATTGGACTCTGAGATGATCAGTCCACTGCTCTGAGATCACCAGCTACTTCTTTGTTTTATTTGTCTACTTGCTTTTCTCAGTAAAGCCTTCTTCACAATGTCACATCCTTTCAGACACATTGTACTGAATTGTCCCTTCACAGTGGAGGGATGTTATTTCCTTTGACTTTCCACTTTCATTATGCAAGTAGATTATTTTATATCTCCTTTAAAATGAACAACTTGTACATAATGGCCATTTTGACTGTAAATTTAATAAATGGTCTCTGATTTTGGCATAGTACTGTATTTGTAACTATTTACGTTTTCTGTGACTGCACTACAGGAGGTCACTTGAACCCAGCTGTTTCTCTGGCCATGGTCATACTGGGTAAACTGAAGATCTGGAAGTTTCCTATTTACATCATAGCACAGTTTTTGGGTGCCTTTGCTGGAGCAGCTGGAGTTTTTGGCCTTTATTATGGTGAGTACAGTCAGTAGTGTAGGGCTCCTGCACACAGAAGTGTCCTCTGCTCATTTATGCTCAACACTAGGAGATACCTACCCTACAGTCACAATGAGCATTCATGCATTGATGCACCCAGTGTGCCATATAAACCGAACTGTATGCAAACTTAAGAATATTCCCACATTGTTCATTACAGATATTCATGACAAAAAACTACTTATGACTATTGAAGGTCAGAAATACCCCTGGCCTTATTTAGTCAACATCCAAGTAAATCCTGATGTAAATAAAGGTATCAACATTTAGAATATGAGTAATGCTACTAATAGTGGCATTCAAGTTGATACACAACACAAAATAAGGGTCATCCAAGGTGGCCTTACATTCTGATACAATGTTTCATTACAGGTGTAATAAATGTGTTTGTTTCCACAGATGCCTTTATGGATTTTACCAGTGGAATTCTGTCAGTGACTGGCATCAATGCTACTGGACACATTTTTGCTTCTTATCCTGGACGACATCTCACAGTACTTGGAGGATTCATTGATCAGGTAACTTAGTTAACCTTTGAACACGGATTTAGGGCGCTGTCTCTGGATCAGTTTTACACTGCACTACTTTTAGTTCACTTCTAGTTACCAAAAAAAGGGCTGACTCAAAAAACTATCACTGATTAGCATATCAGCACTTTCACTGCTACCACTGAACCATACACATGAAACAATTTGATAAATATTTTACGGAAGTAGTGAAATTGCCATATGACACCACTGAGAGAGAGCGTAATTTAGTTTGTGTCAGTCGTATGTGCAGTTTTTGTCAATTTATGTAACATTTTAGTAAGTGAATGTTTTACAAATAAAAAATGAGCAGGCTGGGAGGATAGACACCACCTTTGTTTGGACATTAAAGCAGGATGAATGGCCAGCAAGGCCTGACCTCTATGCCTCAGAATTGAGTCATGCTTCTCTGCATGACTTAGTTCCAACAAAAGTTTGAACTTTTAGTAGATCACTGTTTATAAGCCATTCTGCTATTATTTCAGCATTTCAAATATGAAAGTCAAACTAGTGACTCCCTAATTAAGAAGCTGAAACATTACTAAATCTGTTATTCCTACCATAGTGAGTGGGTCTGTGACTAGAATAACAATTTATGGAGCCTCTTTGAGCCCCACATGCATCTCAATATGCAGAACAATTTATTTATTATGTGACTTTACACAAGCACTTTACTTGATCCTTAAAGGTTTTACATTAAAATATGCTAATATATGTTTTATTATACTTTGAGTCATAAGGTGCTACAAAGATAATTATTTAAGTAAATACTAAAATTAAATAGATAAAAAGCATCACCATACAATATGCAGCTAAGGTGCTGTTTGAAACATGGTCAAATGATCATGACAAATGCATCAAAATACAGAGCTAAACTTTAAAGGGACACTGTAGACCACTAAACTCTGCTATTTGACCAACTAGGGGTCAATAATATGTGAAAGACAAGCTATAGACAAAAATGCCATTTATCAGACCCTCAAAACAAAAGGAAAGTGACAGCTTTTATGTTCAGACAGAATGTATCTGTACAGACAAGTTAACCCATTTAACCTCAGACTGTTTCTCAGTTCAGATTAGCAGACGTTTTGTTCTGTTCTTTAGAGAATTTGGCTAATGTGTATTGATTGGCTGCTTTATTCTCTGTACATCCACTAATTAGCTGATTTTAGATGCCAGTGACCTACTCCTGCCTGTTCTTACCCAAACACTCATGTAATTGTGTTAAATTGACCATAGAGGTGTACGTTAGGTTAGTAGGACTCACGAATGAGGTTGCACAAATGTAAATGTGTTACATACTGTGTGAATTTACATTCTTGATGAGAAATGCAAATACCAAGTTAACATCTCCAAAGCACAGTTAAGCTCAGAGAAGGAGTTCACACTAAATACTGATCTAACTGACTGCAAATAGCACTCTCAAATCAATCAGCAAATGAATGAGACTAAACCACTAATGTACTTTTCTGTTGCAGGTGATTGGAACAGGTATGTTGGTCCTCTGTATTCTGGCCATAACTGATGGCAAGAATATAGGAGCACCTAAAGGAGTGGAGCCTTTGGCCATTGGCCTGGTCATCCTGGGCATTAGCGTCTCCATGGGGATGAACTGTGGATACCCACTGAACCCTGCCAGAGACCTGGGGCCCAGACTCTTCACTGCTGTGGCTGGCTGGGGCATGGAGGTGTTCAGGTAGCATTCTCTATTACATATATTAAATATTATAATACATATTTCCAAATATATCATGGTATCTGATAATATTAAAGTCTGCTTTAATAAGGTTAATGAACCCATGCTGCCTGGGCATTGCCACTGTATGCCTAAAAAACTGCTATACCTTGTTTTGATTGGGCTTGTTTGTGTTTTCTTCTTTTAAAATGACACAAAAGAGAACCTTACACACTGTATTTCTACCAGCATGGCAACAAGCAGGCTCCTATGTAGAAGAATAGAATGTTATTATGGATATGATAGTCTTTTACTATCAATACTGACAGAATAAAAAAATCAGTATTATTGTGTGACGCTATATATCGCCCAGCACTAACTGGAATGGAGTGGAACATGATTGGTTTAAGGAAACTTTTAACAGTAGACCATCTGAAAGAGAGCACTTTGCTCTGTAGTCTGTTTATTAGATTATACTTTATGGGCTGCCTGCGCAATTGTGTGATTCACCAGATTGACCTAACCAGAAATACATCTAAAAAATTTGCTGGACTAAAGCCAGTCAGATGCTGCAGTGAGACATTGGTTAGTAGAATGCAGACTGTGCAGATGCCAAAAAAGATTCCATAGCTGTATGTAAATCACACAATATGATATATGATTTATTCTACCATTCAGAATCAACCATGAAACAGTAAGTACAAATATAACCAAACCTTTGATGCAGTCAGCACAAACCTTGACTGATCTAGTATTGTACCATTTTCCATGAGTGCTTATCTCAGAAGCTGTCACTGTGTGATTGTTTATGTAGCCCTTCCATGTGACTCAACTGCCTGCACTGAATTGGCCTCCCTTTAGAGGAACGGAGATGTTATTTCAGATCCAAGTCTATAATTTCCTTCCAATGAAACATTGAGTCACACAGGCATCACGCAATGGACTGTAGGATTTATAAGTAGTGCTGCAATTGATCAGAAATATTTACACTGGTTTCTTTTTGATTTATATTAGATTTATATGTTGGACAATAATATTGATATAGATGCTTTTTTTTGTTTTGTTTTTTTTTTTTTAATTTATTTTACTGGTTGTCAGTCTCTGCACTTGCATGATCAAGGTGCATCTAGAGTCTGCAGCATGAGGCTGAACAAGCCCACACATTGTAACAGATCGTCTGTAAGCCACATGAATTGCACATTTTTCATTAACTTTGACATATTATTCAGTGATTAATAGGGAGATTCACTCGAAAGAGGCCCCGAATATTCTGTTGTAACTCCCGTTAGGATGAAGCAATCTGAACCAAAAAATACACTACATACCTTATGTGTGTGACGTATGTGTAATCGATTGCATTACATGCGATGCTGGAAGTGATCTCCATTTTCTGCCAGACACATGAAGGGGTACAGGGATATGTACAGGGGTACAAGGAAGTTGCAAACGGAGGTTAAACATCGCGATGGCTGTCTGGCGCCTACCTCATCGCTCCAAAGCAGGGGCATCCCAGCTTGTTTGAAGCTCCATATACTGAGGAGCACATTGCACGTTGTGATTACAGAGTTATTACAGAATATTCAGGGCCTCTTTCTCTCGAGTGAATCTCCCTGTATAAACTAAGCAGTAACTTCTATAAAACTAATATGTTAGTTATATAGTGATGAGTGTGGAACTAAAGCACCAATATTGGGATTCTTTTGTATTTAAGGGATTAATTAACATTACAAAGCAATTACATATCATTATTGAAAGCTGCTTTTAGACACTGTGAAATTCTCTTATGCAGGCTCTGTTTGTGTTTGTAGGAGGCTTTTCCACAGCCAAAACAAGCCACTTAGTACTAGAAGTAGTGCACTGAGTGAGCAAGACGTTTTGGAGCCACTGACACTCCACATTGTTTACTTCACCGTCACAATAAACTTAAACAGGAATTTTGGGAATGAAAGAGTTTGTCCCCCAGTTTACAAAGTCAAGCTTACAAACCATATTACACTGCTTTAATGGTTGCCAAAATCATATTTCTATCTAACCAACAAAACATAAAAAATAACTTAAAATCAAAAGATGATGTTGTTTAAGCATGTTAAATGTGAGGGGCTACAATATGTCCTACTTGCATGTGTGCAAGTGAAACCATTGGGTACAGTCATGAGATGATATACAAGCAGAAGCAAAGAATAGTGTTAAGAGAATACATTTTGCAGCATGTATTTTTCAACCTCCTTACCCCCAGCACCCCAAAGAGTCTGCTCACGCGAGTAGCTAAATTTGAGTGAGTTACAAGCTTTTTAAAGGAATGCTTAGACAGTGGTCTCGTTTCACATATTCATTTAATTTATGAGTTATATATGGAATATACAGACATTCACAGGTTGACAGTTGTAGTATTTGACAGTGACAGTGGATAGACTGGCACAAACACACTCTTAGAAACCAACTCAGCATCCCTGTGCTGTGATATTTCAAAGAAATGAACCACGTTCTCATTGTCTCATCACCTGAAAAAAATGGACTGATGGACTGTTTCCATAAAAAATATTCAAGCAAAAAATGTTTATTTCATCAAAACTGTGGTCCAGTAGTTTTAGTATTGACTTCTTTGCCCATATCAGTTTCTCTATTCTCTTAGTCCTCAATTAAACATTGACCCAAATATACTCACATCTTCATGTACTCTTCTCCACAGCACTGCAGAATACTGGTGGTGGATCCCGGTGGCCGGGCCATTGATAGGGGGGATCACAGGAGCTGTGGTGTACTTCCTTCTGATAGAGCTCCATCACTCCGACCACTCAGAGAAAACCAACCAGGAGCCAGAAGAAGAAGAGGAGGATGAAGAGGAAGAGGACAGCAGCCTGAAGGACAAATATGAAATGATCACCATGAGCTAAAAAGATAACAACTGACTATGAACTGGATGAAGATTTCTCACACCCACAGGAGCTTATGCTTACAGAATAAGGAAAATTGCACTTTTGTGTATAGCTAACAGGCTATCAGTATAGTTTTCTGCTCTCGCTTCAACTTCAACAGTTCGCTTCAACAGTTTCTTTCTCTATCGCAGACATTTGTTTAATTGTCAGGAAATAAGCAAATAGGATTATAGTGAGTACCCTTTTATTAAACAGACTTCCTTACTGTGCAGAAAAACATCTCTGCATGAACCTCCGTTTTGGGAATATATTTGTTATGAGCTCAGCTGGATCAAAGCATCATAAGAAATTATAAAGAAAATCTTTCCAGGACAAACAATGTCTTTTCATGAGTGAGTTGTACTCCTCTATTTTACACACCGTACTCATCCTTTTGCAAAATGTATTGGCCATGCTGAAATGCACAAGACCTACAAAAATAATGTGCCACTAGAGCAATATTTTAAGCAATATTCAATGGAAAACATTGGTTGTTGACTCATTATTTATACAGTGTTTGTGTATGTATCCTTAAAATTATGTTTTTAGGTTTTGTCATGTTAATAGTACACTAAATAAAAGAATTATGAATTTAAACGGTAATGCCTAAAACTTAAATTTAAAAAGTACGAAAAAACAGTACAATGTAATGGTAGCATGGTATGCTACATAGTAACAAGAAATGAAAGATCTTGGCAGTCTATGTTTCTTTAAAATGTCCTTATTCATCTTTGCCATTGATTATTAATTATAGAGAAAAATACACTTTTGTAAAGAAGCTTCTCCTGTTTAACTATTTGTGTAAATGGTTAATTTTGCTGAAATAAACATCTAAACTTTTACAGTGATTGTTTGTTACTAATAATTACTGTACATATTTGGACACACATGCACACATTTATATTTAAATAAGAATTTTGCTGTTTCATGTCCAAACCCCAACCGAGCTTCTGTAACCTGACAGTAAGTAAGCAAGGCACACTCCTAAAATGGGATACGGATACTTTTACCCTTTTCTACCATCCTGCAAAGCTGCTATTTAGTTTCTTCTAGTAAGGCACTTGCTAGGCTAATGTACCATTGCTAAATGTTCCATTCTGAAATGAAACAACAGCTCTGAGAGGTTATGTAGCCAAGTGCATGTGTTGCTTTACTACATTTGTCAAAGCACAGATTTGCGAACACAGCCATTATTAGCTACATGCCACACTGTAACAGCTGATTAAGTACAGCTTTGTTTTTGGGATCCTACCCAAGAGCTTAGAGTGCGTAAGTAATGTCTTACTGGATGTGCAATAGTGTCTCAAACATAGCACAGAAACAAAACATCTGAATGCCAGCCCTCATCTCTAACAGTGAGGAAGCATCCAATAACCATCAATAGAACTTGTTAAACCTTGCAGCACATAAGAGTAGAGAATCATTGAAATGCCTGAAGAAGTACCTAAAAAAAAGAGACCTTCAGCGGAGACAACCAAAGATACATTAGCGTAGCCTACAAAAGCTTGGGTCAACCAGGGAGAGCCCTACACTGAGCAGCCATGAAGAAACAAGCCTGAAAGTGAAGCCAGCCTGGGAAACAGCCTAGTGAAGCTCTCAAACTGCCTTAGGAGAATCGCATGGCTAGCTCTTTGAGTCTGGTCTACAGAAGTTAATATAAGGGAAAGGCGAGTGGCTAGATAACAGGAGAATACAGACGCCATGCTGATCAGCATCAGCTATGGCCACGAAGGGAGGTAATAAACAATCTACATTCTAGAAATTCATGGGACTCCACCTCCTTATCATCCCTCACACTTGTGTCTTGTTATGTTAGGTCTGTCTCTCTGTATATACAGTGCTGGTTTTGTCTCTGTTTTTTTGAAGTTTTCTGTGTACATCGGTCAGTAATTCTAAGCCTTGTCTCCTAATGCTTTCCCAGTTAGTTTCTTTGTTTTTGTGAGCTCCAGTTTTGACCCTAGAAGTCAGTGTTAGCTATGATTATGAATATGTATGCATTTAACTTGCTTGCCCTTGTTTTGACACTGCCTTAGACTTTCACTCTGCTTGATTTGCTTAGCTGCCCAAGTATGAAGCCAGAGAGCCCTGAGGAAACCCTGGCATCACATACGTAACCACGTGGTTTGTGGCTGTTTCACTGGGGCAGTGCTCCAGCTGCCTCCACGCAGCAACAGGAGGTGAGCCAGCTACAACAGTAGTGCCCTTGTGACAGAAAACACCCTTGTGGGAACACCCTTCCGCTAGCATCTGGTGGAATTCACTAAGAGAGTTTTCTTGCTGGCTCTCTCATACGACAGGAGTCCTGGTGGCCAGTGCTGTTTTGAGCAGCATGCGGTGGCACCCATCGCTAGACTAGATTTGGTCAGAGCTGCTGTAGTTGGTGGGCAGCATCTGATGCTACTAAGCTGGGAGGGTGAAGGCTAGCAAGAAGTGAGCTGCGACTGTTGTGTGGGAGGTGCTGGCTGAGATTCCCTGCTTCTGCTGCTGGCTTAGATAGACCCAGTCCCAGGAGGAGGGGGCTTGCTCAAGCCCAGACGCTCCTGTCTTGCTGCCCATGATCACAGGCTCCTGTCCATCAAGTCAAAAAACTTTTTGACAAGGCTACCAAATGGCACCAGCGTCTATGCTTTGACCCTGTCAGTGGGAGATTGCAAGTTCAATCTCTGATTATGCCACAGCCATCTCTGCCCAGGGGTCCAAGAAAGCATAATTGGCCTTGTTCTGTTTGGGTGGGTAGGTCCTCCCTGTCCCCCATCATTGAGCGTGATGCTAGAAAGCTAGCATAGCTGACATAGCAGCTAACAGTTGTTGGAGGGAAGTTATTTTGTGCTCTCCTCCAAGCTTGTTGAGCTGTCCAGTGATGTTGCAATTGCAGCAGTTGTAATTCAAAAGATGTGCTAGCTGACTTCACATTTCAAAGAAAATGCATGCTGGCCTGTCCCCAACCAGCTTGAGCATAAAGTGATAGTTGGGGACCTAGCTAGCATGTGGAAATAGCAATGACTAATTTGGGAAGAGTTAAAAAATAATAATAATAACAACATTTTAACAGATCCTGTGTTGCCAGGAAGCTAGCTGCTAACTCGTAATCTTAATCACAGTCCCACTGGTGATATATCATGCGTGTAGCTCACTACCCCAGCTGTTCCAGTTTCTTTGCCCACAACTGAGGATGTTGCTGCTGTATTTGCCCTGCTCCACTGCCAATTCCTCATGAATAGCTGCCAAATGACTCTGGTGTGGCCTGGTCTGTCCTGTTTTATGATCTCCATGTCCTGAATCATTCCAGTATTTCCTAATCCCTTTCCTGCTCCCAAGGCCTGGCTCTCAAAGTCTACTCCTGCTCACAGATCCACCCCCTTATTATCACTCACGCCTGTGTCTTGTCAAACAAGATTAGTCTCTGAATTACAAGACACAGGCATGAGTGATAATAAAGGGGTTTCCTAGTAAGACTAAGGGTGTTTACTAGGAAAATGACTTGTTTATACACATTAGGCCTTGTTTATATTTGTTTTTTTTGTGTGTGTGTTTTTATCTGTGTTTTCTTGCAAGCTCTGGGTTTGAATTTAGCCTTCTTTCTTTATGATTTTGAATATGCCAGCATTATACCTGCCTTCTGTGCTGGGATTTGCCTTAGTCAAACTCTAATAACATACCTTAGCAGTAACTATAAATCATCCAGGCAAATCCTCAGCTTTGTGTGCATTAATTTGTTTGAAACCACCTTTTTGTATTGTTTGTTTTAAACACAGATGAACAAGACACAAGAACAGAGGGAAAGAGTATATTTAGGTCACAGTCAGATGCACAGCTTCCAGACCTTAGCAATGCTGCATCAGGGGACGATGGGGGCATTCAGGGATGCAGGAGTGTGTACGTGTGTGTGTAAAGCAATAAGTTGGATCTAGTGGTACTTTTGTTTTCAAGAAGTTTGGTTTATCTGACTGGTGGCCTTAGATCAGAGTAATTTTATACGACTGTATGTGACCTCCTGAGTGTTGATCTTGATAAATTGAAAGCCATTCTGTCCTGCTAGAAGAGGAACAAGGAGGCTGTACTCCACACACACACACACACACACACACACACACACACACTTTGTGTCAATTGGCAGAGGGAAGAAACCAGCAAGTCTTCCCTCTCTTAGAAATTACACAGGTTCTTTTTTAGACTCATACGTGTCAGCAAAACAGTCATAGAATTTGACAACTGCCAGATGCCACACTAAGTAGCAGTTGCCTGTTCATGCAGTTTCGTTAAAATAACCCCTTAAATGGCCAGAGTCCAACGTTTTATTACACACTTCTATAATCTAAGAATAGCTCGACCAGTTTGCTTTGAAATCCCTGTATTTACTGAACAATAAGCCTTAGTATGTAACAAGCCTGGGATTTTAAGGGGTTAACTCCACAATGTGTCTCAGTTTCATAAAAATCTTTTGTCCCTCAGCCCTGAGACTCAAGAAGGAACTTCAAAGGCCTTAACACATTCCTTTCACTTTCATTACTGTAGTCACAAAAGACCCTGTTATGCAAGGCAAAATAGTAATAAGAGGACATAAGGCAAACACTGATCTTCTTGTGTTTTTTACTATGATAAATGTAAAAGCTCGTACAAAATGATGCAAATGAAAGTCCTGTTGCTATTCATATCAACCTAATGCTGACATCAAATGTCTGTCTCTTTGTTTCTCACCTTCACTGCATTAACCATCGTTTTTGTCCTCCCCCGCTAAACAGAACTAGCCAATCAGAGCAAGGAAATTCCTTTTCTTCTCCCTCACCCTTTCCTCCACCCCACCTCCACATGCTTGTTCTCTCGCTCTCTCTCTCTCTCTCTTTGCTAGCAGCAGGGACAACTTCCTATCAGTGAATCACTTCACCAGTCAAGACAAGTCTGTGAAGACATGTTCATCTCTCTGTTCCTGGTAGTGACCGACGCTGAAGTTGGACTGAGCGGAGCGAGGATGAAGGTTATACCAACAGCCCTTTCTTTTCTTCTGTTAATCCAAACTGTCATTGAGGGAGTTAAAGCCAATGGAAATATAACAGGTATGTGAAATGGTTCTTTCCATAACTGTTTTCACTGTGTCTATATCACAGTGTAGGATAAGTAATAGATGTTCACGACTATAAAAAGAAACTGAAAGGACTACACACTAAGGCCTATTTTCCAACAGACATAGTCCGTGATTCACTTTAATTGCATGTTTCTAGCCATACTCTTTGAACACGTGCCATGGAAAAATCCAAACGTTAAAGCACAGGGTAAATCACATCTGGCAGAGATTGCTTTGAAAACACAAGGTTCTTCAGCTTATGTATTTGACTCTATTTTTAGCTCCGGCTGGGGAGGTTCAGCAGACTAATGAAGTGAATGTGCCGCCGGTGGTGAAGTCAACTTTTCATATGCATTTACAAGGCAATGAGTTTGAGGATACATGCGAAATTGTACCGTTTCATTTGAACACTCTCCACACATGTAACTACAACACAAGCAGCCCTCTGATCATCATCATTCATGGCTGGTCGGTAAGGATTGCTTTGAATTTTTACTGTTACATCAACAGGAATCAAGACAATGCTTGCAAATGGTTTTGGGGGATTCTCAGCTCTGCCACATTCCTAGCATATTTAAATAAACCTAGAGGCAGCTGCAACATTTGGACAGCTGTCTATGACTGTGAAGGCTTGAAAGCAGCAAAAGGTATGATGTAGGTAGAGTGGAGATGTTAAACTGAATGGTTAGAAGGATAAGGAAATGCGATAACTACACTGTAAATGCTTGCTCTGTTCCACCAACCTGCACTGACTTTCATCTCCACTGCCTCCATGTAGATAAATGGACTTATGGAAGAGTGGATATTCAGGATGGCCTCAGCCCTCAAGACAAAACTGGAGCATGTGAACGTACTGATCAGTGACTGGAGACCCTTAGCCCTCCAGCCTTATTCAGTCGCAGTCAAGAACAGCAGGCAAGTGGGCTTCGATGTGGTGACTCTGCTGCAGTGGCTGGAGGTAATGAAGCCCTATATATAAAAAAAAAAAAAAAAAAACACTCACTCGGCACATATTATATCGCTGCTGAAACCTGCAAAATTCCATAACCTCTTTTAGTAGAGGTCTCCAATCTTATTCGCAAAGGGATGGTGTAGCTATTTTTTATTCCAAACAAGCTGAAGCACACCTGATTCTAATTGTTTAACCAATTCGTCTCAGTCTTCAAACAGTTGATCAGATGTGCTCCTGTTTTGCTGGAACGAAAACTGGCAATTTGCACATAAAGATTGGACACCCATGCCATGCAGGTTTTAAGCAAAAGTAGCAGAGGTTTTAACTGCTGCCCACATACATAATACATCACCATACGGTATTTGTGCCAAAATGAGTGCATGGTTAATCACAATAACATGCTTGGGCACCCTTTCTCTTCTACACAGGAGACCACCCAGTTCTCCATGAATGAGGTTCACCTGATTGGTTACAGCTTAGGAGCACATGTGGCTGGGTTTGCAGGAAGTCATTTTAAAGGAGCCAGAAAGTTGGGCCGCATAACAGGTACTTCAGTTTCCATGGAGACAATAGACAGATTTTTTACTCTGCTTTAAATTCCAGTCAGGGAAAAGCTAGGATTGCGTTGATTACTGAAAACACATGAAAAGAAACCACACAGCAGAGAAAAGTAACAGAAAGGCTAAAGGTAACAGTCTAAAATAACTGTTGTAATAACTGTTATCTTCAATACAGACAGCGTAGTTCCCTCTTCCTGAATATTGAGGGAATAAAAACAAAAGGTTTTACCAAAAATGGTGAAATAGAAGCAAAAACATTTTTAGGAGAAGCAAATAGATAACATACTCCTATCTAATTTTTGTGGATTATGTTTGCATCTAGGAGAAGGGATTTTTATTTTTCTAACTGAATTATTCTTAGCTGACCATTTAAAGCTTCGCGGAGTCTTCTGTCAAGGAGGACTTCATGTTCTCTGTAGCCATATATAACAAACATCTCTATTGCTACACCACGAGTTCAATAAAAAAAATGCTTGTTACAAATGTGTTCTGGATGACCACCAGAAGTGATGTGAAGCAAAGTTGATGCTTCTTATACGCCTACGCACAGGTCAAGATGTCACGCAGGGATGTGTGTGATGCTAGCAGTAATAGAAATACCCCACTCACATGGAAGTGGTCCTCCAGACCTCTTTACACAGACTTTAAGTAACTTGACAGCTCTGGCAGTCATCCATAACTTACTGTTTTACTAATACTGACCTTCCATACTGACCTACCATCATGTGGAATAAGACTCTCTCAGAGTGAAGCTGACGTGGCCTGCATGAAGGAAGGCCACAGTAACTCTGTGAAACCAGAAGAATGTACTGGGTATTGACCAAGAAGCTGCTGCTCAGATGTCCACTAATAAGGCACCTTTCATAACTGCCCAGGGCATAGAAATACATGAGGTGGAATGATAAGATACTGATGCCGCAGATGACCACTGGATGGACTTATAGGGTATAAAAATCACCCCTTAAATTACAGAATGGGCTTGACAGTCTTGTCTATGAAAGAAGACAACTCAATAAACTGATGTATGTAATCGGGGGAATAACACTCTCCTAGATGTGGACCCTTTATCAGCTATACCTCTGTATGCATTGTGAGCCAGAGGCAGAAGTCCAATCTGTTGCTTTGTGAAATTGTCACCAGGATCCACATATCTGACCTGAACACAGGCCATCAGGTTGCTTTGTTGTTCCATGATGTATTGCCACTGGCCTTGGTGTTTCACTTTCAGGCTACTATGCTCTTAGGACTGGAAGAATGGCAAGCAGGGGCAGTATGACAAAAGGTGTAGATTCTGCTCTTGACCTGTGTGTTACTGGACAACTTCGTAGTGCATGGGGTGATGCTTCAGTCATTCATGCAAGAATAATTGTGGTGGAGGCTAGCAGTGCAGGGATCTGAACTATGTGGCTTGCATGAACTCACTTAAACGCACTGTTCCAGTACCTCCTTAGCTGAAACATTGCCCTGGACATTTCAGAGTGTTTCTGCATGCCTCAGGCAGATGGGCCAGCCAAACCTATTGGCAGCTACAGGTCAGAAAAGCTAAAAGCTTGGCACAGTGATGTAGCCTGAAGAGCGGGTTCAATGAATTTCACCAGAGTCTAGCCTCACGTAGAAACTAGTTCAGTGGAGCCAGCAAAGGAGAATGACAGTTCTGCATGCACTGCAATTCCATATAGCTGAACAAGAGAATCATCTGCGTGCTGGCACTCAACCCTTAGAATGCACAGCTTCCAAATGAGAAACCACTACAGAAAGCTTTTCAGGTATCCTTGTTGACATGCTCTGCAGGTCATAATGACCAGATTCTGCCACAGTCACTATTGCCTAGTCAGTACTTTCGTTGCTACGCTGGGTTATGTGTAAAAAGTTGGCTGATAACTGAGCCGCATAGACCCCAAAAGTATAAAAATCAAACTTAAGGACCTCAAGGGCTTGACAAAAACATGGTAAGAGAATCCAAATCTAAGTAAGCTGTAGTGCTCAGCACTGGATGAACAGGTGGTAGTTTCCCCCGAGCACATGGATTAATTTTTTGAAGTGCGAGGCAAATGCAGGTAGCCTTTGTTGAGCTTCATGTGAGAAGAGTGTCTAAAAAGTCCACTGTAGCAATAGATAAGGCATTGATGTTAGAGGTGGACAAAGTTTCATCCTGCTGAGGTCAAGGACTCTTTTGGCAGGCATGGTAGTTGCGGAGTGTCAAAGCCCAGCTGTGGTGCCGTGAGTAAGGACTCTATCATGATCTATCATGATGAATCGTCCACCTTATGAACCGATATGGATGTTATAATGTTGTCTCCTGCTTGGTGGTGGAGGCTGTGGACTCCTCAGTTTATGATTTGTAAGAAAGGTTAACATTTGAGCATGGTTCTAGAGGTGCTCTTGATTCTGGGACACTTACTTCATATTACATGTGTGAGTCCATGATTCAGTCTGTCAAAGGTTGCCTCAGATGATCATGCAGGACCTGTGGCTGTTACAGGCTCTAACAACAGTTGCAAAGGCCCAAGTTGGACACAGAAATGGGCTGGCCATAACTGCTAGTTTCAGCTACCTGTTGTAGTGACCACTGTGGCAAAGGGATATTAATTATCTTCAGAAGTGAAGTTATTAAAAGGGAGGCTGTAGCTGGCTGTGGGCAAATCCAAGAGGTTATTTATAAATATCTACTAGATGTATCAGATAATCACCTACCATCACTGGTAATAATATCCAAAAGGTTTTGATTGGAGCTAAGAAGCAGCAGTTCTGAACCAACAGTAGCAACTTAAGCTAGTGATGTGAGCTGCTGCACTCAAAGCTCAAAAAAGGACAGGCTCTTCCATATATCTGTATAACAAATCTCTATATCTACAAATCTATATATACATCTTCCACGAGAGCAGATTATTTGTGCTACTGGCTGCATCAAGTCATGTCACTGCCTGACTTTGTTGGTATCAGATCTGTTAACTGTGCAGAACTGCATGAAGAGTATCTAATGTGCTTTGCCTTGGCGGTTAGTAGGAATGCAGTAAAAACACTAACAAACTAAAGATTAAACCCACACTTTGTTTCTAACAGTTAGTCAAAATACTGCAGCTGGGCTGATACTGCATAGTACTAACTGTTGTAATTGTAATCTATTTTTTTTTATTCCTGGGCAGGTCTGGATCCTGCAGGCCCCCTCTTTGAGAAAGTTAATGCCAGTGAAAGGCTGTCTCCTGATGATGCCAAGTTTGTGGATGCCATCCACACGTTTTCTAAGTCTGGCATTGGGCTGGCGTTAGGCATCTCGCAGCCAGTGGGCCATGTTGATTTCTATCCAAATGGAGGATCAATGCAGCCAGGATGTCAGATGATGGACATATACCAGGGTTTGTACACTTTTTAAACAGTGGAATTCCATGACTTTTCCATGACATGAAATGAAATTTCCATGCCAAATATTTAGCATAGTGCTGGGCGATATATCATCTATATCTGTATACCGTGATACTGACATAGTATATCCTGTTTTACTTACATGTTTTGCGATGTATTTGACAGATAAGGACCATTTAATTTTGTGCACTTTATTCATGGTATGCAGCCCTTGATAGTTTACACATAACTCAGTTGCTTGAATTCCATAAAATTAAGAAAACTCAGGAATCATGAGTTCATTAGCTTTACTGTCATACTGTGATATGTTTAAAAATACCATGATAATGAATTTTACCAGTAAAGCCCAGTACTAATTTAACACATAGACTGCTGCATTATCTAAATACTACTTTAATATTTAAATATTATTATACAGTTTAAAATGGAATAACTGCGAGTGAAATTGAAATACGACGCATGTACGTATATCTGCTCCAGGTTTCCGGCTTCAGAGAATGGATCTGTTGTTTTGCTCAACACATTAATGTTTCACAATTTCAAAGCCTATAAATTATGTTTTGACTCCTCGGTCATCCCACATACTCATGTGCAAACATGTCCATCAGTTTTGTTCAGCATCTTATCGTAACACCTAACAGCCGGGATGTGCATGCACGCACATTGTTACATTTCATTATGTTCAGCTCAAAATCAACTGAGTTAACAACACACACACACACACACACACACACACACACGCACACACACTTTCTGGAACCGTTTATCCATCTGGGTCACGGGGGGTGCTGGAGCCCATCCCAGCAGAAGATGGGCAGAAGACAGGATACACCCTAGATAGACCTGAGTTAAATCACAGTGACAGTCTTTACTGCATTTAGTACAGGGATGTAATGAGAGTCAGTTAACGACTTTGAGTAAAGAGTACAACACAGACTTTATAAACTCAAATCAGTGGGAGTACCTCAGCTCCGCAATTCTTAATGTAGCTGCAGCATGTGATGTTTGTTTGGCCGCCGCGGTGCAGACTGAGGCTGAGTAAACATAGTTCACGCGATGACGCGGACACAGACGCTTCGAGCAGACGCTACTGGAATGACAGTAGAGCCCATTCTGATTGGTCCTCTATCACCCACTTGAGTATTGAGTGTTTTAACTGCCACAGTAATCTAAGAACGTACGCGGAGTTTGTACAGAACGGCATTTGCGTTGGCCTACTTGCGTGGAGTACGTTTTGGCCTTACTTTCGCAGCAGAGTTTTACACAAGACTCCACAGATGGCGCGCAAAACTAAAGCTTATAGCGTTGTCTATATGATACAACAGAGGTATCATACAAAGGCCTGTAGAGATGAACCTGCTCAGCAAATCTCCCTTCAAATTCAAACTCATTTTGAATGAAGCGCGCGGGGTCGAAGGCGCCGCGAATGCGTCATTTCTGGCGCGCGCACCCTCGTCACTTACAATGCGTCATGTACAAACGTAGCTTGACTCGCCGAGAAGAAGCGGGTCACGCGGGTCTCGGTGTGAGAAGCAGCAGCGGTGCGTTTTTCCTCTTACGTTTGACTTGTTAACACTTCTCCTGTGTTCTTATAAAAATGTAGTCCACAGCACACACGTCCTGAATGTTACACCTCAGCTAGCCGAGATTTCCATTAACAACATGCTAGTAAAGCTAGTCCACGTGCAGATACGTTAGTCTCGGGTCTCGGTGCTTTTTGCGATCTAGACTCTTCAGTGCTTCAGTGATTAAATGATGAACCTCATGGGGAAAAGTCCAAGTAATCCCATGACTTTTCCAGCACTTGTTTTTTCCAATGACTTTTCCAGGCCAAAAGACATGCACTAATAAATCATGTGATCACGGTTCTGAACTCAGTAACCTGTTCGTAGCCTGTAAATGTATGAAAATGTAACAGAGAGATACAGACACTGATAGTGTAACATCAACTGTCAACAGGTTTACCAAAGACCATAAAATGTGCTCACCAGCGGGCTGTCCACCTCTTCATCGACTCCCTGCTGCACACGGATCAACAGATGACAGCCTACCGATGTCGAGACAGCACTGCGTTTGACAGAGGTCTCTGTCTGGATTGCAAAAAGTATCGCTGTAATACTCTGGGCTACAGTGTAAGAAGGGTCTACAGCAAATACCAAAAAGGCTTCTATCTGAAAACTGGTTCCCAATCACCATTTAAAGGTTAGTGTGTTAACACTGCCCTTTGTGGGGGTCACCTCAACCAACATTACTTCAGACTGGATTTCACCATTAAATGTGATTCTCTGTTGAGAATCATTTAGTGGTTCAATCCTGGGAGGAAAATACTTAAGTGAATGTACTTCAGTATTCAGTACCTGATATTGAGTCAGCTGAATACTTGTACTCACTCCATTACATTTCCAAAAGAAGAACATACTTTTTACTCTTTACATTTTCATTTGGACCCTTAAGTACTTGTTTCAAATCACAAAGTGATCTCTTTTTTAAGTTTTCTCTCACCAATCAATTAAGTTTCTGTGCATTTAATGTTATTTGTTTTTATTAAAACATCCAATCAAATTCATATAAAATGATACATATAAAATGGAACTGCCCACAACTTTGCTAATTCTCTTTGAGCAAGGACCAGTACTGCCCATTAGTTGCCACATCACACTTGTGGAGAAAAAGTGTGGAGTGTCCATTATTTGTAACATTTAATTGTTTGTTGAAATAGGTTAAGACAAGTCAGACTTGCTAATGTGGATAATGTTGAGAAGTGTTTCCCAACCCTGGTCCTGGAGGCCTACTGCACATTTTAGTGCTTTCCCAGCTTAGACACACCCAGTTCAGTAAAGGATTGCTAATGAGCTGATTAACTGAATCAGGTGTGTTGGGAGCAGGGAAAACAAATGCGCAGGGCAGGGGCTACTCCAGGACCAGTGTTGGGAAACACTGACGTATAGCATTTTCAGCTTGTGCCTACGATTTAAGTTACTTTTATTATTTAAATTTAAAAAAGCAAAAAAAACCAACTCTTAATGCTTAATTGTATGTGAAAAATGTTAACTTTTTGTGTTATACACTTGGCTATGTTTAACTTATACTTCCACTCACTTATATATTTGGCTCCATGACTTACACTTTTAACCAAGAAAGATTTTGATATAGTACCCATACTTGCACTTTAGTTTCTCTGTACTTTTTCCACCCCTGATTCAATCAAACTGTCATTTGTTACATTACTGATGTGGTTTTTTGTAATTCTGAAATAAGTTGAATGAAATAAGGTGAAATAAGGCGAGTTGGTTGACATGCCAGTAGATTCTTTGATGTTGTTGTTGTTAGGAGTCATTTCCTGTTCCTGCATTTCTTACAGTCTTTCTTTTTTAATGTCCATGCAGTGTACCACTACCAGATCAAAGTCCTGTTGCTCAACCTGACCGAGCCGGTTAAAGTCTCTGCTTCCATTTCTATTACTGGAACCAATGGCGAGAGCACCTATAAGCCTGTTACTCTGTGAGTACTTCTGCCTGCACACAGCAGTGCTGCAGCTTTCATCTTCATGGACATCTCTCTGAAGGTCTCATATCTAAATTGCACTTTGTAACATTTAATTGTTTTTTGTTAAAATGTCAAATAGAAATTATGATGGCAATTTTTGTATTTGTTAATTTAATGACTTAGTTTCAGGTCTTGTACGGTCATAGATTTCATGCAGTTCACATTGGCCTCCCACTAGGGGCGTCTAGCTCAGTCAGATCAGGTTCTAGGTACAGTGGTATCTCTGTGATCACTGCTCTAAGACAAGTCAATACTGGGTTACCACAGCCAGCATTCCTGACTCTAGTGCCACAGCTTATTATATAACTCAGCAGATGCCACTCGTCAACAGTGACTACATTGAAAATCAATATCATTAATAAATTCAGTGACACGTGTCAGCGACAGCTTGCATTTGTAGCACTGAGTGTGAATGCATACAGAAAACAATACCACAGCTGCACTACTACACTTCTTACTATTTTTCCCCCAAGTGAACTATTTTATTTTTTCTGGTTGACTCAGAAAATGCACTCCATCACTTCCCTAATGTTTTTAGGGCCCAAGAATATGTTGACAATACAACATACTCATCCCTGGTTGCGGTGGGATCAGAGTTGGGCAAACTGCAGGCTTTGAGGCTGCGCTGGGAGGGAGAGGCGACTATAACCAGTTGGTGGAGAAGTGTCACAAGCATCATGCGCGGGAGCAGAAGCAGGAAGAGTACAGAACTCATTGTGGCAAAGATACGGCTCAAATCCGGGGAGAGCCAGGAAAAGTGAGTGGACGTGTAGTTGCATTGTGGATGTGCAATTACAAGACCATAACTGAGCATTTCATGTGTGAAACTCCCTCTAGTGACACTTTACTATCACTGCAACTTATTGCCAGATAAATCAGTGGCATTTTGAGGAACTAAAGTGAAGAAAGTGCCACAAAGTAACAGGAAAAAAAACATGGTGTTAGTACCTGAATATATTACTACAGCTTTCATCTCAGCTCCCTTATTCCTCTGTTTTCAGGACATGGTTCTGTGGTCAAGCAGGAGATGTCGTACATCTTAAACCCTCAGAAGACCAAGAGTTTGTTCGTTGTCAAGATACCACTACAAAACACAAGAACAAGAATCAGTGAAGACTTTACAGTGAATTAAAATGGACAAGCTATGAGGAAGCTGATGAAAAAAAAATAAAAAATCAAATGTGAAAGCCGGTGATTCCAAAGTATCAAAAAAAAAAAAAGTTTTTGTTACACATCATGTTTTCAAGAGCCTTTTTATTAATGCATTTCAAGTACTCCAAAAAATTACATCTCTTTGCACAATACGTTTTGAAATGTTAAGTAAAAATGTTCAAAGTGAACAAAAATTTAGGTACTGTATAAAACACAGTTAACATTAACAGACAGTAGTTTTTTTCTTTTTTTTCCTAACTTTTGTGATCTTTCGGCCTATATCACCTACAACATTTTGACTCACTTCGGACATTTTCAGTGCACATTTTTTTTTTCTATAAAGATTCACCAAGACTACACAAATAAAAAAAAAATAAAATAAAAAAAGCAAAACAGAACCCAAAATAAAAAAATAAGAGATGTGAGATACAGGTAGGTCTTTCCCCCTCTATCCACGTCACACCACAGGATAAACAGACTGAGAAAGAAAAAGCCTATGCGCTTCATCGCATTAAAATATTTTGATCGTTGACTGCCATAAAGAGAAAGTAACTTTCTATGAGCACAAATTCTATTCTGATAAATGTGACAGAAATAATAAAAATAATGATGACAAAAAAACCTAACATTTTTCAGAATTGAGAAAAAATGTTACTATATGGTCACATTTCAATCTTGATTGGGCAAGTTCTCAAAAATTAAGAGGGAAAAAAATAGACATACAAGTATCAAAATCTCATATTTATCTTCAAATTTAAAAGAAATGTTACAGGAACTGTACATAGTTTACAACGGAGGAAGTTTACAGCTTTGTCAATAGAGCAGCTTTAATGATGGCATCTTAGCTGCACCATGACCCTTTGACACCAAGATCTCACATCAGTGGCTCTCACAAAGCAGAGTCCAGTCACTTCATGTAGCAGTTTTTAATGCATTTTAAAACAAAAAATACAACTGAACCCGAGTTCATATGTGTACCTCTGTATACCTACGAAACCCTTAACAATGGAAGCAAGGTCATTAAAATACCTGACCATACTACAACCCTCGTTTCCAATGGAAATGGAGATGGAAATGAAAATGAAACTTTGTTGTTGTGATGAGGCTCTCTCATTCTAAAGGTGAGAGATGACAGCCCTGAGGTCAAACAGTGCCATCTCTGCTACCAGTCTCTGAAATGCCCAAGACTTCTGTACACCTGTCCAGCCACTTCATAGCATGGCTTTAGAAACATGGCGAGCCTTTGCGGAGATGGCAGTGGTTGGATTGACGTAAACGTAGTGGTACAGCATCAGGCATTTCATGGGGCCTTGACTGAAAGGTCAACTCAACTCACTTTTGTGATAGCATTATAAAACCTAATCATTCAGTTTTACTAGAATGATTAAGGCCACTGTAAACTCCGCTTTGATGAGTCTACTCAAACAGACTATGACAAATGGTTGCCTGATGCATGTAAAGCGGTCCTTGATTAGTTTCACGACTTGTAGTAAAAAGTACATTGTAAGGACAGGTCAGGCCAATCATTTCCACAGAGGATTTAAGTAAACTATTTTTTTTAACTAAAAAAGTAAGTAAACTCTGTCATGAATGTTTGTTAGCTCTATTCTCCAGTATTAACAATGCACTAAGCAGAAAATGATGGATATCACCAGAAACAAAATCTGAGCCTTCTTTTAAGCATACTTGAGCATAAATATTTCCTTGCCTAAAAGAATGTCTCATCTGGTGAGGTAATTTGATAAAAATAACCTTGTGTGTGTATATTGTGAATGTTAGATAACAGGAAAAACAGCTTAGTTAATAGCTCAATGTAGTGTATTAAATTTAAAACCACAGTGTAATGTAGTGTACATTAAACTATATTATGTCAGGTATACTTTGTGTTCTTAAACCTGATCCCTACCAAGGATGTTTTTTTTTACTATTATTTTGTAATATTAATATTGCAGTTGCATTAGGCATTAGCCTTTATATGATACACGGCATCTGGAAAGATGCTGCTTCAAGTAAGACTAATGGTAATGAATGTGACGTTTTAAAGTAGTTGTCACCTCTGTGTCACAGTCTCATTGTAGCTGTTGACATTTCATCGAAGTCACTGATTAATCTATAGGGGCTTGAGAAGAGTGTTTTTTTTCCTCCTGCCTCTAAAGTAGCAAAAATAAGCAAAATGTAATAGCTTAAATGCCCCCCAAGGGATGAGCAATGGATGGACCTTCAGTGAAAAGTGTAAATGAATAATCAAAACTTCTTCATATCGATTAAGACGTACACAGTTAGCTTTGATGGACTAATATCTCTGCTAGAGTATTCACGGCATGCACATTCTAATATATGTGTTCTCTGGATGCGCGCATTAAATTGGTGCAGTGACAACGACCCCCTGGATTTTAAGCAAAGGAGAAAAGTCGAATCACTTACAACAGAAGTACTAAGAATGTGAAATGTGAGGGCAATTCTCTTCCAGACTGGAGTTTTGTGCTAGCTATGCGCACCTCTCCACAAAACAACACTAGATTAATAATAATAATAATAAAACAAAAAAACGAAAGCAAAAAAACAAAACAGTACAGGGGAAAGTCGAACAGTCAGCTCGACCAAGACTGGACCTTCCTATTCTCCCTCATCTCTCGTGTCTGTTAAATCCCTTCATCCTCGCTCATCAGTACAGTCCCTTCATTTGAGTCTGAGTCCTGAGAATATTGATCAAAACGGCAACTTATTTCTGTTCCCAACGGTAGAAGAAATACTTTTGTTCTCACATATAATACAATTCTTTTTTTTCTCTTTACAGTTGTAATTCTGTACAGTGGCGCAGTAGGCAGTTGCATGAAGAAGACATCAGGCTTGATCCCTATGCTTGATTGAAAAATATGTTGTTTTGGAACCACGCTGCAAATATCCAAATGAGGTTTGCCTCACTTCCTGGCATTGATGGCGTTAAATAGATGCTTTCATCTTAAACCATGTGCGTCAATGTTAATTAAAAGTCAAACAGAGGAAAAAGTTGATACCGTTGATGCTGTTTCTATGCCTGGTCCTTGAAACCTTGGCACTCTTTCAACATGCCAACAGTAAGGGTATGAAATAGAGAAGAAAACAAGAAAAAATAAGACTACTTCATGAGTGAAAGCTTAAACTTTTGTCTGCTGCTCATAGGACTTTTTTTCCAAGGGCAAAAGAGAAAGTTGGAGATGTTTTTCATTTTGTCTTCCCTGCTGAGATTTCCGGTACAGAAACTGGAGACATCTATGCAGTTTGAACTTAGTCCTCTGAACAGAGCAGAGCTATTTCCTATCATCTAGTGGCTCAGTAAAAAGACTGTAGGGTGAACGGAAGCATAATGAACTAGTCCAGGTTCCTCTACGGACTGCTGGACATAATATTGTAAACGATTCCTGTTGTACAACTGACTACCGACAAAGGCTGCTTTAAAAAGACTAGATCTTATTGTAGTACACTGTTTATTTGTAGCATGTAGCTCTGGCATACAGCTGTTAAAAATGGTCCTGGTTGATGCAATGCTAGATTGGGAGTGTAGTGATGATTCCATGTGCTGGTCCAGTTGGATTCTTTGGAGTAAAGCCTTGTTCTACAGCCAGAAGGAGCAAATCCAGATCAAATCAAACTGGAGTTCTACAACTGCACATAGTTAAGGATTTCAGAATTCTTGAAAACTGGAACAGAATTTGCGTTTTCCAGGTGCGTTAAAACTAGAATTCTCCACATCTGGCTGTGAAGTAGTGAAAACTTAAGTGACTGTTATCCCACTGTAGGCAGGCACTGGGAGGGGAGTGATAGTGGTGGTATAGGTTTGCTGGGTTTTTCAGTGGTCTCAGCGTCTCATCTGGCCCATCTGGTAGTTCTCTCTAGGCTGCCGGTGGTGGCGCTGGGGCTGTGGCTGGCGCTGGGATGGACGCTGGTTCTGATGGCCATGGGCATGAGGGTGCTGGTTCTGGTTGTGATGTTGATGATGATGCTGCTGTTGGCTAGCATGCTGGGCTCGCCTCCTCTTCAGAGTGCCTGAGGAAGGGGGGGAAGGAGATACACATCTTTTATGGACAGCTTGAATTTTATTAATAAATTGAGTAAGACACAATATCAGTTTGCCTTCACATCCTAATGAATAAAACTAAATGAACAGAACTTCCAGCTCTTCCAAGGGAATCTGCACTACTTGCGATTACAGCGCTTGGAATGTATGCAACACTGAGACAGAACTTGCATGTAGCGACAAAACCAAAATCTCCAAGATGGTAACTTTACAGGAGTTTTACGGGAATTTTTAATTTAAATTTAAATTAAGTTTAAATTTTTAACTTTAAAAGCAAGTAAACAGAACAAGATTTTTTTTCCAAGTAACTTTGAAATATTTATAATTCTCCATCCACTGTGAAATTTTCACACAATTTGAAGGGCAGCTGGCATTTTCAAATTCTGTACTAACTAATTAACTAACTAAATGATAAAAAGCTTTTTTTTTTCCAGACAGCAATGATATGCTGTAAAGAGGTGATTAAAATTACCTGGTAGAGGTTTAGGAGGGGGTAGTTTGGGGTTACTACTGGGTGTGTGCACACTGCAAATCTTGATGAATCCAGCCATGAGCATGATCAAAGCAATGCCCATCAACAACACTGCCCACCAGTGAGCCTGCAGATTTACAGATATCCATTAACACACACTCAGAGACACAAACTTACAGATAAAAACTCTGATAAAAATTTTGGTGGAATTACACCAATTTAAAACAATAATAATAATAATTCATTCAGACATAAAGACATTCAGAAAGGTTGATGTGATATCCTTCATTCTAGAAGAACATGCAGAGGCAGAGCTGTTCACAGTGGCGGTGACCAGAACCAGACATGTAAAGAATTGAATGTTCCCTCGCAGAAAGTTATCACGTGACATGGCTACAAATATGGTGCCTCATGCCCAGGACATTGTTTAACAAATAATCTATTCATGGTAGAGAGGTACATGCAGGGTGTTAAGACAAAAGAGATCCCATTGAAAATGTATTCTTTCAGATTTACCACTAATGGCATCACCAAAAACTTTTTTCTAATTTACCACTAATGGTGATGACACGTGTAGGTTCACTAGTGGTTTTGGATTGCAAATAAAATGGTTATATTTGCATTACAGACATCAATACCCCTGAGACATCAACACCATTGTAAAAAAATCAGTGATAAGTTTTTTATTTATTTATTTTTTTTTAATACATCAAACCACTCTGAATGACTGTTTACATTTAAGCAAATTTGAAAAATCAGTGTAATTCCCTTTCAACATTGCCCTCATACAAACACTGACAACCATTATTATAGGAATTAGCAAATTTAGCAGAAAATATTTCATACTGTTCAAACAGTTAAGTTCCAAAAGTAAGACACTTAATAAAAAAGGCCACTGGCATCTGAAACTGCAGTCAGAAGACTTACCACTATCCACTCAGCAATGTTCTCATAGAGCTCAGGATTGAAGATGGCTTTCTTTAATCTGGCCAGAGGCCCATCAGCATCCACCAGCCTGCACTTCATGAACACATCACAGTAACCCTTGAAGTCATTGCAGGGAGAGCCAGCCTGCAGCGTGGTCACCTTCTTATTGAAGAATCGGGCCAGGCGCTCAGAGCCTGTACTGCTGCAGGTGCTCGGGTTCACTGTGTGAAGCAGAGAAGACTCAGAGTGATTCCCAGAATGATGGTACTTCACTGCCTTTTCTTAAAGACAGCACGAGCCTGCCTACTGCTGCGTAGGCGTGTTTTTTTTTTAACATAGAGAAAAAAAATCTCACAGAGCAAGTACAAAATGGAGCACGAAATATAGATCACACTACCTTGACAAGTTAAGTGCAAAATGCTTACTTGATGAAACTAGCAAAAGAAACAGAAAGCATTACAGACAATCTGAAATAAGCCTAGCAACTCAAGGTACTGACTTTTCTCCATGCAGCAGACATGGCACAGTTCTGTCTCATCCTTCCCATCAACACTAGCACAGGTGCACACCTCCAGCCCATATTTCTCACAGATAGAGCCAGAACATCCCTGTGAGAAAGTGAGAAAGAGAAGACAAAGAGACAAAGGGGAAATTCTGTTAGACACTATTGCACTAGATGCAATCTGTATTTTTGCCTTGGACATCTTCAAGTTCAGCTTTTACAATAAGCCACACAGTCATGCTCAAGTACCACAGCATTACCATACTCACCCCATTAAGGCAGACTTGGGTTTCTCCATGGCAGGCAGTGAAGTTGGCTTTGGGTTCTGATGTAGGGCACTGGGCTGAGGCTCCATTACACGTGCCAGGATGGGCACACTCCGACTCCTCCCGACACTTCTCATTATGACTCTTGTATGTGCATTCAGGAGTGCAGCATGGGCCCTGGCTGGGACTGAGTGGGAGAAAAGACTGAGTTTCTAGTACTTGCACTGCCTTTAACAAAGTCTACAACATGGCTCAACTCAAGTCCTGGAGGACAAGTGGCCAACACTGTTTAGTGATTTCCCTGCTCAAACAAACCTACATAACATGGTAATGAACAGATGAGTTGAATCAGGTGTGTCAGAGCAGTTATATAAACTATGCTTTCCAGGACCAGAGTTAAAGAGCTCTGTGTCATTTGCACCAACTGCTTGTTCAATATAGACTAGTTATAACGTAAGTGTTTACACCAAGTACAGGTGTAGGCATTACTATATCAAAACCGGTTACACCACATGCTATTTGCTAACATTACTTTCATGGATAAGGTTGGAAAAAATATGAACGCTGTGTGCTGTGGTTTTACTTCTAGCTGTAATCATGACAGTGGTGTAAACTTTCAAAGGCAAAGCTTACATCTATAGCTCATATTTATTAAGACTTTAGCAGATGCTGGAACTTCTAGACTGATGTTCAGGTTCTCTCAGATGGCTGGAAACCATTTTTAAAAAGCTGCACATTCACACTTGCTTATCATGAAAAAATATTTAAAAGAAACAAATAAACAATGCCTACAAGTATTCAGTTTTATCCAGTTCAACTGTAAAACCGCGTACATATCATTCCGTTCTATACAGAAATTTTCTCCCCCACCCCATGAAAGCCAGGGCAAGCTGCCATTTATGTTTCCATGGCATCGTGTTTACTGATTGGTTCTGAACTTATCATAGCCATATTAAAACAACAGTGTTTAGCTGTACACATCAGTTAGTATTAGTTAAGACATGGCATAGTGCATGGTGGTGCAACTGAACTTAAAACAAGTTTGAAACAAACCAGTGTTAAATAAGGACTTGGTAAAAACTGTATATGTTTTTCATCCAAAATGTTTATACACCGACTCGAGAAAGCCAAAAGTTCTCTCATGCTCTCTCCCATTTATTGTTTAAACAAGCATCATCACAAGGCAGCCTATTCCAAAGCTTGTAACTGTTTTCCTTCTGTGTATTACTTGTGCTTAATGTCAGTCAAAGCCAGTTCCTGCAGTTCCTTCTATCACCAGCCCCTTCCTTGCTACTTAACAGCCTTGCCAACCTTAGAAATGTCTAAAGCAGATGAAACCATCCACTGCATCTGAGATTGTTTTCCACTTAACATCAGCAATCAACTCAACATATGTGAAGAAGAAATCTAACTGTTCAGGGCCTGTTTCACATATACTACCTCTGTGTGACATGAGTGAGGTGGCAGTGTGACTGCTACAGCTAGCAAGTGTTGGCCATTCACACATGCAGCGTTTGCGCTGAGGAGCAATGAAGCATGCAAGTTCTACGAGCAACCTTTTTCCAAATGCACAGTCAAATCAGTTACTTTGCTAAATAAAATCTAATAAATAAAAAAGTTGCTTTCGGATTTGCAATTCTAACTGTAATTCTGATTTGTAATCATTTTAAGCCTGCTACTAGATAAGACTTGGCTTATGATTTGGTGGTACAAATTAATTTAGTAAAACTATGGTCTGAAACTGTCTAATATGAACTAAGGGATTTACACACAAACTTAAACTTGGGGATAACCGGTGGACCCAATCCTGGCTTGTAAAATGCATTCCTGACTAAGTATATGTTGGAAACTTTTTCTGTGAATAGACTTACAAAATTGAATTCATTTATTTTTCATGTCATGTTAACTGTATTCAGGCACTAAAAGTCACCATTGCTGATCTTTACTATTACAGACATTTACATACACAGCAAACATGAGAGCGTACCTGCAGACTTTGTTGGGTTTGAGTTTACACTTCTTGTTGTCTGGTTGGTTAGCATCGTAGCAGCACTGGTCTCTGCACTGGTCACTATAGCCACAGTCACACTCCTCTCCAGGCTCCACCAGGCCGTTACCACAGATCGGCTGCCCAGACTCTGTTGTAATGCACACACACACACACACACACACGCGCACGCAAGCACACATGCACACATGCACACACACAGCAGAAGAGATGAAGAGATGCATTCAGCTCAGTTACAAAGATAGCTCTTTGTTGAGTCCTGTGTTTAAGCAATGAGAGAGCCTGACTGTTGAGCACTTGAAAGAGTTACTTAAGAAGAACTCAATGCGTCATAAATCTGTGCATTACAACAGCATCAATCACACCGCAGAAAAGCTGTGATCCTTTTGCATTCATATTTGACACAAAGGCTGAAAACGCCTTACAAATTCCACTTCACTGAAGATGGATGAGTTGCTTTTAAACTAGATGATACTGTCACTCCATATCATTGACAATAGCTATACTGAACCTGCTGTGTTCAGAATGACGTGCTATCTGACATACAACATACACTACAAGGGGTGTCAAGGCAGATCCTTTATCATTAGCTATCAGATAAGGATGAAGAATAATCTGGACTCCATAATCTTAAATGATTCAAAGAGAGAGACCTACCCACGAAGCAGTTGCCTCTCTTTTTCTCCAGCACCTGGCTGATGTTTCGAATGCTGCACACTGAGAACTTGTTGTTGTTGAGCTTGTCTCCTGACGTGGCTCTAGCGTACATGATATAGTTGCCTTTTTCCTTCTTATCCTGGCTTTTTGACTCTCCAGGAGTGCACTCAGGGCCTGAGTCATGCTAATAAGAAAAGGACAAAATTTAAATCAATGTCCATGACTTTCATGACTATGGTAATAAAAAATAATATTATTTACTCTTGTTTAATGTGGATAATATATTTGGATGTAATCTTAAAAATGAGCTGCAGGTTGGGTGGATGGACAGATTGATATCAGAGAAATCACAAGGAAAGTGACAAGTGACTGCTTCATAAGCGATGAGCAGCAGTGAATTAATAATGCTCAGGACACCATGTCCATCTGCATGACGCAGTACAGGCTGGCAACAACCAGACTATTTTTCTTGACATTAATCAAAATCTGTTTATGGAAAACCAAAAACCAGTTGCTTTTGTGTGGGAACCTTTAAAGAACATTAGGGAAATAATCATGTAAGTAATGTTTTTTCTAGTTTCATCTAGGGTGAGGCAGTTTATTGTAATACCAATGGAGCAGAGGAATAGGAAGGCATCTATTTGATTCTTTTCAGACTGAGAACAAGTATAAAAACATTTTTTAGTACTCGCCGATACCATAGAGTTTATTAGAACAGCTGTAGTTTTGCTGTTGTGTCTCTCTGTAGCTAAGCAACAGCAGGAATCACATCTGGGGCTAACGCATCTGAGGAGCTCATGTGTGGAGTTTTATGTCTATCCAGAGTCTTTTCTTTGGCTGGTTGAGCTGTAGCTGAATGTCCTCTAAAGCCAGACACACACTGTGCATTTTCAGAAATCTTGTTCTTTGGTCACTCACACCGTATGTTTGAATAGGCCGTTGTGTACAGACAAAGCTTGTGAGTTATACGCTTGCACTATACTAAAACGCTCCATTCATGCTGCGTGTATAGCAGTCCTACAGACAGCTCTGTCCATGAACAATTTCAAATAAAGCTGCTTCATTCAAAATATCAAGCTGTGCACCAAAAACTAAGCAAAAAGGAACAGCAGAGCTGATAACACTGAGCACTGAAGCTAAAAGCAGGCAGTGATATGCACGGTAGGACAGTACGGTCTCTCTACAGCCTATTTTACAAGGAAACAAAAAAAACCCATTGTAACGCTTATACCTTGCTATTCTTGTTGTATACATGGATTTTAGTAGCAAATGTTGACTTTTTTTTTTTTGCCTCAGCTTAGCTAGCCTACGTGTCTCCACCCCTACTGGGGATGCAGCTGTTACTTGTGTGTTTAAAACAGGATAAAATCACACAGTGTATTCCTGGCAGAAATCTGCCAAGAAGGAATGTTTAAAGTGATTGTCAACTTCAACTGTGTCCGATTGTCACAGAGTCAGTGACACTTCTCTATGTAAGCAGAGCATCAATCACTGTATTTGTTTATTACAAGTAAATAAGCATGGTACCGGCCCGATACATGATATCAGTATTGGTATCGATGCATTCCTACAAAGGAGTATATAAAAGTGTGGAAAAAACTACCCTAATTTTGTTTTACCTTAAATTTGTTTATACATGTGTAAATATTGATGCCGTTCAAACTTACCGGAGAGCCAAAGTTGTGCCCCACTTCATGGGCAAAGGTGATGTGTGAAACTTTTGGGGGCACATGGGAACCGTAGTTCTGAACAGTTATAATTCCAGTGTTCAGCGATTTTCTCTTTCCATCAGAATACAGCTTACTCTTCTCACAGATACCACCAGAGCTCCCTGAGAATCCACAATAACCACCAGATTCCTTGTGAGAGTTGTGCTGACATATCTATTAAATCTTCAGTAAAAAATTTAAACCCCGGGTTTTAAGTCTAGACTTCCCAGCAATATTTTCACCCATTAGAAAGGTGATGTGTACCTGAAGGCGCGCCGACCCAGGCCAGTCCCAGTACGCCATCATCGAAGTCTCTGTCAGTGAAGACATAAGCTAAGCAGTAATCATCATGGTTCTGCTCGGAGTTCAGCTCCAGAAACTTCTCAACACCAATATTAGCAAAACGGAAAGGGTTGGACCTGTCCCTCTCGTCGCTAGTGGTGTTGATCTAAGAAGAAAATAGACAGCTCTTCAATAATGTTGCACAGAAGAAAATGTATTTATTTATATATGCTAAATAATTTAACAAGTTCAAAACTACAACTTATAAAGCCAGTTTAAAATTACTAGGACACAGCAGTCATTTCAGTTCAGTTCACTGAGGTTTAGGCTGAAAGCATCAGAGAGAAAAACCCTTCTCAACTCACCCTAATCCTCTTCACCATGAAGCTAATGTTGCGGATACCTAGAAAATCTGTACCCTGGTAGATTGCATCAATTGCCTTAACGTGGCTGGAGATCTGAGAGAATAATGAGATAAAAAAATTCAATGACCACAAATATTTATCTAGAAAGCATAACGACCAGTCAAACTAGCGTAATAGCTTAAAGCTTAGAAGCGAAACTGTGACATGTGTAACATGTATGATCATGAGGCTAGTGGTTTAAACCTCAGCAGTCTTATTACCTGAGCAATGACAGCCTCTCTGGTCTTGTAATATTTGAAGAAGAGGTGGTCTGTCTGGATGAAGAGCTGACAGGTGTTTTTCTCCACCTGAGTCATTCTCTTTTTTCTCTGTAACACATGGTTGTCTGATGGTTCCTTCTTTGACACTACATTTATTTCCTGTAAATCGATGAAATTAATTAACAACTTAGTCAATTAATTAACTGACTTAAAATATACTGATCTGAGAAATATGTTTTTCTTTTTCCCTTTATTGTTCAACAAAGTCATATATATTTATTATGATCAGTGAATCATTAAAATGTTTAAAATGCAAGTAAGACCACCCAAAACCAGTTTACATACAGATTATGAACCCACCACAAGACAGACAGCCTCTTCCAAAGCTTGCAGAATAATCAAGAGGTACTCGTTTCCCTCTATTTATCTTCTTAAATGTGCTTAATGTCAGTCAAAGCCAGTTCCCCCTATTACCGGTCCCTTCCCTGCTGCATAACAGCTCTGCCAACCTTGGAGCACCTCCAAGGCATGTGAAACCGTCCACAGCATCTTTTTGAAATTGCTTCCCACATAACGTCAACAATCAGTGCAACATGCAAGGAGAAGACGTTTAACTGCTCAGTTTTATCTCTAAGACCTGGCCTACTGCACACATTTTCAACCTAAGACTGTTAAGCTATCAGAAAAGCAGAATCTACAATGAACCAGCAGGTCTTAGTTATTTGAAAGTGAAATGAGTTTCACTAGAGGCACTTCACCATCACAATAATTCCAGCATTCTAAACTTGTAACTGAATATTTCAACATGTCTGAATTTAAACACTGCATACACTGAAATTTATTAATTTAAATTTAGGTAACATTATAATATAGCTAACTATAATGCTTGATTTTTGGGGGAAAAAACAAACAAACAAAAAAAACAAACAGAAAAATAAGGCTCTGAGCTTTTTTGTTGAGTTCTCTTCACTAAAGCTTTTGAGTGCCGTAAAAGCATTGTTCCAAGCCAATGAAAGGAGTAATATAATGTTTCAGAACAGCACTAAGGTTATTGAACTGTATTCAGATATATGACTGTGACTGACCTTGGCTGGTTCTTCTACAGCAGAAGCCTGATATTTCTTCATCCTCTCAAAGACTGTGTGGTCTGCGCAACCACCATCAGGTCCATACTTATGAGGGTAGTCTAAGAGGCAAGACAAATGAAGAATATATGACAATTTGCACATATTTTAGAATTTACTGCATGCTTACTTATATAGGATGAATATGCTCACTAATGTCATCTTCATGGTAGATGACGGAGTGGAATGGCACATTTTTGTCCTCCAAATATCTTTCAGCGGGCTCTACATAGTAAGTCCCACGATGTGTCTTAATGAACCCCTCAAACTTGCCATTGACAACAGAGCCATGAGTCAGGCTGCCCTGCTCGCCTGCAAGTGAGAGGAAAAGACTTGTCCATCTCTCAAACTCCACTTGTTCTTAATGTGAAAAATGCTCACAGCCTCCCTAATGCGATGCTCAGCCTGCCTTAATTGCTCCAACACAGATATCACAAAAATAAAAATGAAAAGAGCTTTTAAGCTCAACTCTCTCACCATAGAGTTCCCCTGTATAGATATGTGAGGTGTCATAGCTGATTTCTTCTCCAGACACTTCCAGCTTAAAATCATCAGAGAACAGCTTGGTGTCCCTCCTCATCCTCACGTTAAAATGCCTGTAATGAAAATCCCAAACGAGCAAACAGTTATAATGTGGCAAAGCTTCAGAACCTTCTGAGGAACCTTTCAGCAAAGGAAGTGTTCTTCTCAAAGAAGAATTTCAAGAACACAAAATGTAATCTTTTCCTGCATTATTCTTTTTTTCCAGAAACAAAGAGGTTGTGTAGCTCATAATGCTACCTTTCTTTAAGGGACAGATGATTTGTCTGTCCATTTGTTTGTGTGCACACTATGTCCTTCCTTCCATCCTGTGAGCAGATGCGTGGTTCTGGTTCTGTAAAGGTCATTAAAGATCTCATCTAAACTGCTTTAGGTTTTCTTGTTTTATAACCCTTTTACTCATATTTGGAATAAAACTGTGTATGAGACTGATTCCAGTGTATTAAGTGTCACTGATCCTGAGCTAAAGAATCATCAGTTATGATTTACTGAGGAGATTCTGAAAATAAATGTTTAGAAATGGCAAACTAATAGCACAGTTTAAGATATTCAGTAAGTCGTTTTGACATTGTATTCCTAAATTAGGGAATTAGGAATTAGGTCAATTTGAAAAATTAACTCTTTTTTTCGGTCTGTTAAAGCCAAAATGCTACTGTAACATTTCAAATGGAGGAGACGCCATTTTATTTCTTTCTATTTGCATGTAATTGTACCCTAACAATCTTCTGGATATAAATACATGAAATGCTCTCAAAGTACTTGTCATTTTGCTGTTAGTTTAATAGTACAGAGTACTGCCTTTGCTCGAAAGGTAGGTTTTCTTTCTTCATGTGGGACAGTCAAGAATTCACACCTTCCATGAGCATGGAACTCCAGACGAAGGAACCGGTCCTCGTGAGAGAGCGCTCGTTTGGCTCTCTGGTGGTTGTTGTGCACCAAGTCTGTGTCATAGGACAGACCTTCGTAGTGGCGAATGTATTTGTTCAAAGGGTTGCCATAGTAACCTGTATAAGACACAATAAAGATTGGATGGTATCAGCATTTGGCATATATAATTTAACTGTAAACCACAAGGCACAGAGCTAACATTAAAACAAGGGAAGCATCCCACTAAGAGTTCTGAGGTGCAGTTTTTTTTAATTCCAGTACAGAAAGTTTATTTTATATCATAATCAATGTCTGAGAATGGTGTTCTTACATCAAAACTATATCATCACAATACTTCAGTGACTCTCGATGTGGATCACCATATTTTGCTTCTCTGAGGTTGGTGAAGAAGTTGGAACAAACAAAGCGCACCAGCAAACAGGGACGTATATTCTGACAAAATTTTATTACCCACAAGATAAATAGATAGCTAACCACGGGAAAGGAAAAACACTAAAAATGACCAATGAAAAATGACTGGTGTTAAGTGGTTAGTAGTGCGAAAAAAAAATGGCAAGCAGAGGAACACAACTGAAAACACAGAAACACAGTTTCTGGATCTAGCTAACATCAGTTAAAAACGTTAGCCTAGTAAGCAATAAAGCTAAGCCACATCCGCCTTCTCAAACACATCCTTAGCAATGCACTCACATTTCTTAGCAGTAAATATTAGCAAAACCCCTAAAACTGTGAAAACAAGGCTTCAACATTAAAAAAATAGTCTATGTATGTAGAAACAGGAGGATCAACTAGTTGGTAAAAATAGATGAATAAAACAATTACAAAATAGGATGACATCCAATCAGTTACTTGTTGCCATGCAGTTTATCCAGTCCTTATATTCTGGTTGTTGTTATTCACAGGTTCTCTATAAATGGTCTTAATCCTTATGATGCATGCAGTTATTAAGTGCCCTAGATGTACTGATGATAGGCTCAATACACTCAGAAAAGCATACTATGGCATTGTTCATCATGTTACTAATAAATAATAACATACTGTGATATTGCCCACCCCTTGTGGAGGTTGTTCCTTATCGCCTGAGCTGAGATGTACATCATACATGATGTACAGATGATGTACAGATGATACAGATAGTACTACTTTCATGTGACATGCACTGCCCACCGATGTGTTATCACAACATATGGAGCCATTTTGTGGTGTAACTAGTCAGAGTTATATAACAGATCATGGCTATTATGAATAAGTATTCACGCTCCTTCATTGCTGGTTTGTATCTCCAAAGGTACTTCAGTATTTGTGAAGAAGGCTTTCCTTCACTTCTTTTTAAATATGTCTGTCCACAAGCAGGTGCTTTTCACATTGCTACAGTCTTTGGTCTTGGCTTCAGTGAGCAACATGGACTAATCTGTCTGAGATGTAGTGTAAATGCTAACAAATACTATTCTGTAGAAGTGATACTCTTTTACTGAGTTATAACATATTCAATTATCAACCCAAACAAAGTAATACAAACTTGGCGTCGCTACTTATATATCTGACAGAGCACATCAACTTGTTACTTACACATCATTTATATTTCCCTGTGAAATTAAGTTAGATGTTTAGGTTTGTTTTTTAAAGCTATTTTTAACTCAAAATAATAGGTTTGTACCCAAGACCTTAGTTACCATTAAATTTAAACCACCACTTTTACTAAATGGTGCCTCACCAATGCACACACGTTATGCTTAGCTAGTAAAAACTAAGTAATGTGGACGCTGCATCCAATCCTCATTCTAAACACGTTAGAGAAACTTGAAACCGTGTTCACAACACCGATTTCTTTTTCTTTTCACAAAAAAGCTATCGATTCAGAGTATATACACAACAGTGTACATTTTGATTTTTGATTCTGTGCTCAAGAATCAGTTACATGTTTTATTTTAAGTATTTTAAAAATGTGTATATAAAAGAGCTCTAATTATATACTACTCAGCTTTGTTTAGCACACAAAATAGAAAAATCTATTTCAAAACTAAGCATCACAAATGAGCAATATTATGAAAGTGCAACTAAACTATGGACAATAAACAAAATCCTAAAGTGCCTGACGTGTCCATCTGCAGTGAACCAAAACTGAAACATCACAAACCTACACAAAAGTCTGACACTAAGCAATAATTAAGTTACTGTTCCCATAAAAGACGACCATAGAAAAGGACATGAAACAGATTGAGAAGCATATGTTTCAAATTTTGATACAGTGCATTTTTTCAGCGTTGTACTTAAATCATTACACCCTTAATAACTGGCAGCCAAACTCATCAGATCAGTCAGTCATACTAGGTCATAAAGCTAATATTAAACACAGTATAAAATGATCATTTAATGGAAAAAAAAACAATAACCCAAAACACAACGGTTCTGGGTGTCACTACGCACACAAAAATGAAGTAACTGTACTAGAGCATTTTACAAAAGTTAGCAATCTAGCATTTGTTAGCTGAACTAGACTGATTTTACTAACTTTATAGTACTTGAAGTGTGAGGCAAACAATCCAGCTTTCTAAAACATGATTTGGTTTTGTTTGGTCTAACTTTGCACTCAATCACTTTGCTTAGAACTTTTTTTTTTTCATTCATATAAATCATTTGGGAAATACAGCATATTTTGCTCTATTTTGTTTTTAAAGCTCTTGTACGAGTGTTAACTCTAAATTTTGCTTTTAAACACTGTTTGAAAGAGGCCTCTGACAATATTAGGCACAACCATGTACAGTCTCTCACTGGAGTCATTTCCACATGACTGATTCTTTTTGTAGGCTTACACTTTGAGTGTGAAAATGTGCATTCACCAATTCACCCCTACTGTTACCTATAGGTAACCCTATCAGCTAATTCAGGAGTTTATTGTAGACGACACAAGCAACTCCTTTGGCTCAGACTGAGTAAACAGGAATTCTGAGAAGCCAAAATGCACTACAGCATATCAATACGGATGTGAAGTTGGGCTGAATTTGAATTTACTGATCTACTGAAACGTACAGCACATTTCAGCAGAAGAAAGCCTGTAGAAAAATATGAAAAATCACTTGACCCGTGCCAAAGCGCTGTGGATTTCACTGAAGTCCAACTTAATAATTTAACACCACCCATGTATGAGAAGTAGAGTAGTGAAGACACATTGCATAATTTTATTTGACTCTTCAAGGTAGGTCAGTGTTAATGTACTAGCTCGGCTGCATATAAACAGGGCAAAATGATTAATGGTACTGAATTCTGAGAGGCAAATTAAGCCATTACTGGGCTCGTCGCTGACACTTTCCATTGTACTTCACATCCTATTAAAATTTAATCTTAAAGGAAAGGAAATGAATACTGTCGCGTAAACAGATGACGATTAACTAAGTCTTTAAAGCACAAAGGCCTAGTTGTTTACTGCCACACATCCTTCAGGCTTCAGCTAAGCTCCGCGAAGAAAACAATAAAATAACGGGTCGCTCCTACATCAGTTGTTGCCAGCCTACTGCAAATAAACGGACTCTCTGCACGGCTAACATTTAGCCTGTTAATACAGCCTGAAACGTCGATGAGCGACAACAAAACGGCGTTAAATGTTATGAACAATGAATTATGCTTTCACCTAAATACAGATATTTCCCCTCAACCTATTTATGAGTTAGGTAGCTAGCTAGCGGTCGACGTTTAGCTCAATAACACTGACACTTCGGCTAATAAAACTGTCTCACTTTTGGCCAGCTCAACATTTATTTTGCAGGTTACAGTGGTGTTTGTGCAGCTTTCGAAGAAAGCGGACTCGTCCAAGCTGACAAATGCACAGATTTTCGGGAAATTCAGGCAACGTTACAACAATGAGTGCTGTAGCGGCTAACTGGCCATATAATTTGCTAACCGTAGCCGTAGCGAGCTAACAGCTCTGTATCCATTTTAGACGATGCTAGCCGAGTCTTGTCAGCTAATGCGGCTCAGTGAGAAAACCCCGCTAAAGCTAACTCCGTTAGCCTGTCAGCAAGCCAGCAGCGACCGACTGCCAAACACTGAGCGACAGCTAGCTTACAGTAAATATTTTTCAATATGCTGAATGCCATATGGACAACCATGTCTGTTTTCATCGCTCACAATGGCGAAAGCATGTATGTTTGCACGCATAAAAGATTTACAATTCAATTCGGCGTTTAGCACGTCCGCTCGCTAGCCAGTTAGCTAGCTAACCTAACGGTGTTGGTCGCGCCAGCTGCGTCTCTTCATCTCCCGTTAACGTTACCCAGATTTATCTCGGGTTAAAAAAAACACGTTTGTTCTCAAACAACACCTCGGTCACACTTACCTTGAGTGGATTCCAAGGCGCACAACAGGCAAAGCAGCTTTATCGCGACCATTTCGGCTAAGTTCATTGTTAGTGCATTGATGGGGAAACCGCTTTATTGTCCTAGTTAAGGCGCAGCCGCCCTGCTGTGTTTACAGCTTTCCTCTCTCATAGAGCTTCTCTCGGTTAACGGCGGGATGGCAGGAGCAGAGTGAGTGAGCGAGCGAGCGAGCGCCCCCAGACAGCCCACCCGTTCTTTCAAACTAAAGGAGGATACCGTGTAAAAGATATGTGACACGACGAAGCAGCTATCCTTAAATTCGTATATGACGAAGAGAGATTAAACATGTTCTGGGCAGAGAGAGTGACGTTAACCGTCTTTGGTCATCTGAAATACTTCAGCCTAATACCAGGCTAAACCAGCAGTCCACTCTCCCTGCTGAAAAAAGACCATTAGAACCATTAGGATTAAATTTTGATGATTTTGCTTTCTAATGGGAGTTCCCATTACAAAACCATCAAATGCATCTGGAATCAGAAGACATGCTGAACTATTAGACTCCTTTACACTGTGATATCAACCCATCAGGAAAACACACAATGCCATTAGTGATTATTTAACAACTACCAAGAACCAGCAGAAACTTTTAATGGTTTCTATGTTTTTTTCAGCAGGGCTTTCCTGGAGAGCCCACGAAAGAGCTTCTGAGAACCTGTGACAAGATTGTGTATGTTTAAAACGGTTTATATTGCTAGGATACATTAACAGGGATTTTTTAAAGACTGTTCAGCCAAAACCCACACTCCACACAGCGCTTTTGTCTTGGTAAGACACCACTTGAAGCTTCGTTTTCAAAGAAGAATCTGTCCTTGTTGGGTCTGGCACTTGTTCACTTGGGCCCAACATCAGTACAGCTGCTGTAAATGGGCACACTGGTTAGATATGTTGGTGGAGGCTGCCAGCTCCTTGGGTGGGAGGAGACTGGAATCACAATAATAGGCTATTCTGGGATTAAAAATAGCCTCTGTGGAGGCATCCCAGCTCAAGCCAACGGCTAGACCAACATGATACAGATAGTATATAATCATGCTTTCACTAGGATGTCTGTACATTTGGTTTGAAACATTTACTCTTCCCTCATGGCTCATGCATCTTAGTTGAATGCAGAGTATGCATGCTGTATGACCACCTGTTTGGGGGGTTGCAGAAAACACACAACTGTGCATCATTAGTAGGTGGGCATTCCTGTTGCAAATAAGACTTGAAACAAAGCAGTGCCTCTGCAGTGTTTGCCATCAAGCCAATTTAAAGCCATTTGTGAGTGAGACTTGTCATTGCATTCCTAGATTTTGTGAAGTGATTTGTGGAGTGGCAGGCTACGCCACTAGACTGTCCATTTGATTTTCTGTCTGTAGGAAAGAACAAATACAAACCCCATTCCAAAAAAGTTGGGACAGTATGTGAAATGCTAATAAAAACAAAAAGCAGTGGTTACTCCTGTTTGACCTGTAATGATTTGAAAACAATACAAAAAACATTATTTTATGTTTTACTCTAAATATGCACTTACAAATTTGATACCAGCAGCACGTTCCAGTGTGTTACAGTTTAACTGCACTTTATAAACATTTGGGGGCTGAAGACACCAAATTATCTAGTTATACAAGCCTTCAATTGTGCAACCGTACAAGGCCTTTGTTGTCATATTTGAGCTCACATTTTCAGTGGGAGACGGTTCTGGAATGCAGGCAGACCAGTCTAATACCTTCACCTTCTGATTTCATAGCCATGCAGCTGCAACATGTGTAGAATGTGGCTTGTTGTCATGTTGAGATAAGCATGGATGTCCCTGAAAAAGATGGTGCCTAAAAGGCAGCATATGTTGCTCCAAAATGTTTTCAGCATTGATGCTGCCTGCACAGATGTGCGAGTTACCCACTAATAAGTCAACACAACGTCTGTTACTTCCATAAACAATCTGAAAGGTTGACTCATCAGACCATAACACACATGTTCACTGTGCATTAGTCCATTTCAGATCTGAGCCCAGAGATGTTGACAATGTTTCTGGATGCTGTTGACATATGGCTGCTAGTGTGCATAGTACAGTCTTAACGTACATTTGTGGATGCAGTGATGGACGGTGTTTACTGACAATGTTTTTTCAAAGTATTGATATCCATCGCAGAAGCATGCCGGTTTTTATTGCAGTGCCATCTGAGGGGTCGAAGATCACAGGCATTTATTTGCATTTTTAAGCCACCATTTGATGATATTATGCACAGTAGAGGGTGAAATACCTAAACTCCTTGCAATCATTGGCTGAGGAAGTTATTCTCAACTGTTGGAGTTTTTGCAGGATGCATTTTTGGCAGAGTGGAGAGCCTCAAATATCCTTGCTCACAAAGGTCTTTGCTTTTACTTTTATAGCCTAGTATAATTGCATCACCTATTTAAGATGATTTTTGAACAGTTGTCAATGTTCTCAGTCTTGCATTACCTCTGTCTCAACTTTTTTGGGAATGTGTTGCAGGCATCAATTACAGAATGAATATATTTTCGCAAAAATAATGAAGTTGATAAGATGAAGTTAAATGAAGTTTTTATTTAAATTCAGGTCAAATTAGATTTTACCTACTGTCACAACTTTTTTGGAATTGGCTTTGTAAATGGCAAGAGTCATGCAGGGCCTGGAACAGGCAAGGTCCTGTTGTACACATTTCATAGCAACATCATTTGCAGGGTTGTGTTCTGAAACACATTAAATACAACTTCTATACATTTTACTTTGTTTCATGATGTAAGTTTTTGGGAGTGGGCTTTATACACACACAAGACACCGATGCTGTATTATGAATAATATCACCTTTATCAGAGAAGTAAAACATGTTTTTTCATTAAAAAAAGAAATTATACATAAGCTTTTATTCTTTTCACACCTGTTCTTGTTACAAATAAATAGACAGCATTTAGGAATTAAAATTTTCAATTACAGATAGGTCTCTACATTCGAATATAATGCAACGATCAATGTACACCAATCAGGCATAACATTATGACCTCCTTGTTTCTACGCTCATTGTCCATTTTATCAGCTCCACTTACTATATAGGTGCACTTTGTAGTTCTACAATTACAGACTGTAGTCCATCTGTTTCTCTGTATACTTTGTTAGCCCCCTTTAACCCTGTTCTTCAGTGGTCAGGACCCCCATAGACCCTCACAGAGCAGGTACTATTTGGGTGGTGGATCATTCTCAGCACTGCAGTAACAGTGATGTGGTGGTGGTGTGTTAGTGTGTGTTGCACTGGTCTGAGTGGATCAGACACAGCAGTGCTGCTGGAGTTTTTAATCACCTCAGTGTCACTGCTGGACTGAGAATAGTCCACCAACCAAAAATATCCAGCCAACAGTGTCCTGTGGGCAGTGTCCTGTGACCACTGATGAAGGACTAGAGGATGACCAACACAAACTGTGCAGCAGCAGATGAGCTATCATCTCTGACTTTACATCTACAAGGTGGACTGACAAGGTAGGAGTGTCTAATAGAGTGGACAGTGAGTGGACACAGTGTTTAAAAACTCTAGCAGCACTGCTGTGTCTGATCCACTCATACCAGTGCAACACACAGTAACACACCACCACCACGTCAGTGTTACTGCAGAGCTGAGAATGATCCACCACCCAAATAGTACCTGCTCTGTGAGGGTCCATGGGGGTCCTGACCACTGAAGAACAGGGTTAAAGGGGGCTAACAAAGTATACAGAGAAACAGATGGACTACAGTCTGTAATTGTAGAACTACAAAGTGCACCTATATAGTAAGTGGAGCTGATAAAATGGACAATGAGCGTAGAAACAAGGAGGAGGTCATAATGTTATGCCTGATTTATATTTTAAAAAAGGTAAATAATGGATGACTGCTTGAAATTCCAAATACATGCAGTCACTTGTTTATTCACTTGTTCAGTAAACTAAGCAAGATTTTAAATGTCAGCTGCTAAATTATATTGTGCTCAGTTGAATAGTGAGCTGCTTTCTTATCACTGGCATTGCTCACCATTATTCTTACAGCAGTGTTATTAAAACTCTTTGTGCAAATCAAAGAGAACCATGATTGAATTTAGACTAAATAGGATTAAAAAAAAACTCTTGTAATAAAAAGCCCCTGATTTTAAATAGATTATAGTGACATTTGTGGGTCAAAATCATTTAACTGAGTGCAGAGATGAAAACAGAGTGATTCAATCAATTAATTCACACTTTTTCTTTGTTCTGGTTCAGTTCTTTAATCGTGTATAGACATTAGCATGTATTTAACGTTGACAAGTTTTGACAGCGTCACTGTCCCAGGGATCTGCTAGTATTTAAAGGAATGATTAACATTTGTGTAAATGTATGGAAGAGATTCAGCTCACTTACACGTGCTCCCAGAGGATCAGCAAATGGTATTACTAAAATAAGTGAAGTTAGCATCTCCTCAGTTTTGTTCTCATTAATAAGTTGTGCTTTGGGTAGATCTGTAAGATGCTGATATTTCAATAACTTCCCTGACATAACTCAACTTAACTTGGCTGTCTACCGTTTGTATTTGCACTATTTTGTTTGTAGGAGGTTGAAATGAAGAATGTTTTGCTCAGAGCTGGAGACCAGTTGAAAGTCCAAGGGAAGATCCATGCTGATGCTAAAAGGTAGGCTAAAACCAAATGCCTGTTAATAAAACTGTGTTTTTATTTGACTACATTACTTCTCCAAACTACCCAGGCTTTGTTAGCGTGGAAAGCTTTATCACTAGCGACTGAAAACTGTGGTAACCAACCTACTCTAAACGACATCTTTAACCACTGTGTTTTGATATTGAAGTCAAACCATAGGGCCAGTTTTCTGGACACTCAGACTAAATTGTAGTGTCAATGATGAATCAACTTTAAAAATACATTTTAGGCCTAATCTGAGTCTGGAAAAGTAGCCCATGGAGTTGTACAACATTTGATTTGCATTTGTTTTGCACCAAGGTTTACATTTACATTTTCAAGTGGTAAAAATATCTACACATGACAGCTGGGCCTATCAGCAAAACAACTTTACAGCAGGATCAGCTTTTCACAAAGCCAAGTCAACAAATATAGCATCTGCATCACAGCCTGTCATTTTGCTCATGGAAATAGCCCCATTAATTTGTAATCATAAAGGAAAAAGACAGAAGCCTACAGCAGACAAAGCTCCCATGGCTCATTAGATATTTTTAAGACCTATACGCTTTATTTAGTGCTTGGTGTTTCGAAGTTACATGAAAGTAATATCGAGTAATATAACATGTAACTCAACTAGTAAAGTAATATTCCAACTTAACTAGTTACCTTGAATTCAAGCAATGATACAATGCATTACATTTAAGAGGTAATTTGCTAATCAGTAACTGACATAACATTGTCCTTTCTGAAGGTTTCAGATTGACCTGGGTTCCAGTGAATTGGCTCTTCATTTCAACCCTTGTTTCTATGATGATAATGCCAACACAGCAGTGCTGGTGTGTAATTCACAGTCTGGTGGTATCTGGGACCAGGAGCAAAGGGACACGCCCAACCCTTTTCAACCAGGCTCTACTTTTAAAGTATGGCAGAAACCAAATGAGTGAACAACATCTCCATTTCCCTTTTGTATTCTAAACTATTGAGCTACTATAACAAAACATACACTGTCCAGTGTCACTGTCTGAGCTCAGCAGATGAATTGTAAGATTTGTAAGATGATGAAGCGTAAGATTTGCTTGTTTTTCCTTCCTTCTTCACAGGTTGTAGTTAAGCACACAGGAAAAGTATTTGAGGTGAAGCTACCTGACGAGCAGGCGACTGAGCTCCCCAGCCGACAGGGGGTGGAGGTCATCAGTTCTATTCATGTCAAGGGTGACATCAGCCTCACCGCTTTCAAGATGTACTGAGAAAAGCAACATTTCTGCAAAATTCAAACAAAAACAATGTTAGAAGTCTATTGTAACAAAATGAAATGGCAGACTGTCTTTTCTCTTTCATAGGCCAAGCAGCCCCATCTGGTGGGCAAAACATGTAGTGCTACCCAAATGAGGCCCTAATAAAACATTTCACTGAAAATGACCTTCGTGCCACAAACAAACTTAATTGAATACAAAAAAGTATGTAATGAATACAGTATAAATGATTTAACCCTCAGTGACCAAAACATTGTTGATGACATTTTTTCAATATATTTTTAGATTTCAAAATGCAACCATGGGTTACAAAGTTTACAATATAAATCACAAATATTATACATACATATATGTATATATATAGGTAGATAAATAGATAGATAGATAGATAGATAGATAGATATAAACACATACACACATACATATACATATGTATATAAAATTTCAACTGTAATGTTTTGCTGTGCTTTAAACAATTGTTACAATTTTGCAACAGCAGGCCTCTGAGCATTACAGTTTTTTATCAGTTGCCTAAATACTACAAAACAGTTAACAAATAACTGTTAACAGGGGGTTGCTGAACAAATTATGCTTTCTCTTTGCAAAAGGATCAAACCTCCACCAAACACTCAACACACAACACAAAAGTAAAGTTTTCCATAAAACACTACAGCGGACTGTCAGGAGAATAAACTACTTCTATCAGTCACTAAACATTGACCCAATAACCCTAAGCGTAAAAATATCACAGTGTGAAAACTGTTCTTGGCTCCTGGGTAGTTTTACCAGAGCTAAATTTCAGTGCAATGTACTGAATCTGTACTATCATCCTAAACATCCAGATACATTCAATACATTTACTCTTCTTTCTTCTTTTCTACACTTTTGAAACAAAGGCTAGAGGGGTGGAGGGCAACATTGTCCAGACAATGCACTCCATCTGTGGCTGTTTTTAAAATCAAGCTTAAAACACACTTTTATTGATTAGCATTCAGAAGCTGTTAAACTCTCGAACTGTGGATTGAGTACTGTTGTGTTAATGTACAGTGGTGATGATCGGAAGGTGGGAATCCTTTTTGTGTTTTATTGTAAAGCACTTTGTTTTGAATGTGCCATACAAATAAAATGTACATACTTACTTACTTACTATTACACATCCTTCTACTGACAAACGCTGTCTCCGGCCCCTGTTTGTCATGTTGTATTTAATATTTTCGCCTTTTTGTCCCTGAGTATGAATGGTTCTGAATATCTCCAGTGAAATCTTTTTTTTTTTAGTGGATGGGGGTGTGCAGTAAATTGCATTGAAACATATGGTTATGGTATCTCTGGTAGAGTCAGTTGTCTGGCTGTTTCACAGTCTCAGTAGGTACATCTGTCATTTTAAAACCAGCTGACAGTCTTACCTGTTACCTATTTCTCATCTGAAAGACATTTGTCTAAGACCTTTTTTATCGATGCTAACATCAGCAACTGGTGATGACTGATTGCTGCACTGTGTTGTTCACGCGGTTACTAAAGGTATTTATAACCATGAGAGTATATTTTCTATAAGCTGTCCTTTTATTTCTTTCTATTTTCTTTTATTTTGCACAGTTGGCCAATGAAATGATGTGTTTTTCTGTGAGATCTGTGTTAATTGTTCTCTACAAGTATGTGAAAAGTTAAAAGGACACTTCTGCTTTGCTACGAAAGTGCCAACGAAGATTAATTTGACCCCAGTTTCGTTAAACGTTTTCAAGAAAAATTGTAAAATGTAGTGTAGTAGTATAACGTGTAGCGTGTTCCTACATTGTTAATGTCATTAAAGGAGACACACCCAGCAAAGATTTTCCTCATGTAGCTCCTCATGCGTTTAGTCCACTCAGCTCCAATGTGATCAATGTACATTGTAATTTAAAGTCAGTGCAGTTGTAAACCTGCTGTTGTCCTTTTAACCAATCAGCATTCACCTCTGCCATCACGAGCCGCTCAGTAGCCAATGGCGTTCTCGGAGAGAACCATGTGATCTTTGTTTTCCCATGACTGTAGTTTGTCCGGTGGACGCTGTCAAGTCGAACGACCTCAACAGCAGAAATGTGAAGTCAGTCGCCTCTTAACGCTTTTAAAACCGTTAGCTTCGTCGCTCAGGTCTGTGTCTTTAGACTGTGCTCTGAACATCCTCAACACCACCATGTGAACATGAGGAATATGTGAGGTTAGGTGTTAGCATGCTCGCTAACTGACCTGTGTGTGTGTGTGTGTGTGTGTGTCGCTGCCGCCGTCGCCTGACTGACCGGTGAAAGCTGCCGGAGAGTAGCGGAGGGTTAACGTTAGCTAACTGTGGACATACGAGTTATTTAATTTACAGACACATTAACTGGAGCATCTGTTGTTTCGTGAGTAGTTAACCTCCACTGTATCTTGTCTTTTTAAAAGCTCCATCTATAAGCTTTTCCTTTTCTGATATGGGCTGGCTGAATGGTGACTGCTAGTAATAACGGTAGCTTCCCGTGGACTTCGTGGTGAATTTAACACAGTTTTAGTCCTGTAGGCTCTTTTAACTTAGTAGTTAACATAGTAGTTACTGACAAAGCAGGGCTAGTTAAGCTAACCTAGCTAATTGTTGTCACGTATAGCCGTAGCGTTTTCTCTGTGTAGCTACCAGCTAACTGACAACCAAGTTAAGTTACCGAGTAGCGTTAAAGTTTAGCTAACCTAGATAGCTATACACCGAAAACGTACTAACGTTTAAATCAGGTAAGTTAGTATCGAAGCACGAAATGCATTGTTGTTTATGGTTAAATAGATACATAACGCTAGCAAAACGCCATCGCTTTAAGATTTGTTAACAAAAACTAGTACAGCACATGGAATGATCTAGAAGGGGATCCAGTTAGGGCTCACCAACCTCGTACTACACAGAACCGATAAGGTCGTAGTCCAAAAATGTGCCTTGTTGAATAATTGACTAGTAATATGAAAGGCCATAGAGTTACTCCACCTTGTGGTTCTTTATGTAAAACTAATAGTTGTGCGTCTGCTATGAAGATGTACATGATGTACATAATAATATATGTGTATTATTATGAATGTGTCCTCAGTTTTTCACTTCTTCAGAGTGAAAAATTGACAACTAGCTAAACTTGTGTTTTTTGTTTTTTTGGGGTTTTTTTTTCACAGGCATATCTATGTAAATATAAGGATGCATCTTTCAGGTCAACAAACACTGGACCTCCCAGTGTCAGCCTCCTTGAACAGAAACCATGACTTTTAGATGGATTCCAGATTCATATGTACAGTCCCTGAATAGGGCTGTATACTTGTGGCACACACAAGGCCAGAGGGCTGTGAACATCTCTTTCTATCCACTGTGTAATCCGCCCTGCCGACTTCATGTCAAAAGGCCCTTCAGCTACAGAGAAAGCTACCATATCTGGAAGCACATCCACATCCAGAAGAGCAAAATTTGGAGGGTATGTCCCAGCAGAGCCAGCTCTCTCAGGCATAAAATACTGCTGTACACCAGGATTTCCAATTTCAATACCTCAACCTGCCTTGGGTCCACTGACCTGAGCCATCGTATGTCACGGCTGAAGAGCACTTTAGAGTCTGTCTCAAAAGCTGTGAGCGGGACACAAGCGGAGATTTCCTCCAAGATAGCGCGGCTTAAATGCAGTGCCAGCCAGGAGGAGAGAAAGAGTGAGGCAAGTGCAGAGACAGCACCCCTAAAGGATCAGAGAAATGGATCAGCTTTGGCAGCTACACCTACACTTGTACCTCAGCCTCCCTCATCAGCTGCAACCTCACCTGCAAGCGCCACCTCGAATCTTCAAGAAACACCCTCTGTCCCATGTCAGTACGTCCAGGAAAAAAGGGAGCTGAAAAACAAGAGATCTGTGGGTCATACCTCAAAACTGAGTGGAACAGCCACTATCACAGCTTCTCAGGCTAAATCAGGAGAACCTGTATCCCAAACTGAAAGCTCCACTGCATCTAAGCAGGGTACTCCACTCTTCCACCCGGGTTCTTTCAGTGTCAACCTGGGTGAAACCTACAACTACGTGGCCCATCATATCAATACTTATTTTAGCAGCTCCACTAAGACACAAGAAAAACAAAAAGAGGCCAAGGACTGCATTGACCAGCCATCCCCTTCCATGCTTGACCAGTGCCAAAAGAACAGTGACACTGAACCCTCCCATGTGAATGGCCAGGCAGCAACGTCTGCACCTCTCCCAGACCCAGGTTCTCCTTCTTCTCCCAAAAAGAGCCTTGGACATTACCTGGGGTACTCTGCACCTACAGTCCAGGCCTTTGTGGGGAGTTACATTGCTCCCCTTGTTCCTAAATTTAGGACAGAACCAAAAAGTGCACTGCCAGAAACAGATAAGCTCCTTCCTCCTGATGACCCTGCTTCAAAACAGAAGGAAGCAGCAGAGATTAAAGAACAGAAATCTGCAGAGGAAAAGGTCAGGAGATTGCTGCTTCAAAGAGAGAAGGTACTGAGTGGCATGCAAACACATAATGATTGTCTGTACACAAATTTGCAATCTTTCCAGCATTACCCATTTTTGAACATCCGCTACAGCCTGACAAAGGAATATATAGGCTTTTGTAGTCCTTTTAGAGGGGAAACATGTTTGTTTTTGCTGTGCCAGAATAGTTTATTTGCATAGTGTTTTTTATCTCTTCATCTCGCACTTAAAACTATCTTAAAAGTACATTTGTTGTTTTTTATTGGAAGTGTTCATCTAAGAAAAGCATTTTTAACAAATGAAAGCCACTGTGTGCCAGAATGATTCAGCAACAGCTCAGAAATGCAAATAGAATTATATTGCCTCCTCTCCTCTGTGACTGATATATGTCAGCTATGGAAAGCAATATGTGTAATGAAGTGCAGTTGTTTCAAGATATATAGTTCAGTGGAAGAAAAGCCAGCTTAGAGGTTGGTCATGTGCAAAGCTAATGTGACCCTTATATGTATGTGTTTGTTCATGTGGGTGGGACTGCCTTCATGCTAAGGGCATTTCCAAGAATCCTATATATTTCTTTGTGTATGTATATTTACTGCAGTTCAGCAGTAAATTGCAGTGCTCAGTATAGACTTTGGTATCTCAGCATGTCAGCTCATGATATAACATGGCATTAGTTAATGAGATGCATGGCCTATGCCTATTCCTCTTTCCCTCTTCCAGATCATTGCGCGAGTGAGTGTGGATAATCGAACGCGAGCGCTGGTGCAGGCCCTTCACAGAGCATCAGACGTGAGGGTTTATATCAGCAGAGTGGAGGATCTGAGCTACCACTTGCTGGAGTTCCCTGAGACCAGGCTAGTAGCTGTCAAGGTAAATCATTTCATTAACTCAACTTATGTGTTCCTAATATCAAATAAACAGGGATTTCCAACTTCAAATTAGCAAATATTATACTAAAAAAATGTATTTCCAGATAAAAGGTTTGTCTGTATAGTTGCTTTGTTGTTTCAGCATTGTTAAATGCTGTCTATTTCACTGTTGTATTTTCAGTCAGACGATGTGAAATGGGTAGTAGTAATGGAAGCACTTCAGGTTTAGTAAAATTTTATCAACTACATTTCTTCAGAGCTCCACAGTTCAAAAGGGCACAGTACACAGTTCTGCATATGCTAACAGTTAACGTTTGTTATCACTACAGCCTCGCATAGCTTCATATCCAGAATTGCTTTTGTAATTCTCCTGCCAGTTTCATGTATGTATGTATGTATGTATGTATGTATCAGCACACTCTATTAATAAAATAGTATTATATTAATAATGATGGCTGACCACACAGTGAGACCACAAAAATATAGTGTAGTAGTGCTGTTACCTTGCTGCTTTGCAAACTTTTGCAAGAGTTTCACTCTTGAGTAGTCTCAAAAATTATTCTTGTACTTATCCTCAAATAGATTGCAATAGTAACGTAACCCATTCAGGTCTACAAACTAAATATAAAAACACTAATGTCACACGATCAAAAGGCTAGATTTAATACGATAAAATAAATGATAAAAACTCACTGTTTAGCCATATGATTTGATTGATTTGTTTTTTTAATGTGCAAGCTTAAAGAAGATTTGATTTGATGGAAATTTCAGATATGGATATTAAGGGGTAAACTGAGCACGTTTTTCACAGATTTATCTGTGTTTTGAAGCTGGTTTGAATACCTTTACTAACTATAAACATGTTTTGTCTGAAGTGAAAGTGAGGTAGCTAATGTTATTGTTGTTATTCAGATTCTTCTCAAATGTTAGCTGAGCTATGGGAGCAATTATAGCTACATGCTGTACCTCTGTGGTTAATGAGTGTATGTGTGTATGCCTTCTGGACTCATCTCTGGAGACATCGCATATAAAGCCCCGGAAACAATTCAGTTGTTGTTTCTTTTCTTTACCAGAATTTTTGTATTTCTGGAGACATGCTGAATGTACACAATGTAACTAGATAGTGCTTGGTTCATTTAAATGGTATGGCCCCTGTGCTTATCAGGAGAAGGTGATTCCATGTCTTCTGCGCCTGCGGCAAGCCAGTGATCCATCTCTGAAGGCAGCGGTCAGAGAGGCCCTTACCTTGGTGGGCTACATTGACCCTGTCAAGAACAGAGGAATACGCATATTGTCCATTGATGGAGGGGGCACAAGGTATGCACCCTAACCTCCACAGTCTGCTCAGAAGACAACAGACGGCTGAACTGCCTTTCTTATTGTTCTGTGTGTGTGCATTTTTGTTTTCAGGGGTCTGGTGGCCCTTCAGACTTTACAAAAGCTGGAAGAGCTTTCAGGAAAATCTGTTTACCAGCTCTTTGATTACATTTGTGGGGTGAGCACGGGTAAGATAACATCTTCTGGTTCTCTGTGTCTGTGTAAGTATGAAACTCTTTCAGTGAGTAATAACATTCAGCTGTAGGCAAGATATCTTCGTAATAGATTACAAAAACTGCATGAAAGCAACTGTTCATGTGCTTGCTGAGTGTCTGAGAACAATGTATGTGAATGAGTTCTAGCACTGGATGCAGAATAGTATTTAATGACTCAATAACAGCATGACTGCTGAAAGTTTCTTGAAGGGGTGTACTGTAGCTTTTTAGCACCTACTTCATTATAGCTTTGCCGTATTTCAGACATATTGGTATGTAAAATGATGTCCCATGTGAGCTTATGTGAATGTACATAATTTGTTGTCTTAGGAACATGTGTAAAAGAGTGCATATTTATTCATTCTTTGAGCATCTTATATCTGTTACCGGCATGCCCTCAACACCTTGGGCATTTTCTCACTTGAGAAAAAAAGCGAGAACAGATATCCCTAAGGTTTGCCCAATCTGTGCAACTTTCTATGTTTCCAGACTGGCTTCCACCTCCAGAAAAGGGAAATCAGGATGGACCATACACAACAGCCATTATCTTAATATTGCATTGGCAAAGATTGTCTGTTATTGTAATTCCCTTTATCTATTATCTTATAAGACCTATTAATAAATATGCACTGTAGAAAGATTTTGATATATGATTATATCTAATCATATTTATTTGGGAAATATTATTTTTAAAGCTGGCTAGAAATGATTTGTTTAGGCATGGTGTGTGTGCCTTATAAGTTACATATTGTTGTGTTGTTGATATAGTTTTATTGATTTCTTTACACTTGAAAATCAGGGAGTGAATTCAGTCTTTGCGAATCATTAATAATGCTACTTATATTATTACTTGTTGTAAAATAGTGAGAACGAATTTATGATCAAAATGAGGGAAAATGATAACCTAAACACAGTATTTTCAAAAACATTTTTGCTGTAATGTAGTAAGGATCATTAAGTCCCTGCTATAAGTGCTCCTTTGACACTGACCACCTGGGGGTGCTTTTCACCAACATTCAGCTTTAAGCTGTCTCAAACTGTCCACTACCTTTGTGCTTGCTTTCTGAAATGAATGATCCGGAATGTTCTAACCACGACAGCTGGATCTAAAGGCTGTGCCTGTTTTCATCGTTCCCAGTTTTATTTTAATACTCTGCTGCCAAAACCTCTATAACTCCCTGTGAGGGTACAGGATAGGGACATATGAGAGATTTTCTGTGCAAGTTATACCAAACTGGCATAGCCCCAGTACCGTGTTGGGGTGTGTGGATGTATGTGGGGGACTCGGCCTTAATTCCTCTCCATGTGTCCATATAATGCTCACTTAGTCAGTGATCCTGGATTGGAGCCTCAAAGTAGCAGTTGGTCATCGGAGGGGTTCCCTAGGATCAAAAGATGACATGGTGTGTTTAATTTACCTAAACCTGCTGGATACAGACAAGTAGCTTTATTTAGCAAATGCAAGCCAGTCGAATTTCTGTGTTGCTCTTTTGTATGGCCATTGTTCCAGTTTTGCTATTCATAAAATAGAGCATTGCTGAGATTTGTGAGTAGATGACTGGCAACCTGTCCAAGGTGTTTCCTGCCTCCCTCTAAGTGAGTGCTAGGATAGGGTCCAGCACCCTATGTGAGTAAGTGAATGAATGACAGCAGTAGATAATTTACTTACATCCTTGGAAGGCACGTCCTTCACCAAGTTTTGATTGCGTTTTCTGTGAATACTCTTTTTAACACGCTCACAGTCATCAGATTCATCTGCTTGGGGAACCAATGTTACAAAGTGTTCTTTCACCGGTTGCATGTAATAACACATTACAAATTCCCAGAAAACTTACATTGAAAGCTTTTAAATGTTATGTTTAAAATGTAACACTTGTAATGTTAATCATACAATGTAAAGTAATTTTCGATGTTTATGTATGTTTCTCCTCAGGTGCTATATTAGGTTTCATGCTGGGTGTGTTCCGTATCCACGTAAGTGAATGTGAGGAACTGTACAGAAAGTTGAGTTCTGATGTGTTTAAGCAGAATGTCATAGTGGGTACAGTGAAAATGGGCTGGAGTCACGCCTTCTACGACAGCGAGGTCTGGGAGAAACTTCTGAAGTAAGTACATAAACGTTTTCTGACATGTTTACAGTAGTTAGTAAAGAATATCAGCCATTGGACCATGGGAATTATTTAGAAGTAGCATAAATTTGGAGAACATTACAAACACTGATCACACCGTGCTTTATATTTTAATCAACCATTTAAGAAAGCTGAAAATTTATCAGAGTAACTGCCCTCCTTGTTTTTCACTTAGAAAAATGCTTGAAAATAAGAGGGACACTTTGGACTGGTATATATATTCCAAGGGAATGTAAAATACACAGAGAATTAACAGAGGTGGTAATTTCTGGTATAACCAGGTTGAAAAAAAAGATAAAAAAAAACATTTCTGTGCCTCATTTTTTCCAGGTGCTGTGGTAGGTTCTCACACTGCTGACTAATTTGGTAGGACAGTGACAACAACTTGGTTACTGGGTTAATTTATGACTGGATTCTCACAGTCTACTTCTCAAATTTCACACTCATATTTGTTCAGTGCAGGGTGAGGTGGGTATGATCATCGGAGGGCGGTAACACTTGATGACTGATTTACATATTATGATATAGATTTGTATTCCAGTACTGAGCTGTTTCATACATCTGTATAGCAGAGCTGAAATAGAAGGTGCTTTGCAGAGGCTGAACTGACAACGATGATGTTGTTTTGACAGTTTAAAAAGAAGTGTGAAAATTTCAGACTAATGTAATTTATTCATTACAAAGCAATATATTGCAGTTTTCAATGAAAATGGCTTTAGGGCATACTTTCTCTTTAGAAGTATTCACTGTTTGTTCTAATGAGCATTCTCATTTTCCCCACAGAGAAAAAATGGGCTCTGATCTTATGGTTGAAACATCAAGAAACCCTGATTGTCCCAAGGTAGGGCTGTGAGAATTTAAGTGATGTCATGAAATCCTCATTGAAGCAATAGACGTGACTTGACTATAAAAGCCTGAAATCAGTCTTTGTAACATCTCCACCAGGTGGCAGCAGTGAGTACAGTGGTAAATAAGGGCACTCCACTGAAAGCATACGTCTTTAGAAACTACAACTTGCCACCTGGTGTGCGTTCCCACTATCGAGGTGGCTGCCAACACAAGATGTGGGAGGCCATCAGAGCTTCCTCAGCTGCTCCTGGGTACTTTCAGGAATTTGCACTGGGCACTGACCTGCACCAGGTAAGATCAAATGTCTCAGAAGTACAGTATTACTCACATGTGCAGTGAGGTGAAATCAAATTACAGTTCCAAGAGCTGAAATGAGAAGCCTTCTTCATGAGGAACATATTTTGTAATTCAGATGTGGTTCATACAGCCGGGTCAGAATCTTTCTTAGGTTCACCATATCGGTGAAGAATAGACTCAAGCTCTTCATCCTGAATTAAACAAAGACTGCAGAGCACTTAAGCACAATCACTAGCGCTAGGTCCAGTCCATTAGGAAACTGAGAATCCACACTGGCCAGGAGCAGAAGCTCTCGTGTGGTTGTTGTGAATCTTATGACAAACAGCATTATGATAGTAATTTTGTTAGTATTTTTATGTGTTTTTTGTGGCTTTTTGTCTGTTCCAACTTATGAAACCTCAGAATAACAAAATAATTGGATGAATGTTGTGTATTGTGAAGTTATATTTTGCTATATCACCAACTCCTGAACTGTACAGAGTTCAACACTACGCTAATGTGGAGACTCTGCTACCACATACACAGCAGTATAAAAATAAAAATAACATACTAGTCTCACAGCTTTTCACCTAAAACTAGGTGCCAAAAATGTAGAGAAGCCACAATCCTTTGCTAGTTTGTTTATACATTCGTTCTGCATAAGTAAATAAAGACTTAGCTATTTTTACTTTTCCCCTGCATTTCGCCCGTGGATTGAAACATCATGGAGCAGGTGCTGAAGCAGAGCTTGGTGTTTAATTGAAGTGTGAGGGCCTGGTGGGGAGCAATGAAAGAGAATTGCTGATGGGTCCCTGTAGAGTAGGGATTTCCTCCCTGTATCTTTTCCTCCCAACAGAGACACTCATTATGCGCATATGTACACTTGGAGGTTGAGAACAAGTAACAAATTTTCACATGGACATTCCATTCATTTAGTTTTAGATTGAGTACCACAGTTTGAACCAGAATGTAAAACAAGTTAAATTGAAGTATACCTTATGATTATTTTCATCAGCCAATTAATACGTGATTCTAGTGCATTGTGAATTTAGATTGTGAATTTAGATTATTTTTTTATCAAAGTCATGAGCTGAAAGCTTGGCTGTTCTTTCTTAGAAACCTGAATTTTTTGCTACAACTGAAAGAACAAAAATACTTAAATTCTGCATATTGCTAGCAACAGAACTTTTGATTGATTGTTGTAAATAAATCAGTTTGTTTGCAACTTAAACTGCAGTCCATAAACCCTTTTACACATAGAGGTGGAAAGAGTAGGAAAGATTATCTATTTCAGACATTTTAAAATGAGCTCACTTACTTTTCAAGTAACGTGTGTATCATCAAAAAATATTAACTACAACAGGTAGACTAGACAAGGTTTGAGGAAATTAGAACACAAACAACCACTTTTATTATCAATTGCGGAGTTTCTTGGATGCTTTTACTGTGCCTTCTGCACACACGGACAGACTGCTGCAGAATGCGTTACCATCAAGGCTAGGTGGGTGGATCCTGCTGCACCACAACTTTCCTTTGGCTGAACTGACTGTTGGCTGTATTTGGAGTGTGTTCAACACCACATCGGTTCATGCACATACTTTAGAAACATGATGTCCGTGTTCAGCCCATTTCCTCCCCTCCCTACAGCCCAGGTGCTCACTAGCTCATACATTTCTTATCAAATTGTGAATCATTCCTTTTGTGTCAATACTCTTGATTGTTTCTCAAAGCTTTTATGTGGCAAGCTTGACAGTTTCGTATTCTATTGAATGACACCTTCCCATGATTTCTTTGAGCTGTCACCCTTTTTTATGTTCTTGGAATTTGCTTACACAAACACATTGCTGCTCCTCCTCTACTCTCTCTGTATGTCTGGTGCCAGACTGATCCTTGCAGACTCTTTCAGGCTGCTCAGGCTGGCATGTCAGATGGTCTCGAGTGCGGCATTCTTCCCATGGCAGCCTCCTTCTTAAACCCAGAGCTTAGCTCAGAGGTGCAGAAACTGCAGAGTCCTGCTGATCCTTCCTGTTCTCTGTGTACTGCTGTTTAAAAGCATCGCAGTAGCCTTCAATACACTGAGCTGAAAGCTCTGATGTAAGGGTTGGTTTCATATGGTGTCATCCTGCCATATTTTCCAAGGACGCCCACAGAGCAGTCCGCTTCCATCCAGTCACGCCACAATGAGCCTCTTGTCTCTGCAGTCAGGGCTTGAGTCACTTCTTAAAGTCTATACAACACAAGTGGATGGAACGATATTCAAGTGATTCGCTGCTATTCTTTGACAGTCAATGTGTAATGGACTACAACAAGTTCACAGTGAGCTTACTTACCTGTAAACTGGCCCACGAGTCATGAAGACTTGTTGCAATTGTCTCCTCTGTGATGCGTCCCTCTTCAAACAGCCTATGAATCCACACGTTGGCAAGTTGTCATCTTCCCAAACAATTCTGCACAATTTACATATGCAAGCTTTATACCGTAGCAGATCCAGAGGGAGGAAGTTGGTGCTGAATGCCCAAGCATGGCATCTTTTCAGCAGTTGCCATGGACTCTGCCAGGACGGCGTGCAGGAATGAAGCCTGTTAGGCTGTTTATGCCCACCCTCACACAGCTGCTGAAAAACACACTCACAGCAGAGCTGAAAAACCACCACCCAGGAGAAAAGACACAAGCTTGGAGTGAAAATAGAGCTCATCACCTCAGCTCTCAAAGCCCGACATTGTGATTGTATCACATTGTCCCAACATTACAGGATACAGAGCTGTGACATAATACACTGACATCCCATGGCTATGTGAGGCTGATTGTTAGATGTGAAGAAAGAGTGGAAAGCTGGTCCGCAATGCTCTTTTGCGTAAGCAGTTGCATAGTGTGGTGGATAACACCATTGCACTGCACATGGAAGGTCAGAGGTTCGATTCTTCATCCAGACAGGACTGCCACTGCTACACCTTTCCGCTCATAGGTTTATCTACTCTTGGCTGAGTTTTTAAGATATATGTCCTCTTTAAAAAATGTGTGTGAGTGATTGATCATACCATGCCAGAGCCTTCACATTATTCTGCTGCAGCCACCGAAGGGTCAGTTTGGCCCTATCTGGAATGTCCTGCTGCACCCTATACGTAGCTTCCAGGCTAAAGCACGCAAGGTTTTCCAATAATCTGCTAATTTTGTCCCGCCATTCCAAATTACTTTATTTCAGAAGTCTTGGGGTTTCAGTAGATGCTTTTACTGTATTACATGTGGGCTGTTTTGTCATCTAGCTGCAATAATTGCTTTTCCTAATGGGTTTTTCTTTGCATTTCTCACAATTGTCTTAAATCTTTCTTGGTCTATCTGATCTTGGCTTGATATGATTTGAATAGTGCTGATTCTCAATTTCATATCTTTTTATAACCTTTACTAATGTATAGTGCTGAATGACTTTCTCACAAACTTTCTGACAGTTCTTTTGTTTTCCCCATATTTTTGTATCCAGAAAACTCTGGCATACATCAAATACACAAAGTTTCCCTATAAACTCAGAAACATGCTCACTGTGTATAGTCATACACTGATTACAATCAAACAAGGAACAGATGCAGATTCTTCACCTTCACAGTGATCTCAGGGTACCTGAGTGTATAACATGCCCAACATAAAGTATTTTAACTCTCTGCAAGAGTATGTAAACCTTTTTGTTATTTTTATGATTACTATAATGCATGCAAGTTTTTGTGATCATAAATAGCTTTTTCTGAGCACTATTACTAAGTGAAAGAATGTGTTTTGTATGATCACTTATATGATCATATCTTACGAATTCAGCCAGGGGTACGTAAATTCCTAAGCAGATCTGTATCAGTAAGAGTCTTTGGGCTAGACTCCTAATGTTACATTCACGTGTGTGCGTGTGCGTGTGGGTGTGCGTGTGCGTGTGTAGATAGGTAGATAGGTAGGTAGATTTTTGTACAATGTTTCTCTCTAGGAATTCCTTGAGTGGCGAATACCAGACAAAGAAAATAAATAGAAAGAAACCTGTCCTGTGCCCTGGCAGCACATCCTTCAAGGCTTCAAGGCTGCGGTTTAAACCCAGGGGGGTGTCTGCAGTGTTAAAATGCAGACATCTTTGCGGTATTGCTGTAGTGGGATGCCCATAGGCATTAAACATGTTTGTTGACTGACTAAAGGCACGGTGAAGACTTCCAGCTGGTTCATCTCACTCACAAAAATTAGAATATAAAGATATTCCAGACAACTGAAATATTTTAATTTTTTTTAAACAGTTCTCAAATGTCAGATTGCTGTTTTGATTGCTGTTTGAGCACATTTTGTTATCATCAACATGAAGAATGCATAAGAAAAAAACAGTTTGGTAGCTTACTTTTGCATTATGGAGAGCAATTAAACAAAGTTAATTGCTAATTTGCAATTTTGTGTTATGGAATGAATTTGTGCCTCAAAGTGAGTCCAATATCATTTATACCATCATGAAAGGAATGCTGGTGATTGCTTTTAATTGGTCCCTGAAGACAAATCAACTGCAGAGGTTTAATATCAAGCTGAGGTGTGCATGTGTGTTTGTGTGTCTCAGTCTCCCATCGTCTAGCTTCATTTCCTGGTCATAGCCTGAGGGTGAAGGCTCCAGTTTCTCTTGTCCAGATGAGACCTCCTTGGTTCAGTCTTTATGACGACAATTTAAACCCTATTTGAAGCCTCAGGCTTCCAAGGTCAAAGATCATGATGGAAAAATAGTCTGGATAATTGCATAATGTGGCATAATGACCTTCTGCCCCAGCCAATCAAGTCAGAGTCATGGCTGTCCATCATGCTGAAGCTTATACATTAGAGCTTTCTTTACTAGTGTGGGTGGAAGGAGATGTTTCGCCCCTTCTCTCGAGTTTTGTTTGTCATTCCCATAGGACAGATTGCCAACAATAATCCTTCATGTGCTCTCTCAATATTGGGTGGTGCTAGGATGCACTACTACAGCAGACCAAGCGAAATGTCGGAAGTGTAGGTGACAAAGTTGATTC